GCTCTCGGACTAAGCTCTGCGGTGCGATCGTTCCTGTGGAATTGCGGCTCAAGATTCCAGGGGGATGTGCAAGCTTGGCATCATTAACCGACAAGTCTTACATCTCAACAACTGCCACTGCGCGTGACCTTCATGGCACTGCTGCTTTATGTGCCTTTAAGTCGCACACTCAGACTCGCAGCACTTCGCTTTTATAGCAACGATCTCCCTACGGCAGAATTTTCTGTGTTGAAACCTCTTGTTGCCCGACATCCGAAGACCCTTCGCAACGTCCTGCGGGTGGAAGTGGAGGCATCTTGGAGGGGCTCTGAGGCTGACCCTCTTCAAGCGGCCTCGGGGTAGAAGTATACTGCAGTGAAACTGAAGGGAATCGTGAACCCGTGGGGAATTCAAACAAAAAAAACATCACTCGGCTTACAGGTGAGATCATGCGGTCAACCTACGCGCCATTGCAGAAAGACGGGATGACCTTCGAAAACCTGTTGACTTCGCTTCCGTGCGATTTAGTCCTCTTTTGGCGCCCAAAACTCATTTTGTAACTCTTACTCCAATTGGTGCAGGTCCGGGTCAGCTTGTTCCAGTCCGGATGGATATGAGATGATACTAGCACCTCTGCTACGTGGAGCTACACGACTTCTCCAAAGGCATGACTGCAACCGCAACCACCGAGTCTGCACACAACCGAGCGTCATTGATGGCTGCTGCTGCTTCAACTCTTCCATGTTCTTGCTGGCGTCGGTAGTACGGGACATGAAGAGCCCGAGCATTGTCGCCAGGAAGGAAACTTGCTCGAAAATGAGCGTTGAAACAACAGCGTCAGGGAAAACGGAGCCGCGTGAGCTGCGGGGGCAGGCAGTGATCAAGCTTGCCAAAGCACCTAAATACACCGACCTAAAATGCGCGTCAAGACTGCGCTGACCCCTTTCGAGAATTCTGCGCAAAAGGTATCCTGCTCAAAGACACGGTACCCCTGCATAGATCGAGTCCACAAACTCATCTTCAGAAGCCACTACTCTCGAAGGCTCGAAGGCTGGAGCAGAGCCGAACTTCCCGATGCCGAGCAGCCTCGACTTTGTGGTTGCTGTCTTCGCAAAGCTGCCGGTAGCTCGGGAAAATCTCGTCCACGGTCTGGGCACAGGGCTAAACTGTTCCACAAGTCTGCAGGAAGATGTCGGTCCTGCGGTTGCCACTGCTCCACGTACTCTCTGGACACACATGCTTCTTGGGAGGAGCCGCGACGCCCAGCGCATTCAAGACTTCACGCCGCCTGCCTTCAGCCGCACCATCAGGCTTTCGACCCTGCCCTGGCAGAATCATGGGGTGCCAAGGGGGCAGCACACAAGCCTGCTCTGATGTTCTAGGTAAGCAATGTGGGGCATGGGGGTTGGGGTCCCCTTAGAACAACTTGACTGAAGATCCAAGAGCCTCTAGGGCCGAAATCTTGTGCGCTCCAACGTTCTGCATCCCTTGCAGCTCCTGGAGGTTGTTCTCTGGGGGGTCTAGGGGGGCGTCAGGGGTATCCTCTTGGGAAATACCCATACAAGGGTTGACAAGGATCTACAAGGATATGCCTAGTTGGGAGCCTTTGGCAGCGTGGTCGAACATTTCAGGCATAACCAGAATGGGGAACGTCACGCTGCTTCCTCCGCCCTTCTAGGAATCTAAATTCCAAAAAATTCGATGAGCAGCTCCTGGAAGGAAGAAACCAAGGCCTGAGCAAGACTCGACATACGGCAGCGCATGCAAAAACACAACAGCTCCATGACAAAAAAGGTGAAAAAAAGCGGGTGCTTCATCAAGCTCACAACACGCACGAGTTGCGAGCAATGTCTGGCCGCTGCCTCTTCTTTCAATCCACTTCCACGAAGCACGGAAGCGTCCAGATTCTTGAAGGTCTCATCTAAGACCTCGCAATGGCAACGATGCTTGACTTTGCTGGGGGTTTCTGGCGACGACTTGATCATGAGAGAAACAGTTGTACCCGAGTTTGAACCTCACGTCAGCACACATGGCTACACACTTGATTATCCATTATCAAATTTCTGTTGCTTGGCTTAGCCAGCACTCCTTGTAGTTTCTCAGGATCTATTTCGCCACACGCGTGCTTTAAACGTTTAACTCCAGTCCCAAGCCTCTACCTTGGAATTCAGCAGCGCCAAGGCATCCGTCGTGGAGGTGGAATGCGAACTGTCCACTGCATGCAGTGTCTCATCCAGCACCTGCAAGAAAGTCCCAGGCCCGTCTGCTAAAGCATGGCTAAGGAGCAGGGTTGATCATCCCCTGCCAAGGCCAGCATCCAAGAACAAGTCACACGTGACCGCACACATTGAGAAGAGAAATAAGGAATTCATGCGCCCTTATATTCAATTTGGGCCTTCTTTACTGCTTTGATTAAACTCATGCATTTCGTGCACCTGTTTCGTTTACAAATGCATTCATGTAATTCTCTTCGTAGATTTGTTATTCGACTCATATGGGTACTTACCCAAATCTAATTTAGGGTCTCTGGGTCCTATATCTAAAGATCGACCCTTATCGTGAGGACCCCAAAAGGGACCCTACTTTAGAGAACTAGACTACCCGTATCCAGAACAGCTCGAATCTGGTCATCAGAATCGTGCGTTTGAGACTACCACAGACCAATCGGCAGCATCCTGCATTATTGAGCCATTTTGTGTGACTGCATACTGTAGCCGGAATCTATGAGTACAGGCCTTCGTCATGGCCTCCACTTGCCCCAAGCCTCAGGCCAAAGCAGTTCTGCATGGCCCTACACCCTAAACCTTTTTCCCTAAACGGCAAGACCAAACCGCTTTTGACATGGGGAGACCCGGCTGAGGACATCAACGTGATGCTGTGGAAGCGGCGAATCTCCAGCTGCTGCCGAGCTTCGGCCTGCGATGCCGATACAGTAGCAGAGCTCTTAAAGGAAAAGCTCTCTAGCATCCCGGCAGCAAATCCCAGCATCATGTAGAGGGCCTTGCGTTAAATTACCGAGCTGCGCACTCAGGGCTCACAGCAAGCCTGAACATGCATGGGCATGCTCCGCAGGCAGACGGAGCACAATCAAAAATTGATTTTTGCTCGGACAGATCAGCATGTCAGTTCAACATGGGCTGCTACTAAATCTAAAGCTGGCGAGTGTGCATCGGCAAAGGTGCAGGCAGAACAGCAACCGGGGTGGTAAAGGCAACGGCCACGAAGCACCCTCCACGCAGGACAGGAAGGAACAGCGTCAATCACCGCCACCCCCCCCCCCCAGGCCAGAAACACACAAGAAAAAACACCGCCTGCGCCCACTGGGGGCGTTCCTACTTAGATAGGAGGCTCAGACCGTTAGAGCACGGACACCCACCCCGAAGCTTCAGTCGCAGACGCATCCATGATTCAAGAAGAGTAGAGTGACAGCCCAGACCAGGATCAGCGGAAGCGGAAGCTCGCCCGGTGCAAAAGAACAAACCGGCATCACTGCCCATACACCGGTGGATCTCTGCGCTGCAGGAGGCAGAAATCTCGTGGATATCAATATGGCGCAGCCCAGGATGAAGCAAGAAAGCAGGCAGGCCAAACGATGTCGCTCTTTGTGCATTCATAAATGGGGGGGAGATTTCCGAGATTCGGGGTACCTTACTGGGTTTCTACTGAAGGGGGGGCTACTTCAGGGGTCCCTCACTTTTTCGTAAACCCTCAAGTAGGCTCTGAGAAGGCTCTGAGATCATGAGCCAAGCCTCCTCCGCGGCCAGCGCTGCCAAGGAGGAATGGGTCCTCTGATGCCAAAAGCAACTCTGACTCAGCAGGAAGCCCAAAACAAATAGAATTCGAGTTCGCGAGCTCGGATGTGGGGATTTCCTCATGGAAGTGCCACTTTGAAGGGCAACTGCGATATGAATTGTGCGATCAGAACACGCGTCCTCTCTGCCAAATCGCCCAAAGCACCCGAGCCTGCTGGCAGGGCAACGACATAAAGCTGGCTGCGGGTACACGCGATTTGCGTGACCAGGTCGCAGCAGGACGCATAATCTACACGTGGCGCTGCATTCTGCAACTCTGTATGCTGAGGCATGCAGGCATCTCCAAGCAATATGATCTGTGATCGGTTGCTAATCCAGAAGGACATACATTGATACTTTGGGATGCGCCGCGCGCTGCATCTCTTCAATTCTCAAGTCAAGGTCGCTGAAGCTCGCCATAATTTTCGATTGTGTCAGCGTCATCCTGTTAACCTTCTTCGCATTTAGGCCTCAACTTGCACTGGTCAAGTCAACAGGCTGAGAGCGCTGCGAGCAGAACCCGCCTTTAGCCTGGGTGTGGGCATGTACACGTTGACATGCACGCAGAGGCAGAGGAGCGAGAGAAAGAGAGGCGCAAAGAGAAGTGTATGTGTTGTTACATTGAGATGCGTGCGCGTGCGTGCGTGCGTGCGTGCATGGGTGTGTGTGTGTGTATGTGCCTGTTGGATGTTGTTCTCGGTGTAAAGGTTTTTGGCTCGTATGTGCATTGCTGGAGGATGATGGACAGGGGGCTAGAAGTGACTGCATCATCCATTTGTCTGAATGGATGTCCATTGTGGAATGAAAGGTCATCCCCACGCATGTGTGCTCCTCACAGCACATGTCTGCAACGAGGCTACTTCGTTGCTATTTCTAAGCGTGCCTACTAAGGCAAATGAAAGGGCCAATGGGCCATGGGGCTGTGTTGAATTAATTAATTCAGCGAGTGTGACTGGTAGTTGGGCGCACAGTGTGGAGAGCCAACTTGGCACTTTTCATGATGTAGCTTGTGAGACACGAAGATCAATTGACAACCCTGCTTTGCAGGACGGCCTTCGCGCGACTTTTGCACAAAGGCACAAGACAACTTGTGGCTCAATCTAGAGATCTAAAGAAACTGATGCACATTGCCCTCCCAGGACACAATCCCACAAACTCAGTATATGTACAACGTAACCACCAGCGGCTGTGGCCGGACATTTACAGCCATTGACACGGTCTCTGACGAGTCTACGAGCCAGGTTTACGGCGGCTTTCCCGGGATTTAACTGACATTTGTGAGTCCTTCGAGTTGTTCCTGGACTCGAGAAGAGGAGGCAGCGACAGGATCTCGTCCACCGAGTGGTCCCTCGAAAACACCTCCTCCCCGGCCTGTTGAGGAGCTTGGCTGGTGCCGACGGTGCCGGTGTAGACCCCTGGTGTCACAACCAGAGCTCGCCCGGAATCCATCGGCCTGACCATGATGGCTCCGGTCGTATTTGGCCGTTTGACATCGTCGTAGCTACAGTTGGCAGGCAGGCCACGTGTTTGCCAGCCTGGGCCGCCTGATGCGAAGGGCCGACGCTCTCCTGGGCTCAGCTCCCGCGGATCCCGTGGAGTCTGGGCCTTTCCTCGGCGCAGCGAAGGCATAGGCTGGCTATCTTGCCTGGCATGCGTGCGAGGACTGTAGTTGACGTCGTTGTCAGGGATGCGGATGGACTGCAGTGCGATGGTCGTGAGGGCCGAGGGCTCCCACTCAGAAGGACGCTGTCGGTGAGTGATCCAATGCATTACGGAGCGCAGGTGCGTCAGCAGCTCGACAGTGTGCTCCTGCCTCGAGATACCACTTCCTCCCGGGCCTCCTCGTGACCTGTTGAGGCATATTTTGCCCAAGCAAAAGACTCCTTGTGCTAGGCATTCCAGCTGTTGCTGCAGCAGCTCTGTTAGCGTGGAGGCACCCAACGCGGAGCCTTGCATCAGATCTGTCAGCTGGGCCTGAAGTTGTTGCAGTTGCTCCGACTGCTCCACAAGGTGCTCCTCTAGCTCTCCCGGGTCTATTCCGGCATTCAAACCCAGCAGCTTCCGTAGCGGGTCATTCCGCATGGCGCTGTCTTCAGAGCTTCCTTCGCCTGGCTCGGATCCTGCCGCTTCCGAAAACTTAGCAGATTAGCAAACTTCACCTCCACATTTACAGAGACAGAGTCATTCCGAGACATCCCATTCCACAAACCACCAGGAAACGGTGGCCAAACTATTGCTTCATAACAAGAACCTCCTGTAGTTGTGCCCATTACGTTGTGGAATCCCACCAAAAACTTCTCTAACATGCTTTGATGAAGCTTCCACAATGCCTGCAGGACTCTGAAGGTGCAAGTCCAACATGTGCCTCTTCGCACTTCGAAACTCTACAGTTCCCAGCGCCGCACCGGGGTTTCCACCACTACAAGCTTCAGGCATTGAGTTCGGGTGAATCAAGGCCAGCTGGAGAGTGTAATTTAGGGTTGAGGGAAAAGGGGCCGCAGAATCGAAAGTCGGACCGACGCGCGTCCTTGTGCAATGCTCACTGCGCCCAGTGGGCTGTCGTCAGGCACGGACTCTTCCTCGATGGGCTCCTGGGCTTCGGCCCACAGAACTCTCAAAACAGAAGTGCCCAAGATCAGGTTGGCGGGCGCGGGAATGTGGAGACATGCGAAGCGAATCCGACAACGGCACACAAAGCGCTTGACGGGACGACGATGCAGGGTCATGAGGAGAAAACTCGTTGCGTGCTCTTGCTGAAGGGAACAGATATCACAACACCTCCCAGCATTATTTAGTCTTATTGGTCTTATTAATCTCATTCATTCCTGACTTGCTACTGGAAAACCTGTGCCAAGTGCAGTCGCCAAGTTCCGCGACGCATGCAACCTTCGGAATCGTAATCTTCATGGTCGACTCATGGGTGTCATCGCCCTTGGCGCAGACGCTGCCTATGAAAGTGCCTGATCAACCCTCGGAGATATGCAGCCGAGCTGCAAGATGTAGAACCAACACTCTGTTTGATTGAAATTTGCGGGGAAAAACATGAAACAAAACAACTTCGGCCCAGGGTCCTTTGGATCCTCTTCCGAGAACTTCACAGTGCTTGCCTCAGTCGAGGTTGGTGCCGCCGTGGAGGTCTTCAAGCTCAAGCTGTGAGTGACCTGCAGGACTCACAGGACTCCAGGTTGCTCAGCACGAGCAAAACACCCACTCATTCAGGGTTTTCGGCTCTCACACTCAGGGCTTAAAGTTTAAGGGGCCTGGCTTAGATTCCTGCTAGACGAGCCTAACTATACAGCAACTTGACATTGGCAGCGTCCTTATCAATATTTGCTTTCGACTGGCCTAGCACAGCGCCGGTGGGGCTTGGGAAGCTCCCTTATCATTTTGTTCCACCCTCCTGAGGTCTCTGAGTCTCTGTCTCTCCCTCTCTCTCACTCACTCACTACCGACTTCCAGATCCGAGGCCCAAGATCGAAGACCTTGACGTTCTTTAAAACGCATGTGGCCCCCCCTCTGTGTCCCACATGGTTTCATGGGACCCTATTACTATGGGCATCCATGAACCGTCGGCCAGGAAACGGAGACGCCGATACTTTCGCTGGCCATGGAGCTGCTTCGGCTCAGTTTGCCTCCCAAGACCTTTTTTTGGAGGTGCCAGGCGAATTGGACGTCTACTTGAAAGCGTGGGCATTACATCGTTGGGGTCTTTAGGGTGTTTCCACCCAATACTGTCTGACCCTCCGTCTAAGTGAAGGCTCAGGTGAAGTGTAGCAACCTCACACACCTCGCGATGTGTCCAGGCCACAAGAGAACTGCGAATCTGTACTCCTTGACTAACACCCAGCTAGCTCAAACTCGAGCCCACACTCCGAATCCCCGACCCTTGTTGATTCCCTCTTCGCTCTACGTCTCTGTCGCCATACTAGTCTATATGCTTTAAGAATGAACCTTGCAAGTAAAGGCTGAAGAGAAGTAAGCCGCACTGCGAGGAATGAAGGAACGCGCACGGCTTGGGCTTCGTTGGCTGCCGAGACCACCTTGTGCCCGCACTCAGAGAGACTCAACCGTGAGCAAGGTGCTAGGGACAGGACAAATGCGAACATCATCCCGGGATCAGACCCAGATTCGCTAATGAGAAAGCCATGACAAGCCCAAAAACAAACAGCCTGCTCATGCATGTTCTCACGGTAAAGCTATGTGCTTGCCAGGACTCCCCCCAACCCGTTGTGGAACTGCATTGACTCGATCCTTGCGCAAAGTGAGGTTCGGCAGCACGTATATGTGACAGCTCGATCCCAAATACAGCTAGCAATCAAGGCCTTACCCATGTGGCTCTGGAGTTTGGAGTGGCGCAGAGCAGTACATCTAGAATAGCTGCAAGCTGCGACATGATTTGACATGGTCGAGTTCCCAATTCCTAAATTGGACAAACTGCTGTGACAAGCGGGGGCCTGACAAAAGCAATCCCTGGAGCCCTGCTCAAAGTCAAATGTGCTGCACAGGTTCTTGGTGCTCTGCCAAGTCAGAGTATCGCGGATCTCCTTCAAGTCGCCCTCCATCTTGTCTTTCCCCGCACAGCGGTCCACTCGTTCTGTCAGAACTGCTACATCGTACCTTAGTGGAGGCAAGGCTCTCGCGACTCTAGCTGTCACATTTACATCACAAACCCCAAGCCGAAGCGACAACTGCCCTGGCCCGTTTAGATACTCAAATGCGGAGGCACTTGGTCCCTCTGTGGAGGATCTCCTCTGCGGCATGCTGCAGGGCGTGCTCATGGTCTTGCAGGATGACTTGGAACTCCGACACGCGGGTAACGACCTCCTGGAGCTTGTGTGTGGTCTCCTTTTGCAGGCGTGAGTGCAGGGATTCCAGGGTGTCAACGTGAAATAGGAGTTTGCCTTTTAGGTCGTCCATGGCCGTGACTGTTGCCTTCTCGGGCAACTCGTCCATCACAGTATTGATTCGCTCGTTCAGGAGCTCGTCCTTGTGGGAAAGCTTCGTGGTTTCATTTTCCAGGCACTGTTCCACGTACGCGTCCTTCATCCGCAGCTCATTTGCCAAGGTCTGCACAACGTGCTCCAGCTTCTTCATCTTCACATGCAGTGGCTCACACATGTGCTCCGTGGAGCTCTGAACCTCCGACATCATCACATCCTTGTGAACATAATTCTCCAAAGCCTTGTTGCAGGTGTCTTCAATATGCTTCTTGAAGGCCTCTCCCGACAAGAACTCCTTCTGCTTCTTGACCTCTACACCTAAAACCTTGCGCTCCACCACTTCGCCCTCCAATGCCTTGCTGAGCTTGGTGGCCTCGTCTCGGAGCTTCTTCTCACGGCTATTGAGCTGCTCCTGCAAATCCTTTTGTGCCTTCTGGCTTGCAGCGTTCTGGTCTTGGCATCGGGCATCCAAGGTCTTCAGCCACTCATGAGCCTTGGTGACCTCCGGCTTCAAGGTGTTGAGCTCCTTTTCGGTGTGCTCAGCATACGCCCCCAAGGTTTCCGAGAGCTCCAAGCGTGCTGCCTGCTCCTCAGCCACAAGGCGTTCTAGGGCCGCCAGCCGCTTTGTGTGGTCCTGTAGCAGTCGATAATGCTCCTCCTGCACTGTGAGCCGGAACTCGGGCCGCGTCACGAAATCCCGGTTCAGAGCATCTCGGCTGGCCAAAGACATAAGCTGGGCATGCTGTGCTTGAACAGATCGAAACTTCTTCGCCATCTCACCCCAAGCGCCCTTCAACCCGGATGAGCTGATCAGGTCCTTCAGGTATTCTGAAGCCGTGTCTTCATCGGCTTTGAACAAGACTTTCTCCATCTGAGATTCGGATCCATCAAGCTGCCGCCGTCGAGGCGTATCATCTTCCATGTCGAAGACGGGTGGCTTCTTCTCTTGCACAACCGCCGCCATGGCTGTGTGCCCATGCAGCTACGGCATCGGGTTTCAGCTGGAGAAAACGTCAACACAAGCTACGGAAAGGCAGATTGGGTACGAGAAGTCGATCCACAAATATCTGGGCAGCCGTTGTGGGAAGAGACTTTATGAGTTAATCCCCTCCCCATAATATGAAGCCCTCCCTGCCCCACCCCCTAAGATTAAATACTCCAGTTAGGGGGTTGGGGCGGGTTTAGTCTTAGGGGGAAGGGATGGCACACGACATCCGAGGAAGATTGGTTGCATCAAGTCGCATGGCAGCTCTCGGGTCTCTGATTTTTAATATGTTGGGATGTTCCCGCTTAATACTAACAGTAGTAACAGTTCCTATTACAATAATAGGGGGTGCTATAATCCCGATAAACGGATTAAATGGACTGTTGGTACAAGCGCGAACATCCCAATATAGAATTAAGCCCCGTCCGATCCCCCTCGGAAGTTCCAATGTCCACCACTTTCGCGGTCTTGCGTGCGAATCTTAGGCCGGTGCTCAATGCGCTGGATCTCAGTCTCTAGCCTCGGGGTCTGAAGTACCCAAAGACAAGTAAACATGTCTGTGCCCAGATTTCACTGCTAAACCTTTCAAAGCGGGTAGACGCTGATTGGTAGCCCATAGTCCCACACAACCTAAAGTACCTGACAACAGGTCACGCACACGGTCACGTTGCAAGCATCTCTTGGCTCAGCATCAAAGGCAGCTGCTGATTCCAAACTCGGGACCTCTCCTGGCAGGGGGCACAGCAATGTGCAAAAGGTCCATGCTAGTCCTGGACTCAGAGCTACATAATTGCCTCTCGTTGGGAGAAGACCTCTGCGTCGAGAAGCTTCACTTGGCCTCTCGCAGCTATGGGAGCTCTAGTTCCTTCACCGGAGGTACTTTAACCCTCTGCAGGTGGTTCGGGGTGGAGGTGTTATTCTCCCAGGTCTGGCTCGACACCTCGGCGGTCGACGGGCTGTAAATACTGCGCATTATGTGAACCATTGCAAAAACCGCAGCAAAACCTGTAAATCATGGTATTTATGTACATTCGCTTGCTTAACAGTGCACCAAATCCGAGCAATTACAGCATTCACGGGCTTTTAATATGTACGTTCGGCTGCTCGACAGTGCGCAAATTCCTAGCAATTACCGCATGCACCGGCTTTTAACACGCTTTATTAAATACTATCATTTGCAGTGTTTTCCGCGTTTCGAGCTCCTGAATCATGACAAAAACCGCAGCAATGCACCAAATCTTAGAAATTTCAGCAGCATTCATGGGCTTTTGATACGCTTTAAATACAAAGTGTAACAGTTTTGACGGGCATTGATTTTTAAACACACATACGTACATACATACATACATACATACATACATACATACATACATACATACATACATACATACATACATATATATATATATATATTATACTTGCAGACAGCACGGCACAACAAAGTTCAATGCTCACACAGCTTTTGAACAATGATTCATATGTTTTGAAGCAAGCTTGCATGGCTTAAAACAAGCGGGGGGGTGGGGGAGGGGGAACAGCCCTCCCCCTTTGCAAACACAATGATCGTATCATGGGTTTAAAAAAGATTTATCGTATGCATTGGAGCAAGCTTGCACGGTTTACAAACAGCGGGTTGGGGGGCGCGACGCAAAAAACAATGCTCGCACAGCTTTCACGGCAAACCCTGAGGACCACAGGACAGGACCGCAGGACCGGAAGACCAGAGGACCGCAGGACCAGAGGACCACAGGACCAGAAGACCACAGGATTTTAGGACCAGAGGACCGCAAGACCAGAGGGCCACAAACCAGAGGACCACAGGACCAGAGAACCACAGGACCAAAGGACCACAGGACCAGCCAGACCTTGGAAAAGGTAACAAGGGAAAGCCAGACCTAGGAAAAAAAAACACCGGACCCGTGGTTCGGCCAGGCCAAGAAAAAATCCATGAGAGCTGACGTCCCGGAGTGTGGCTCACTTGCAGCAGTTTATAGCAGATAGCGGAAAGTGCTTTCAGATGGCGAGTGCACACTTGCGGGATCTTGCAGGCATGATCAGGACTTGTTGCATTGGCTTCTCAATAAGTTGCTTTTTTGCTGATTGCTCCTCCAGACGCTGACTCTGCTGACTCGATGTGGAAAACAAGCATGTCTTCCAAGCAGCAGATCTTGACCCGCGCGAGGTGGTAAGACTGCTTCCGGAGTCTCCGGGCTAGCCGGATCACGAAGTCGATTCATCTGCCGCTGCTGTTACTGTTACTGCTGCTCGACCGTCGAGATCTCCTTCCTGAGCGTCTTCTCGGCAGCCTTGCAGCGCGCCTGCATCAATGCATAGGAGGTTGGGTTGTTGTGACGAAAACGCGAGCCAAATCAGGTCACGTGCGCCTCGCAAAGGCATGCTTCAAGCACGTGTTTATCTGCGTCCCAGCTGCTGCGTGATGTTCTTGCACTCCACATGGACCAAAAAGCAAGCCAGCTCGGAGTCCTCATTGGTTTCCCTCTGACCTCTCGCTGTGTCAACTGTCCTTGGCATTCTGTTCATTGCCGCCTGCTCCATCAAACATGCCAGAAATGAAATGCGAGCTCCTACCCAATCAAGCGACCATTCCAACCGCACTGCTCACAAAACAAAGGTTCAGACACCAAAGCAAAAGTACGCTTTGGGAGGCATGTACATCTGTTTAAAGAAGTTCCAGCAAGCGGTCCAGAGCCATGGAAGCTCCAGTTTTTCATGTCCTGGAATCGAATAGAAAGCTGAGCCCAGGCCAAGCCTTTTCCCAAACTTGAAGTTCAAAATATTTCAAACGCCAAGAAGATCAATAAGTCTGGAAGCTTGGCTTTCTGACGGCTCACAGGCTCTTTTCGGCTTGATGTCACCGAAAGAGCCCCAACAAGCTCACCTAGCTTTAGCCTTTTCACCAAACCGGGCCCCGCTAAGTAAGCCGTTTCCCTCCGGGCATCGCCACCCCCCGCACTCTTTGTCGGAGGAGGGCGAGAGTTGCCATGAGTTACAGTTTCGTGCGAGGGCGACGCACGCAACAAGCAACAACACTGCAAATGACAATGTCCTGTTTGGCGAACCTTGATTAGCTAAATCAACTCCATAGTTGTCGGAACCTTTCTTCAGTCAGAGGGCTCGGCTTGTGGTTGCGGCGGCTGCGATGCCGAGGATGCCGATGCACACATTTCCTGGCTGCCGTGGCCGGCAGAGATACCAGCTGACGGCCGCGCATGTTCCGCATCGCGTGTGGATGGTTCCGCCTCGTTGGTCACATGCATCTTGGTGACTGCGACTTCAGTTGCCTTGGAAGGGAGGTGGTGATGGCATGTTTTTGGGCCACCCGCCAAGCAGACCAGCAAAGCAGGGCGGCATGTTGCTACAGTAGTTTTGAAGCACGAAACTGAGCCTGAGGCACGTGCAACAGCAAGGGTAAAAAACGACGACAACAAGGACAACAACGACGACGACCACCCACAACACTAGTACCACAAGAAGAGGTCATTTTGCTCCGATGATTTGGACGATGAGGCCATATGAGCGACTGCCAAAACCGGCTCGAGGTGCTACTAGACGCAACAAGAGGGGTGTGGCTTTTCAAGTGTTCCCATCATTTTACAGGGTTTTAGCATCAATCATCCACGCTTGATGTTTGTAGGTGTCGCTTTGGGAAAAAATCACGGCTATAGCACACCCAACGGTTCGGTGTCGCTTTTCAAGTGTTCCCATCGTTTTACAGGGTTTTGGGTATTCGTGTCCACCCCTTACTTAATTGAACTGGGGGTTTTGGCGCTTGCTCATATGAGTCTGGTACGGTGCTAAGTAACTACACTTACAACTACCCCACTTTGCTTCGCTCTGATTCCTGAACCACCATAGTCCCAATCTCTGCCGGGGGAGAGAGAAAATGAACGCTAAGACTGCACAGCGGCCTGCAGCGTGCCACCGCTGCTGCCAGGAAGGTGAATTTCAAACGGCCCAGGATACGCCACTGTCGGAGTTCCGGCCAGCTCCTACATGTGGGGTGAGGGGTGAGGAATAAAGAACTGGTGACGGCAGCTTCTATTGCGAACCATGTTTGGGACCCTGATCTGCTGTTACGTCACGCATCGGTGTATCCCGTGTCTGAAGTTATAAAGTAAGAAGGAGCCAAGGCGCCGCTTGCACCTGGTCAATCAACCACTCGCGGAAGTCAACCATGGATCTCGGGAGAAGCCACTTCTCCCTTAGTCCGTAGGTTTTGTGGCGTATGGCCTGGCGCTCTTCCGGTTAGCCTACGGTGCTGCTCCTCCTTGCTTCGGGGGCTATGTCGCACTTAACCACAGCAAAGTACACACACAACTGGTTTACATGCTGCGGACCGTGTGGTGAACCCTTCGGCCACCCCAGCTCTTCAACTTTGGAATCTATACTCAATTAATCTTGAGGCTTTGCCTTTGCCCAAAACCCAAGCATGGCCTGATCAACATCAACCTCCTTCACCACCGAGGTTCATGGTGGGCATGCGGCTTGAGCCTTCGGGCTGAAGCTGAGAGATGTTGAAGTTAAGCTTCACCTCGGCTTGTAGGGAAGCCCAGTCCAGGGAGTCCAGGCTGTTGCTGCAGCTGCTCCCAGGAACAACAAAATGACAGTTGTTGCACAACGGAAAGACGGTCGAGGTTTTGGAGCTGTGAGTGGCTACAGGTGGTTTTGTTTGCGGGCGTAGTCGTGTTTGTCTTCGCTCTGCCTGCAGCCGCTGAAAACTTCCGACGCGCAGCACTGCCTGTTTTGGTTGGTTCCCTACAGTGACCGAGATGGACAGAATGACCGTGTCGAACTAGTTAGCAAGTGAAGGTACACGGTAGCCTCATGACTCCGCGAAGAAACTCAACGACACAGCGGGCCTCGGGGCGCAACTCGCGAGGCTTATGCGAATTCTCATGGAGCAACGCTTGGGACCTGGGCCTCACAAGGCTTAGGATATGTGGGGATGATGGCCTGCAGCATCGTCAGCTCCTCCGAGTAGATGTCCAGAGTGAAACCCAGGCTTTCCTTGGTGCGTTACTTGATGCGTTGGACAGCGCTATCTTTGGGTTGCCGGATTTTGACGACAACAAGAAATGAGCCTCTATCAGCCGAAGCTCAATTTCCGGCAGGGCGACTTCTTGACGTTGGCTCGCCAAGGTGCCTGCGGGGCGGTCGAGGGGCTGCCAGAGAAGCCCCATAGGTATACTGTGCTCTTTGCTCGGGATGGTGCTGTGGGTTATCCAGGCTCAAGGTTCCAGGCTCTTTCCGGTGTCTCCGGAAGATTTCAAGCTGTTTGGAGTTTGAAGCTCACGTCTTATCGTCCATCGGGAAAGGCTTGCGACGCCCATGGCATTGTTTTTTTTGTTCTCTGAGAACACGGGGCTGCAGATGTGAAGGCTTCGGACGTAACTTGAACCGTTCAGTGGGCAACACGGGCTTGACTAACAAAGCATGGTCATACTTGCGAAGATTATGCCACAGGTGATTGTGTCTCGTATGACTGTGGTGCCACGCAATCAGCCTGGTGGAGTTGTGTCGGACGAAATCCTCGAAACCTCGTCCAGCTCATCTTGCGCAGGAGTCTCCGCGGCAGTCTGATGCGCCTGACAAACACAAGCGCTGTACAACAATGACCGATCAGTCAAAGAAAGCTGAGCATCGTAGAAAGTCCAACCCGTGGTGCCACCCCGAATTGTCAAAGCCCTGCTTGGGGCCGGAGCGTTTTCATCAGTGCTGGCTGATGTCCAACAAGTTAAAGAGAGAAGCAACCCAGTCTGCAAAGCAGACAAGGCGTTCTAATGGCTTCATGTACGAGTGCTTTTGCGCATGCTTGAGCAACCCCTGAGTCACGTTTTGATCGTATCAGGTCGACGCACGCTTCCTGCCTCGGAGTGGGGCTGGCAGAAGCAAACCAGCCACAGTAACTCACTGTCAGCACCGTACCGCTCAGCGCCCACGGGGCACATGTACATCTGAACCTGCTTCTCATTCCGAAGTCGAGCATGGAAACTGCACGCTGGTGCAGTCGAGTTCGGGGGCGACGATTTCATCGCGGGGCAGATCCTGAGGAAATACACGATGTGATGCGGCCACAAGGTGCAACATCCATGTCCGAAACGCACCACTTCGTGAAGCCGGATGTATCCACAAGTGTCCCAAAAACACACAAAGACGGGAAAACTTTGCTGGCATTGCTGGCAGGCGAAGACATGCTTCGTACCTCTGCAGGATGTAAGAGATCCTGACGAGGTGCTCTGTTGCGGAGACTTGCTTTGGGCCTTTGCAACTCTACCTTCGGAGCCTCAAGAAAGGTTCTTTACGAGGCATGTCCTCTTTGTAACCGGCACATCCCCCAACTCGACTCCGAAGAAGTTGCAGACACGCAACGCAAGTAGGGGCAGAAAATAACGAAGGATAACTTGAATTAACCCCATAAACCCTAAAGGCCCTATAAACCCTCATAAACCCTTTTTGCTCCCTCATAAACCCTAAACCCTAAACAAAACCCTCACGAACCCTAAGCCCTACATCTGGCTTTGGAGTCTTCGCCGGGGCCCCCGTCCTGCAGAAGAGCACCCTCAACTTTGACCTTGCAAAGCGCAAGTTCTGAAGGGCCAGGACTCAGAAACTCGTATAGTAGTTGATTCCGATATCCGGGCGCTGTTTCATGACGGTTTCTGAGCGGTTCCCATCCTACACTTCCCGGATCTTTCTGGAGGCTCTGTCAAATCTGCAAGCAGCCCATTCAAAGACCCAACGGAGCCACATTAAAAACATGGAAGTTAAAAAAAGATTTCACAAGTAATAAGTCTTGTGATGCGCTCGCTGCACAAAAAAACTGTTAATGTGGGCTCTTAACGGGCTTCTACTAATACGGCACGGGCTCCACATGTAGCCTTTGTAGATGATTCTGTCGTTACCCCAGTCACTGTTGGAACTCTATAAAGCTGGTTGAAGTTTTAGGTTTGCAACATCCGTGCCTCTTCCTCCTGGCCGAGCATGCCCTCTATGTAGTGCCGGCACCGGGGCTCTGCTTGAACAATCTTGCCGTTCTTCATCAGCAGCATCTCTCCATCCGTAACAACAGAAAGTATGTTCCGTCGAGCTTCGGCAAGCGCCAGCTTGTCTTGCGACGCAACACCGCCGTCTTGACAGTGAGAATGAACAATGCGAATCGTACGGAGCAGGAGCAAGATCACCAGAGTCCCAAAACCATCCATCCAGATAGTCTTCAGAAACAAATCCTGCCAAAGAACACATCGCACAACCAGAACACGGTGTTTGGGTGGCACGGATGTAAAGCACTGACTGAGCCCTACATAAACAAAACCTGCTGCCGCCGGTTCTGAGGTGCCAGGCCACAAAAAGCCACACTTTAATCCACCTTCCTCCCCCCTAAAAAAAAAAGGGAAAAAGAAAAAAAAACTCAGTTCCTCCCCCCCCCCCACCCCCAACATTCAGTTGAGGTGCTGTTGTCAGTCTGAATGCCGTGATCGCAGCTACAGGCACCGCATACGTGGTCAAAGCCAAAGTTGCAGCGCGCCTCAGAAGACAGGGGGTGCAGGGTTGTAAGAGGTTTAAGGGGCCTTTGGGTTTCTAGCGGCTTTAAGGGTTTTAAAGGTTTTCAGGGTGTTTTAGGGCTTTTAAGGGGGGTTTCAGGGTTGTTAGGGGCTGGCTCAGAGGCCGACGCGCGGATGGTTGCGCACACTCACAACGCTCCAAACCCTGCGGCCTCCGCTACTCTGAACTCCACTCGAAAACCTCGACCTCTGAACCGAGTGTTCGACCTGTGCACAGCCCTCATGAGCTCCCAACGCATGACCCCTACTGCTCCAGAAACCGCAACCACCGCAAGCATCCTGAATCATGAGAATCAGCAGCAGGTGGGCATCATGAGCATTGGCCAGAGCCCTCAGCTGCAAAAGCCAACCCGGCGAGCATCATGAGCATCAGTGGCCAGAGCCCTCAGCCGCAAAAGCCAACCCGGCGAGCATCATGGGCATCAGTGGCCAGAGCCCTCAGCTGCAAAAGCCAACCCGGCGAGCATCATGAGCATCAGTGGCCAGAGCCCTCAGCCGCAAAAGCCAACCCGGCGAGCATCATGGGCATCAGTGGCCAGAGCCCTCCGCCGCAAAAGCCAACCCGGCGAGCATCATGGGCATCAGTGGCCAGAGCCCTCAGCCACAGAAGCCAACCCGGCGAGCATCATGGGCATCAGTGGCCAGAGCCCTCAGCCACAAAAGCCAACCCGGCGAGCATCATGGGCATCAGTGGCCGCAGCCCTCAGCCACAGAAGCCAACCCGGCGAGCATCATGAGCATCAGTGGCCAGAGCCCTCGCCGCAAAAGCCAACCCGGCGAGCATCATGGGCATCAGTGGCCGCAGCCCTCAGCCACAGAAGCCAACCCGGCGAGCATCATGAGCATCAGTGGCCACAGCCCTCAGCCGCAAAAGCCAACCCGGCGAGCATCATGGGCATCAGTGGCCAGAGCCCTCAGCCGCAAAAGCCAACCCGGCGAGCATCATGGGCATCAGTGGCCGCAGCCCTCAGCCACAGAAGCCAACCCGGCGAGCATCATGAGCATCAGTGGCCAGAGCCCTCAGCCGCAAAAGTCAACCCGGCGAGCATCATGAGCATCAGTGGCCAGAGCCTTCAGCCGCAAAAGCCAACCCGGCGAGCATCATGAATCATGGGCATCAGTGGCCAGAGCCCTCCGCCGCAAAAGCCAACCCGGCGAGCATCATGGGCATCAGTGGCCAGAGCCCTCAGCCACAGAAGCCAACCCGGCGAGCATCATGAATCATGGGCATCAGTGGCCAGAGCCCTCCGCCGCAAAAGCCAACCCGGCGAGCATCATGGGCATCAGTGGCCGCAGCCCTCAGCCACAGAAGCCAACCCGGCGAGCATCATGAGCATCAGTGGCCACAGCCCTCAGCCGCAAAAGCCAACCCGGCGAGCATCATGGGCATCAGTGGCCAGAGCCCTCAGCCGCAAAAGCCAACCCGGCGAGCATCATGGGCATCAGTGGCCGCAGCCCTCAGCCACAGAAGCCAACCCGGCGAGCATCATGAGCATCAGTGGCCAGAGCCCTCAGCCGCAAAAGTCAACCCGGCGAGCATCATGGGCATCAGTGGCCGCAGCCCTCAGCCACAGAAGCCAACCCGGCGAGCATCATGAGCATCAGTGGCCACAGCCCTCAGCCGCAAAAGCCAACCCGGCGAGCATCATGGGCATCAGTGGCCAGAGCCCTCCGCCGCAAAAGCCAACCCGGCGAGCATCATGGGCATCAGTGGCCGCAGCCCTCAGCCACAGAAGCCAACCCGGCGAGCATCATGAGCATCAGTGGCCAGAGCCCTCAGCCGCAAAAGCCAACCCGGCGAGCATCATGGGCATCAGTGGCAGCAGCCCTCAGCCACAGAAGGCGGCGAGCATCATGAGCATCAGTAGCCAGAGCCCTCAGCCGCAAAAGCCAACCCGGCGAGCATCATGGGCATCAGTGGCAGCAGCCCTCAGCCACAGAAGCCAACCCGGCGAGCATCATGAGCATCAGTGGCCAGAGCCCTCAGCCGCAAAAGCCAACCCGGCGAGCATCATGGGCATCAGTGGCCGCAGCCCTCAGCCGCAGAAGCCAACCCGGCGAGCATCATGAGCATCAGTGGCCAGAGCCCTCAGCCGCAAAAGCCAACCCGGCGAGCATCATGGGCATCAGTGGCCGCAGCCCTCTGCCACAGAAGCCAACCCGGCGAGCATCATGGGCATCAGTGGCCGCAGCCCTCAGCCGCAAAAGCCAACCCGGCGAGCATCATGAGCATCAGTGGCCAGAGCCCTCAGCCGCAAAAGCCAACCCGGCGAGCATCATGGGCATCAGTGGCCGCAGCCCTCAGCCACAGAAGCCAACCCGGCGAGCATCATGGGCATCAGTGGCCAGAGCCCTCAGCCGCAAAAGCCAACCCGGCGAGCATCATGGGCATCAGTGGCCGCAGCCCTCAGCCACAGAAGCCAACCCAGCGAGCATCATGAGCATCAGTGGCCAGAGCCCTCAGCCGCAAAAGTCAACCCGGCGAGCATCATGGGCATCAGTGGCCTCAGCCCTCAGCCACAGAAGCCAACCCGGCGAGCATCATGAGCATCAGTGGCCAGAAGCCCTCAGCCGCAAAAGCCAACCCGGCGAGCATCATGGGCATCAGTGGCGGCAGCCCTCAGCCACAGAAGCCAACCCGGCGAGCATCATGAGCATCAGTGGCCAGAGCCCTCAGCCACAGAAGCCAACCCGGCGAGCATCATGAGCATCAGTGGCCAGAGCCCTCAGCCGCAAAAGCCAACCCGGCGAGCATCATGGGCATCAGTGGCGGCAGCCCTCAGCCACAGAAGCCAACCCGGCGAGCATCATGAGCATCAGTGGCCAGAGCCCTCAGCCGCAAAAGCCAACCCGGCGAGCATCATGGGCATCAGTGGCCGCAGCCCTCAGCCGCAGAAGCCAACCCGGCGAGCATCATGAGCATCAGTGGCCAGAGCCCTCAGCCGCAAAAGCCAACCCGGCGAGCATCATGGGCATCAGTGGCCGCAGCCCTCTGCCACAGAAGCCAACCCGGCAGCAGCCAGTCATGGGCATCAGTGGCCGCAGCCCATCAGCCGAGCCACAGAAGCCAACCCGGCGAGCATCATGAGCATCAGTGGCCAGAGCCCTCAGCCGCAAAAGCCAACCCGGCGAGCATCATGGGCATCAGTGGCCAGAGCCCTCAGCCGCAAAAGCCAACCCGGCGAGCATCATGGGCATCAGTGGCCGCAGCCCTCAGCCACAGAAGCCAACCCAGCGAGCATCATGAGCATCAGTGGCCAGAGCCCTCAGCCGCAAAAGTCAACCCGGCGAGCATCATGGGCATCAGTGGCCTCAGCCCTCAGCCACAGAAGCCAACCCGGCGAGCATCATGAGCATCAGTGGCCAGAAGCCCTCAGCCGCAAAAGCCAACCCGGCGAGCATCATGGGCATCAGTGGCGGCAGCCCTCAGCCACAGAAGCCAACCCGGCGAGCATCATGAGCATCAGTGGCCAGAGCCCTCAGCCACAGAAGCCAACCCGGCGAGCATCATGAGCATCAGTGGCCAGAGCCCTCAGCCGCAAAAGCCAACCCGGCGAGCATCATGGGCATCAGTGGCGGCAGCCCTCAGCCACAGAAGCCAACCCGGCGAGCATCATGAGCATCAGTGGCCAGAGCCCTCAGCCGCAAAAGCCAACCCGGCGAGCATCATGGGCATCAGTGGCCTCAGCCCTCAGCCACAGAAGCCAACCCGGCGAGCATCATGAGCATCAGTGCCCAGAGCCCTCAGCCGCAAAAGCCAACCCGGCGATCATCATGGGCATCAGTGGCCGCAGCCCTCAGCCACAGAAGCCAACCCGGCGAGCATCATGAGCATCAGTGGCCAGAGCCCTCAGCCGCAAAAGCCAACCCGGCGAGCATCATGGGCATCAGTGGCCGCAGCCCTCAGCCACAGAAGCCAACCCGGCGAGCATCATGAGCATCAGTGGCCAGAGCCCTCAGCCGCAAAAGCCAACCCGGCGAGCATCATGGGCATCAGTGGCCGCAGCCCTCAGCCACAGAAGCCAACCCGGCGAGCATCATGAGCATCAGTCAGTCGAGCATCATGAGCATCAGTGGCCAGAGCCCTCAGCCGCAAAAGCCAACCCGGCGAGCATCATGGGCATCAGTGGCCGCAGCCCTCAGCCACAGAAGCCAACCCGGCGAGCATCATGAGCATCAGTGGCCAGAGCCCTCAGCCACAAAAGCCAACCCGGCGAGCATCATGGGCATCAGTGGCCGCAGCCCTCAGCCACAGAAGCCAACCCGGCGAGCATCATGAGCATCAGTGGCCAGAGCCCTCAGCCACAAAAGCCAACCCGGCGAGCATCATGGGCATCAGTGGCCGCAGCCCTCAGCCACAGAAGCCAACCCGGCGAGCATCATGAGCATCAGTGGCCAGAGCCATCAGGCAAAAGCCAACCCGGCGAGCATCATGGGCATCAGTGGCCGCAGCCCTCAGCCACAGAAGCCAACCCGGCGAGCATCATGAGCATCAGTGGCCAGAGCCTTAGCCGAAAAAGCCAACCCGGCGAGCATCATGGGCATCAGTGGCCGCAGCCCTCAGCCACAGAAGCCAACCCGGGGAGCATCATGAGCATCAGTGGCCAGAGCCTTCAGCCGCAAAAGCCAACCCGGCGAGCATCATGGGCATCAGTGGCCGCAGCCCTCAGCCACAGAAGCCAACCCGGGGAGCATCATGAGCATCAGTGGCCAGAGCCCTCAGCCGCAAAAAGCCAACCCGGCGAGCATCATGGGCATCAGTGGCCGCAGCCCTCAGCCACAGAAGCCAACCCGGGGAGCATCATGAGCATCAGTGGCCAGAGCCCTCAGCCGCAAAAGCCAACCCGGCGAACATCATGGGCATCAGTGGCCGCAGCCCTCAGCCACAGAAGCCAACCCGGCGAGCATCATGAGCATCAGCGGCCAGAGCCCTCAGCCGCAAAAGCCAACCCGGCGAGCATCATGGGCATCAGTGGCCGCAGCCCTCAGCCACAGAAGCCAACCCGGCGAGCATCATGAGCATCAGTGGCCAGAGCCCTCAGCCGCAAAAGCCAACCCGGCGAGCATCATGGGCATCAGTGGCCGCAGCCCTCAGCCACAGAAGCCAACCCGGCGAGCATCATGAGCATCAGTGGCCAGAGCCCTCAGCCGCAAAAGCCAACCCGGCGAGCATCATGGGCATCAGTGGCCGCAGCCCTCAGCCACAGAAGCCAACCCGGCGAGCATCATGAGCATCAGCGGCCAGAGCCCTCAGCCGCAAAAGCCAACCCGGCGAGCATCATGGGCATCAGTGGCCGCAGCCCTCAGCCACAGAAGCCAACCCGGCGAGCATCATGAGCATCAGTGGCCAGAGCCCTTAGCCGCAAAAGCCAACCCGGCGAGCATCATGGGCATCAGTGGCCGCAGCCCTCAGCCACAGAAGCCAACCCGGCGAGCATCATGAGCATCAGCGGCCAGAGCCCTCAGCCGCAAAAGCCAACCCGGCGAGCATCATGGGCATCAGTGGCCGCAGCCCTCAGCCACAGAAGCCAGCCCGGCGAGCATCATGAGCATCAGTGGCCAGAGCCCTTAGCCGCAAAAGCCAACCCGGCGAGCATCATGGGCATCAGTGGCCGCAGCCCTCAGCCACAGAAGCCAACCCGGCGAGCATCATGAGCATCAGCGGCCAGAGCCCTCAGCCGCAAAAGCCAACCCGGCGAGCATCATGGGCATCAGTGGCCGCAGCCCTCAGCCACAGAAGCCAACCCGGGGAGCATCATGAGCATCAGTGGCCAGAGCCCTCAGCCGCAAAAGCCAACCCGGCGAACATCATGGGCATCAGTGGCCGCAGCCCTCAGCCACAGAAGCCAACCCGGCGAGCATCATGAGCATCAGCGGCCAGAGCCCTCAGCCGCAAAAGCCAACCCGGCGAGCATCATGGGCATCAGTGGCCGCAGCCCTCAGCCACAGAAGCCAACCCGGCGAGCATTGAGCATCAGCGGCCAGAGCCCTCAGCCGCAAAAGCCAACCCGGCGAGCATCATGGGCATCAGTGGCCGCAGCCCTCAGCCACAGAAGCCAGCCCGGCGAGCATCATGAGCATCAGTGGCCAGAGCCCTCAGCCGCAAAAGCCAACCCGGCGAGCATCATGGGCATCAGTGGCTGCAGCCCTCAGCCACAGAAGCCAGCCCGGCGAGCATCATGAGCATCAGCGGCCAGAGCCCTCAGCCGCAAAAGCCAACCCGGCGAGCATCATGGGCATCAGTGGCCGCAGCCCTCAGCCACAGAAGCCAGCCCGGCGAGCATCATGAGCATCAGCGGCCAGAGCCCTCAGCCGCAAAAGCCAACCCGGCGAGCATCATGGGCATCAGTGGCCGCAGCCCTCAGCCCCAGAAGCCAACCTGGCCAGCATCATGAGCTCAGCAGCCGCAAAACCCCGGTGCGAGCGATCTCTAGTCCAAAATTTGTCCAGTCCTATTGCCATTCTTTCCGCTTCTTGCGTGCAAGGCTCCTTTCGTCCAGCATGAACAAAGCTCCAACCAGTTGAAGTATGAACTTAGACAGGCACAAACGCCAGTAAGGGCGCGGGATGCGCACACAGCGAGCACAGCTAACACGCGGCAAACTAAGACGATCTGTCAGCCCAACTGGAAAACAACGCTATTGTTTGCGGCCAGAGGCACACGATATGTCTGCAAAGGCTGATTGCATGCAAACCCTGGCAGCGACAGAAAAAGTACTTGGAAGAAGTAGGACGTGAAGGCCAGCAAATCCAGCAGCCGCCCTGAGAGAGTCTTGAGCAGCACATTAGTCACAGCTGACATGCAGTCTCAACGGTCTCACCGAGTCCTACTCTCACTTTCTTTCGTTGTCTCCCGAAGTTCCGACAATAGGGCAACCCTCCCAAAGCACCGGACGGGCTTTGCCCTCATCAGCTGAGGCACGCAAGAGCACAACATGCCATGTGCCCTCGAAGCTTCAGCTTCAGCATTTCTGAGTTCTATAGGTCCCGCCGGCTTTTTGCCGAGATGTTCTCCAGGCTTTTCAGGTCCTAGAACTTAGAAGGGTTCAGGTCGTGGTCTCCACCCCAACCATTGTCTCTGTCTGTCGATCTATCCTCTTCTTCCCGTGGGTATGAGGGTCCGGCCCCATCCCTCGCACTCTCGCACTCTCGCACCTCTCACAACTCTCACACTCTCTGCCCCTCCCTCTCCCGTCAATGATACTAATGCCAATGCGGTCCCCTACGCATCATTCAACCTCGTCGGGCCTCATGCTCATACCAACGAGACAAAATCATATAGACACTACCAGTCACTACCAGTATCCACGTCCTCGACAGCTAAGGACATCAGCCAAGTCTCCCGTAGGTTTGTGAGAGAACGCAGCTGCATAAAGAAAGGCCACCTTGAAACTATAGTTTCAGGTCACAGGCGCTGATCAACTTCCAAGGCGCAACAACAAGATGGTCTAAGTAAGTCCAAGGAGCTTGGGCAGCCACTGCCGTCCAAAACGGAGCAGCATACAGAAATGAGCTTCCTTCCTGGAGATGGGGGGATGCTTGAATTGAAGCACACAGGCTGTCAAAGTCACGCAAGATTTTCGCAAGTTAACTCTCAGAAGTTACCACGCTTTGTACGAGATGCCCCTGCTAGAACCACAGCTGCCTCAACAGCCACCCTGGCAGCATTGCGTGCAGGCTGTCCTTCAGAATCGATTCGCCCATGATACCGAGAGTTGCTACAAGAGTCAGGTGTGGCATGAGCCACTGGACCATGACCTGAGTGAGAGCTCAAGACATCCAGGCTATCGTTCCAGCACATCCTTGCGATACTGCGATCTAACGGCCAGGGCATCATACTTTCGGATGCTCTAGGCTCTTGCTGCCCAACATCTTGGGCTAGATCGGGATGCACACTGCGGCAAACACTTTGCTGGGGGCCCCCGCAAGCACAGGAACCGCCAAGGTAAACGGAGTCTACCGTTTCTTCCTACGTTAGACTGAAGGCTGGTTCAGGGCAGCTGAATCCAACAAGAAGAGGCCCGCCATCATTGCAGTCACGTTGCATATCCCCACGTGAGACGCAAGTATTCCTGCAGGGACCCTAGGGGAGGGTCCTTGACATGAGTGATGCTGGCTGCAAGATTCATTGCTGTGGGATGATTTCGGGCCGGGGTCTCTTACCTCTTGGATGGTGCAGTGGGCAGCCCGGCCTTGCTGCTACTGCCGCTATCTCCATCACCGGCTTGTGCCTCAGCGGTTCTTTAAAAATGAGGGCTCAAAGCCGAAAGAGCACAAAGTTCTGGGCCTATCATGACGTATTCAGCGCAACTCGGCCCAGGTTCTGTCACAGCACCAAGTAGTTTTGCAGGTGCAGACTCCGTCCGAGTGCAACCACAGACCCCGCGACTCCACTCACAACAGGGAACACAACGCACAGCAAAATGCCATGTCTTGCAAGCAGGCCCTTAAGGGGTCATCCAACTATGCGCAAGCAGCCACGAGAGAGAGAGAGAGCGAGAGCTAAGAAAGAGAGAACCATGACTAGTCTCTGTGCTGGGCACGAGGAGCTAGAGCAGCTAGAGCGAGAGAGCGAGAGTCACTGCGCCACTTTTGGTCTTGTTCGTACGTTTTGAACGCAGAAGCCCGCCTGGCTCGGTCGGCAGAGCGCGTGAACTCGAGCCCCACGGTGGGGTGTTTGCACAAAGACGCGGCTTTGGCAAAGCTGAAGGGAATTCTTCAACAATCAATGCCATCTCATGACTAGCTCGTTCTTCCACTCTTTCATTTATTCGTTCATTTTAGTTTTAACTTGTATGAAGATCAGCACCGGCAACTAAGGGTCTCGAGACTGACGCGCGATCTTAGCAAATCAGCCTTCACTTATCACCCCATTCTTTACATGTCCGTGTCGTGGCTGCTGCCATGTGCAAGGAGAAGCTTGCTGCTGCCACAACACGTCACAGAAATGGATCTTCTCCTTGAGCGACTGCACTGCCAAAGTGGTGCCTTCCAAGGCGATGGGGGTTGCTAGGTCATGTGCTCCATCCGCCCGTCTACAAGTAGATTTTCACAGTGTGCAGCGCGTAATAGCCGGTGATCTGTGTTGAGACGGTACACACACGAGGGTGCCAATCCCTCAGGCGGTACTCGGACAATCTAGCATTTCCGGGCCATGTCCCCCCCATCAATGGCACTTGACGTATTAAGCCGCCCTCGATTCAAGGTATGCCGCGCACGGCAATTTCATACCTCCCCCCCCTATTCCATGCAGGGCTTATGGTCCGAGCGCTGGCAAAACCTCAGAGAGGGTCTATAGGGGTGGGTGCGTGTGTGTGTGTGTGTCCAGAGTTCCCGACATGTGTTTTTCATGGTGACCTGTAGGACGGCCTACGCTTAGCCCAGCCTACCAAAGCAGTGGCCACAAAGGCCACGATCACCGCAGTTGCCATCACCGGCGCTGCAAACAAAAGTGGGGATAATATGTACGGCAGGTATAGTGACGTTGACTTAGTGCGGGCACTACGCCTGAAGAGTGATAGCTGCAATATTCGTACGTTTTCTACAGCTGTGGGGTGGAACCTTTGTAGGAGCAAGCTTTGACATTTCACTTGAATGAGGCGGCTGGCACAGCCTCTTGGGAATGCGGCCAGGCATAAGTGACATCACCATCCTGCTCTGCGTGACAGAAACCATGGATGTTTCAACAATTTTTTATCGATATCGAATCCGTATCGATACCGAACCGTGAGGTATCGCTAATGCGCGGTATCGATATCGAACCGAATCGAAGCAGACCAACCAAACTCTGATCCCAAACCCAAATCCCACAAGCCTGTTATTTAAGGGTTTGTTGGGTTAGGGTTCGCAATTGTGGAGAGAGGGTATGGCCTAATGGTAGAGCACGTCTCTAGCGATCACATACCATTAGTAATCGAGTATCGAACCGAACCGTGACCATCAATACTACCAATACTTTATCGAGTAGTAATCGGTAACATATCGGTATTGATCGAACCGGTAGATTACATCCATGGGAACGAGGCACCCCGTCTTGTACGGACCACCGCAAATGGCCAAAACAAGGCAAAACTAAACCCTAAACCCTAAACCCTAAATGAAGACATTTGAAGACGCTCTGGACGGATATGCATGCCGAGCCAGGGCCGCTGCGCTTCACATCCAGTAAGGCTTCAGATACTGGTGAGAGCCGGGCCTGAATCCCAAAAAAAAAAAAGGGCTTTTTGAGGGCTCAGGATTTCTGGGGCAAAGGTTTGTCCAAGACTCCGTACCAGACCCCAAACCCTTTTGCAACAGGCCTGAGACCGCTAAACCCTAAACCCTAAAATCCAGCAAACTTTCCAGGTCTGAGGACCCCGGCATCCATCAACCCGGGCCTTCAGAGCAAGGCAAGCGCAGTTTCCTCTGGATCCCCTGTAGCTTCGATCGCCTTTTGACACGTGAAACTCAGGTACAGTACGCCCACAGATGGAAGCTAGATGAGCTGACGATGCCATTTTCCGGGAAAACATTGCGCAGTCCTTACAGCAAACTAAATCGCTGTTCAGCTTCTACAATCAGCCGATAACCGAAGTGGCACAGGGTAACATCATTGCGCAAATGTACGCAGCTGGCTGCAGCAGTTGGCAGTGCATGCGTTCATTGTGACGAGCTCTCCATTGAGAAACATTCTGGGAATTGGACACTAGACTCCCAAACGCAACTCACAATCGTGCTGGCTACCAGCAATGCTCTGGTTGTTAAGCATTCGGCACCAAGCGTGACAGATGCTCCTTGGCTGCTTGACAGATTGAACTCTGTAGGTACCTGGAAGAGGAAAAGGCCACAAGCATAAGCAAGTCTTTTTGGGAGCTGAACATTTATCATCATTTATCCATAGACAACCTAAACCCCACTTCACCAAAACCTAAACATCAGCACATATCAGCGAGGGCTCGTCAACCTGGAGCCCCACCCAGGCGCGAAGCCTTGGTGGCTTCGGAGTGCTTGCGAGCCTTTCGTTACTCATCTGGGGTGCGCCTGTAGTAGAGTTGCGGGCCTAGCCATGATGCTTTAAGCAACCATACAACGACCCACCCTACTAATGCGGAATCCTGCAAAAGGGACTCCCCCTCCACCTCCTAAAAAAAAAAAGAAGGCCCGGTCCCATCAGGTTTTCAAGGGCCAACCCTAAACTGGTGCCCTGGGCGCATGGGAGCCAAGGTCTCCGTGTTCTGGTATTCTAGAAGCCCTTCGGGTCTGCGCTGCAGGGGGGGCCTACATGCTCAGTCTACAAAAGGAGGTTACTAGGTCAAGTATATAGACCTCTGTTCATGAGTGATGGTTCTGCATCTAAGGCACAGGATGGTGCAGGAAGGTATGCTTATGCTACATGGTTGCCTAGAGCGCAGCTGCCATTCTTTCACATTGCGGCGGCTTGCTCAGTCCTCCACTTCTCGCGTTAATTCGCTGCTCTTGCTGCTGGCGCCAGGCCACCGCTTCATTCCAGGACTTCTCCAGCTCCAGCTTCGAGAAATCTTTGGGCCGTGCTCGCAAGTGCTTGTGTTTGACCCCAACGATGCATCGAGCATGCCAACACTGCTCCTTGATATCCCACTTCACACCTTTTTGTGGGCCAAGCTTCTCGAAACGATGGAGTTCTGAGAATTTCTTCACAGGCACCAGTTTGCTCTCGACAGGTACCCCCAGTTTCTTTGCCATCTCCCGTGCCTTGGCCTCAGCCTCCTCCTGCGTCTCGAAGGTGCCACCATGGACTCGCCTCTTGGTGGATGGGTCAGTAAGCCGGACCAGCCAACTTCCACTCGTTTTGTCGTACGCAACTCCTCGTACAGGGGACATTGCAGGTGAGGTAGGCTTTGGGGGCTGCAGCCTTCCCTGCCGCACCAGCTCCTCGCGAAAAGCTTTGACTTCCTGCAATGCTGCTTCTACGGCCTCATCCTCGCAGAGACCCTGCCTGAGAAACTTAGCGGCAGGAAAGCTGCGTCTGGGCCGCTTGCCGGCTTCATACCACGACAGGCACCAGCACATCTTGAGCCTGTCCCAGGTGATGCCTTGGATGCCGCTCTGGCGCTCGAGTCGCACTGTCCTGTCAGCTTCAACAGCCCGATTTCCGCCGTCGAACTCACCAAGTGCAGATACCCCCTGCAGCATCTCCTCAACTGCATCCTTAATGGACAGCCAAGCTTTCCCAGCAGCGGCACCCCGAATCTCGCCGACATTGTCTTCGAATTTGCTGATCTTCACCTGCACAAAGTCCAGCACGTGTGCAATTGCAGAGCAACCATACTGTTTCGTGCGCCACAAGTTAAGGGCATCAAGCAGCAGCGCCCGCACCCGCCGCTGCAGATCAGGTTTCGGATCCTGAGGCTGAGTGGCCGTTTTTGCCTCCTCTGAGCCTTCCGAGTCAACTTCTCGCTGCGTGGCCCGTCTGCGGGGAGCAGCAAGGGCTGCCGCGGCCGTGTTGATGACCTCGGTCAGCTCTTCTTGGCTGACATTCTTGCGCCTGCGCCTGGCTGCCTCCTCCGCCTGCTGGAGGCGCTCGACTCTCTGACCATCATCCAAGAAGCCCCACTCGTTAATTTTGCTGACGAGCTGTAGGTGCTGCTTGGATGCGCCACTAGATTCCGGGTCGTCGTCGTCCTCGTCGACTTGCAGGAGTATGGCTTCCTCAGGTTGCAAACCTGTCTCGACCACGTCGAGATCCGAAACCATTACGATCTCTTCTACATTTTCTTCGGCTGCTGGCTTGGCGCCTGCTTTGTCTGCCAGCCCCCGGCAGCAGCGGAACTTCTGCAGACTTTCCCGCAGCTTTCGCTCTGCCTGTGTCCAGCCCTCGCCCGCCTGACCAGTAGAAACCATACGCAGCACAGCTTGTGCATCCGGCAAGACCTCGTTTAACCGAGAAGGCAGCAGCCCAGCTCCCACTTTGTCGATGAACTTTTTCAAGAGCTCGAGTTCCGCAACCTCCGGGATCCGGCCCTCTGGGCCATAGGCGATCCAGGCGGCAACGTGGGCAGCATGCTTTCGCACAGCGGCCTTGCTGAAGTGCTCCGCTTTCTGCGAGTAATTGCTGATCCTTCGATTTGGGGCCCACACGAAGCTCGGTTTGTTCCGGTTTGAACCAGGTGTTGAATTATTGGTTGGGGTTTTCGGGCTACGGAAACCACAGAACGCCATGACGTTAGTGCTGAGCACATTCCAAGCATCACTTGGGACTTGTGAGCCAGACGATGATATTTGCGAGCATGCATGCGCAATCGGCGGCTTGGTGAGACGGCCATGGTCTCTCCACGAACCCAAGCTTTCTAGGGAATATCTGAGGGTTTAGAGTTTAGGGTTTACGCTCTGCTTGAGGGGATTGCTGGCTACTTTCAGGGCTCGAGCCAGAATCCTCTCGCCGTGTCGAGTGGCCTGCCAAGACCCAGCTCTTGCGCAATCCCTGAAACTTCAAACCCCGATGCCCAGAACCTCCATTACCTCTAATTAAGCCCACCGAGCTTCCATTGCTTTTTGCGCGTGGGGGGATCACAAGCAGCCCTATACTTCGGGGTTTAGGGCCAGTTTAGGGTTTACCTGGACCCTCTGTGTACGCGAAAAAATGGCCACAAGCCAAACTTACACCAAAAACAGCCAAGATTCTCAAAAACAAGCATTTTTGACCAAAACAGCCATGACAAACAAAAACAGCCTTTTTCCTAATGAGGGCACGCGCGCCCACATGCAAAGCAAGACAATGCTTCAGGGTTTCTTCTTGGTAGCGCATGTCGACCAAAGGTTTGCTTCTGATGCCATGACAATCGGAAGCTGCAGGTCAGGGTTCTCGGCTGTTTCAGCGAGACAAGAAGCGAATTCCGGCAAATTCGCCTTTTTCCGGCAAATTCCGCCTTTTTTCCGGCCATTTCCGCCTTTTCCTTCAGGCTTTCATGGCTTGGCTTCAGGCTTGCGTGTTTTTTGAGTTTGCAAATTCAGGGTTTCTGCTTGTGGCTTCAGGCTTTCGTTGCTTCAACAAGCAAGAATCCGCAGAACACGTAGCAAGCAAACGTCCTCGAGTTGAACACCGTCACAAATTTCAAAATAGCCATTTTTTGGGCTGTCTAGCCAAATTCCGCCCCACGGGCTGTTTTTGGGTCCATCTCTTGAAAAAGGCTGTTTTCATGGAAAGGCTGTTTTTTCACGTAATTTGAAGGCTCCAGGTAGGGCTGATGAACCTTACATGGGTATAGCTTGATCTTCAAATTGATACATATATATATATGTGTGTGTGTATGTATGTATATATATATATATATACACATACATACGCCTTACATACTAAAATCTTAATCAGAGAACCCCGAACCCCCACCCTACCCGGGCACCCCACCCCCTCTGAGCCAGGGGGCTGAGCTCCGTAAGTTGCCCACTCACCCATCTGCGCCTTGGGGATATATCGGGGGGGGCCGCTACTAGAAGATGTTCTTGCAAAGCTTGAGGGCGCCCCCATCCACTCACCAGTGGCAATTTAGAGCATGAGGTCCACCGAGCTTCAAAGTAGGGTCGTGCAAGTGGGCATCCGCTGTGGAACCGGATATGTTTTTGTTCCACTTCCTCAAGGTGTACGCATCCTGATCTGCTAAAATCGGCATCGGGTGCCCGGCCTCTACAGCAATTCGATCCACGCCCAGGCTTGCTTCGTCCCTGACAAGAGCTCCTATGCAACCACTGTGACTTGGACACTGTCCAAACTTTTGTGAGCCCTCTTGTGCAAAGGTATGCCAAAGGCCAAATGTATGTCCGATGTTGACATCTCCAAAAACGGCCTCCTGTGGTGTATGCGGTAGGCCATGGTCCGGCCAGTTTTGTTTAACAAAGGTGCCTGGAGGGAATCGCTCGCGGCTCCATGGCCCTACACTGTACGGTTTGTGATCCTAGGCGGCATGTAGGCAAGGTTCGACTCATCTCGCCTGCTCCTGTGATACACACGTCGTGGAGCGACTATTATATATGGCTTTGAGACATGCTGCGTGGGACCGAACCGTCAAACCAAACTTCGACCTGTCCCTGACTCTCTACTGAAGCTAGGCCAAGCTGGCCGAAAGTTCCAACTCCGGTCACAAGGATCAACATCTATACCTGCGTGCTATTTGCATGCATGCACGAGTCGTTTCAAGTGCTACGCTTCGCTTGGCACATCTTGGGACAAACCAGCTTGCGGAACAGGTGGAAAGCCGGATTGCTTCAATGTTTTCTATGCCACAACAAGCCAAGAACCAGTGCCCTTCTAGTCCACCCCTCTCAGGCGAACTTGCTGGCACTTCAATACCTGTAAGATCCTGTAATTGCCACTTGGCTGGAAACAAACGGCCTCTTACAGGCATGCTCTTGCAGCAACCATCGGACACCTGAGGCATAAACATACCGCAATGACCCTTTTGCTCTCTCCGGCTGCTGCAGACGCCGTCGTGCTCCGAGGGGAAGTGTGCGATGACTCGACTTTGCATGGTCATTAAGCATGTCAAGGTGGGGCTGCGCAGTTCATCTTGCAGGATTTGCACAATCTGCCGATGCTGCCTCTGACCATCTCTAACGGCCTTCAGGGCGTCATGCTCATGGGAGATGCTTTGCCCTGCTCTGGCTTGCGAAACCAGACCTGCCACCATTCAATTCTCAAGTTGTGGTTTCGTGGCTGTGGAGAGGCCTGTGTCCAACATGCTGCACCAGGCTCATGCCTCGTCCAAGTCATCTGCCCCACGCCTTGGAAAGTAGAAACAGCCAGCAAAGAGGGGTTGAGCTAGCGGCTAGCGATGGACTCGAGGCTTGTTGTGGCTTGTGGGATGAGCTCTGCTCTTTCAAACCTTCGGTCTGTCATGGCCCCGAAAAGTTGCAGGGCTTGCTGAAGTCAAGGGATTGGGAACACGGAACATGCATGTGGATACAGACCAAGGGCGCGGCACGGACTCGTCTCGTCCCTCAGTTCACATGCTGTGCCGGCTCCTTCAACTGTGCCCTCTGCTACTCAGGGTGTCCCTAACTCTCCTCGGCTTATTACAGAGGCAAATGCCAAAATCTGCAAGGCATCTCCCACGCTGAGGTTCAGTCTTTGGATCGCCTGTACTGCATCAGCAAGCCTAAGGGCGAAGGGATGCGACTCGACTCGACTTCGTCTCGGACGCCGAAGTTGGACTGCCGCTTCCGGATTTCAGGATGTCTCCACAAGTGACTGCTCTATGGTGTGCTGCTCTCTGTGCTCAGGCAGAAAGATCTGTAAATCTGCGGCACCACTATACACTCACAAATGTCAATGCAATTCCGTACTTGCCACTGGAACAATAGTTGCACGCACAAACCTCTCGGCAGCACTGACCCCAAAGGAGACTGCTCCCGCTGCACTGAGATCGGGGCAGAGAGGAATTGCGAAGAGAGTCATGAGGCCCGCGATGACCTGAAGGAACCGAGTGGCGTGAGTGAAACATGCAGATATGTGGTACATGCGACTGCTTCAGCCACTGCTGAAAAACGTTCAACATCCAGTCCCTGAGCGCTAGGAGCTGAGATGCAGACAAAGTGTTTGTGTCCTGGGCGCTTCCGTAGGTTCCGAGTGCTATATGTAACGCTACAGAATTCATGCTACAGCACACAGCATCTGGAGTTTTCAGCTTCCGTTCCTGCAAACCCGTCAGGAAACCCAAAGATTTTGAGCTGGGCTCGCGGACGAAGGCAGTCTTCCATGAACCTGCACATATCCCCAAAGGTCCCAAAAGTGCTTCGAGGAGCTCATCTGTCTGCTAAAGATGTACAGGCATCTGAAGACCTAGGGAGGCCCGGATTTTTTATAGGACCTCGAAGTAGTCCTTCCAAAGGTGGTTCGGGCCTAGCTGTTTGGGAACACACGGAAATCAAATTCACTTCGAACTTCAACCCTGGATCAATTTCTAGTTCTGAGCGTGGGGGCCGAGCATATCAAGCTTCTTCTCGTAAAAGCAAAGAGCCCGAAGTCTGAGTTCCCAGTCGATGTCCGTTTTGAACTGATGTGAGTCGGCAAAGGTGCACAGATCGCTTCTCTAGAAGACCCGCTTGATGCCTCAAACACTGCCAAATTTAAAGCCCCCAAGATTCTGCACTGCAACTATCATGAAAAATGACGGCTGAAATCCAGCCTGTCGAACGCGCTGCATGGGTGTCCATCGTGGCAGATGGGGCCGGCATGCCCGGCTGCCTCTTGGAGAGTCCCTAAATGAGGGTTCTTTTTGTGGATCCGATTTCTCATACGGAGACTGGAGCCATACATTTTGGGTGCACTAGCACGGCTTATAATTTAGAGAACCTCCCTATGTCTGTATTATGCCCAAAGATCCTTGTGCGCACGCCGAGCTGACTCACGATTTTGTACCTGCAGCGACCATGCTAGCGCCTGCCCGTCCGTAGTAGAGTTTGCCGCCAAATGCCGCATGCCTGGACGAAAGGAGACCGAAACATCATAAACTTCGTCCGGTGTCTTCGCAGCCTTAGCGCCCACTTCCTCACGAAGTTGTATCATCTTGTGTCAACGTGATCTGGGAACTGCCCATTGCTCTTCAACACCTCACACTCTTTCGGGCACCGGGGCCCTGGCCCGTGGAATGCACCCCATAGGGTTGAACCGGGGGCCCGCAGAACAGTCAAGTTTGTCTGGGGGCTTTCAGGCTGAAAGGGGCTGCTCGGGGATGTCCAGGAAGGACGTGTTCTCTCTGGGCGATCTTCTGCGGGAGGAGTCAAAGGCAGTGGTTGATCCTTACTCTCTCCCTCTCTGTCTTTCGGCTCGCAATGTGAAGTGGTGGAGAGGTAACTGCCCCGGCGGGGTTGCAGCGTCCAGGTCTTTTCTCATTGCCCGAGGACGCACCGCGTCTTAGGAGGCGCATTGAAACCTTGGACTGCATTATGACCGCCAAACAGGACTAAAAGACCGACTGGCCACTGCGTTCTGTTCGTGCCATCGTGCAGGCCCTGAGACCCTGCGGGGTAGTGGCATTCACGTGGCACCAATTTGATCCGCCCCAGGATCCCTCAGCTTTGAACTTGAACTTGAATTTCGGCTCTCTCTCTCTCTCTCTCTCTCTCGCTCTCTCTCCCTCTCTGCAAGCATAACCCCCTGAGCGGGTCGCATGGTGCGCACAAGCAGGGGAGGGCTGATCCAAACAGGTCGTGCGTAAGGGGGGCCAACCTTCAAGGTCGCCCCGGAGGTAGAGCCCCCCCTATGTTGGCCAGTCGGGCTCGTCCTGTTCAACTGTTCCTGCGTTCGCCATTGTTGTGGCGACTCCACTGCGTTCACCTGGTCCAGCACGGTGTCGAGCATCCCTCGGGGCGTTGACGAAGGCCGGTGGGGTTTCGAGCGCAGCCCCAGCGCAGCTAGGGGTGTTCTGCGTGCCCTCTCGTTCTCTTCTTCTGCTTCTTCTTATTGTTCTCAGTATTCTTCTTCTGCTTCTTTTTCACGTTCTTCTTCTTGTGTTGTGCGCTTCAGGATCCCCCCTGGCGGGGAGATCCGGCCATGACGGCCAAGCGGCTCTCTGTTCGACCGAACCTCTTCCTGGTTTTCAGGAATCGGGTGAAGACAAACATCCCCTGCTGCTTTGAGCTTGCTCCCCGATCGCAGTGAGTTTTCTTATGCCGTGTGCTCGGCATGGTCACTGTTCTCGTAGCCCCTGTGCGCTGCATTCTCTCCTTCTACTGAGCTCCCCCTGAGAGGAGGAACCCCGGCTGCGCTGGCCTGCTGCTTTGTCCAGTTCGTGTGAGAAGTTTCTCTTCTGCTGGCGTGTTTAGCCGCGTCCCTCTCTCTCTCTCTCTGTCTTTCGTCTCTTTTTGTTTTTTGTTCTTCTCTCCTTCTCTTTCTAACTGTCTGTCACGTGTGTTTCCCGATTGCTGTATCCCATGACGTGGAACTGCCCTGGAGTTGACAGATGCTGAAAGCTGCAAAGCCAGCCTCTCCCATCTTTGGACATCCGAATGTCTGCGCCCACAAGTCTCAGGGCCTACAAAGATGCTTCCAGATTACGACTCTAGGTAGCAGGCAGTAGGCTCAAGCTCTGCAATCACACGAAAAACAGACCGTAAACTCGTGCAAGTACGTCTATTGTCGCTGCAACTTGATAGCACCAGCCTTCAGCAGCTTCTCTTGAGAACTTTTCGTTGCCCTAGCCTCCGATCAAACTTTCCCGACAGGCGATGACATGTGCAACAACGAGAACTTGTTGGCAACTGAATCTTGGCAACGAATCCGGAGTTTCCATCCTTTCTTCACCATTCAATGAACGCAAGCTCCGCTGTCCAATGCAGTAGCTGACTTTAGGAATCCCCTCACATCTGAAGTGTGACCAGACCCCCAACATGTTGCACCCTTGCACCTCGGTTGTCAAAGCTGCAGAGTACCTTGGGTGCCCAACTGCCTGGAAAGGACTCGTGCTGTGGCTCGGAGTTTCTGCAAACACGGCTCAAAACCCTTGTGCCAGCTCCAAAGGGGGCAGCAGCCCTTTGTTGGAGACGCAAAAGCAACAGCCAGCAGCTACTACTGGTTTCTGTAGGGTCCTTATTAATTGCACCTCTCACAGCAAGTTTCGCACTGGTCCAAGTGCACAGGCATTTTTCGCGATCAACAACGTCAACTCTACACTGATGCTTTCAGGTGAAGACCGAACATTGGTATTAGCCCCAGAAATCACGGTCAAAAATTGAAGCATAAAATGAACTCTCCAGCTTAAAGGATCAGTGACCTAAAGAATTGTCGGGAGGACCGACAGCCAAAAAACACTTCCGAATAGACCAAACATTGGAGACTTCCCCACTGAACTAGAGCGTGGCAAATTGCAAAGCTACTGCATCGACATAATGTAGTTCCGAGAACATCGCGAATCGGCTGGAAACGACTGACATGTCGGAACCAACCATCGGCACGAATCCTGAACCCTAGGCCCTAGACTCCCTCCTAGACCCAAGCCTCCGCCAGTGTCTGCTGGATGTCCAAGTTGCTTGATTGGATCTCCTCTGGACTTTCTTCTGAGAATCGGCTGGTATGCAAGGCCAAGCCGCAGGAGTAAAGAAACCGCAGTGAAGAAATCGTTTGTGCGTTTGTGTGCGCGCGGGCTCCCGTGTGCGTGCTCCCGTGTGCGTGCTCCTGTGTGCGTGGGCGTGTGTAACACGCAGGCGGTGCAAGCGTGTGGGTGCGGGTGCGGGTGCGGGTGCGGTGTGACGACAAGGCGAGATATCTGAAGTATCCTCCCTGTGCACTGCAGCATCTTCGCCGTTGTACAAGAACCATAAGTAATTCCAGAAGTTTAGAGATGCTTATACACTGGGTGACGCGCAGGGGCGGGCGCGTGTGCGTGCCTGTGTGTGCGCATGTTTGGATGCGGTTGGTGCGGGTGTGTTTTTGTGTTGTGTTTGTGTGTGTGTGTGCTGTTCGTGTTCGCAGTGGAAATCTACAAACAGTTGCCATGTTCTACAGCAGCGAGGGTCAACGAGCCAAGTCGATTCGGATGTCCTGGAGGTCCGACTGTATCTCTGCAAGGTTCGCATCTGACTGCACAAGCGCGTCGCGGTATTCCCAGGATTCAACTCCCTCAGTTTGCAAGATCAGAGAATCTCCAGGGGAGTTGCGCCACCAAAGCTTGACATCTCAATACCATCCTAGAAGTTCGTGAACTTCTTGAGCGCGTAAGGCCGCAACCATACAGTAAGGTAGCCAGAAGGTCAGTAGCAACATTGACCTTGCAGCATGTAGGCCTCGCGTCGTGCGGCCCAAGCAGACATTCAAATCTCCGGGTATGTATGCACATTTCTATGAATCGATGTCTGAAAAAAAACCGTGTGCACGTACACAACGTTAGTCTTAAATGGACGATTCCAGATTACTCCAAAAGATGTTTCTGAGGCCCAAAACATACGCAAGCAGTGCAAAGGGAGATTACAGGTCTAACGGCTAGGTTAGTGTTCAATGTGACTGTCCACAAACGCAGAAGTCGCGCCCAATTTCTAAGCGCGGGCGTGCCTCCCGAAACGGAGCGAGGAATTTCTTTGTCAATTTTTCTGGTTTGTTCTTGTGATGCTTTTTGTTTTTCCTTGCTTTTCTTATGGTTTTCTGAACATGCCCTCTGGTTCTGCCTGTCCTCCTCCTCTGGTTCGAATTCTTTTCTGTGTATTTTGCTGGTTTTTTGGTGAATTTTGCTGGTTTTCAGCTTCCGCAGGCTCCTCAGCGGTACCGCATGTCCGGAACCTGACCACATCTAAGAACCCTTGGGTAGCAACCCGCCCCCCCCCCCCCCCCCCCAATTTGCAAACATGGTGCTCGCATGATGGGTTTGGACGGGATTCTTATCGTCTTAAAGCAAGCTTGCGCGCCTTCAAAAAGCCGGGGGGGTTTGGGGCCCCCCACTCCCCCCCCCCCCATTTGCAAAGCGATGTTCGCAAAATGAGTTTTGGGAGCGATTCGTTGAACTAAAAGCACGCTTGCACACCGGGGTTCCCCCCCCATTTGCAGACACAATCTCGCAAGACGAGTTTTGCATTTTGCAAGGGATTCGTATGGCCTATATAGAAGCACGCTTGGGCGGCTTAAAAAAAAGCGGGGGGGTTGGGGGGGCGCAGCCCCCCCCCCCCCCCCCATTTGCAAACACAATAGTTTTCAAATGGGATTTGTTGATCTAACAGCTAACAGCAAGCGGGGTTTGGGGGGGTGGGAGGCAAGGCAAGGGATTCGTGTAACCTCAAAGCACGCTTGCACGGCGTTAAAAAAAGCGGGGCGAATGCGGAGGGGCAGCCACCCCCCCCCCCCCCCCCGCCATTTGCAAGCACAATGCTCGCCCCCACATTTGCAAACGCAACACTCGCACAATGAGGCTTCATATGGTCTCGAAGCAAGACTTAAAAGCGGGGGGGAGGGGGGGGGTTTGGGGGGGGGAGGCAGGCCCCCGCATTTGCAAACGCGATGCTAACAATGATGGGCTTGGAAGGGCCGGAGTGGTATATGGTCTTAACATGTCTTAAAAGCAAGCTTGCACAGCTGGACCGCAGGACCGGTCTCTCTCCTGACCAGGGGAACGCAGGACCATTTGACCACAGGACCAGAGGACAAGCCAGACCTAAGAAAAGGGAAAAGACAGAGCCAGACCTAGGCAAAAACACCGGACCCCGGCTAGAGCCGTAATCCCTTACCTCAAACACTCAAACCCTAAACGCTAGTTACAAACCTAAATCCTTCGGGTTTACTACTGCCCGGCCGCTGTGCCGAAGGGCGTTTGTTGTATCCTCACAGGTTCCATATACGGGTTTTGGGGGTCTAGGGTTTATGGTTTAAGGGTTTTTAGGGTCAACCAAGAACGTGCGAAGCGAGCGGAACCCTAAACTCCTTCCATCCTTCCTTTATTCCTTCCTTTATTTCCTCTTTTTTGTTTTGTATTTCGTTCTTTTTTCTGTCTTTCTTGCTTTCTTGCTTTCTTGCTCTCTTTATTTATTTCTCTCGTTCTTTCTTTCTTTATTCCTTTCTTTCTTCCTCACGTCCTTCCTTTATTTCTTTATTTATTTTATTCTTTCTTTCTTGCTGTATTTCTTTCTTTCTTCCTTTATTCCTCTCTTCCTTCCTTTATTTATTTCTTTCTTGCTTTCTTGCTGTCGTTGTTTCTCTCTTTCTTTCTTGTGTTTTTCTTCATTCCTTTCTTCCTTCCTCCATCTTTTTGCTTTCTCTCTTTCTTTGTCCTTCTTTCTTTCTGCTTTTCTTTCCAGTCCTGCCTTTCTTTCTTTCTTGATTTTTTCTGTCTTTCTTTCTATGCCTGCCTTTTTCTTTCCTTCTGTATTTCTTTCTATCTTTCTTTCTATTCCTGCCTTTCTTTCTTTCTTTCATTTTTTTTCTTCCTCTTGCTTCCTTCCTTTCTGTCTTTCTTTCTTTCTTCCTGTCTTCCTGCCTTCCTTCCTTTCTTTCGTGCCTTAAATTTGACAAAACAAAGGAAAAAACACAAAAACAAAACCAGAACAAAATCACAAAAAACATACGGTACCCTCCCGAAACCACCGCAAAAAACTTCAACACTCTGGCTTTGTGGTCTGCGAACCCGAAACACAAACTTTTCTGGGAAGCGAACGACCTGCAGTTATAAGCTCCATGCAGGTTAAAGGCCCCTTAGATCCAACTGGAAACACACACACACACACCAACCACCGCAATCTCCCGCTTCTCGTTGATTAAAGTACCCAATGCCACGGTCAGCAATTACTATCTTCTGATGACCGTAGTTCGCCCCGAGGACTTCGACCCCTCGACAGAGATTGTTTCGTTTCAGCACCAAGATCAGCCCGGCACCGAACTGGGTTCCGATGAAGTGGTGGCCTCAACTGAAATGCAACCGCACTGCCGAAACAAGCTTCTCAAGTTTGTGTGATGCTACACATAGTCCGAACGGGAGCCCTTCCCATCTGGTCATTTTGCAGATGAAGCAAATGCCACCGGCATCCCCCGGGACCGCGGCCAAAAGAACCCAAGAATATGGAATCTCCTCGGTGGTTCGTTGGACATATCCGGCCCCACACAGCTCCGCAACTGCAAAGAAATGGATGATGCAGCCGAGGCTCGTAGTAGCATGGACATCGTAAGTGCAAGTCCCTATACCGGATGTGACATGGCTGCGGCGGGAAGAGCTTCTGATTGATGATTCCGAGATGCGAGCTGGATCATGGAAAATAAGTCGCACCTGGATGCCTTTTGAGTCACCTACCCATGAAGGAATCGGGGGGGAGGGGGGGGGAAAACCTGAAGAGCTGAGGGGTTCGACTCTCACTCGTCTCACAGAGGAAAAGCAGGGAGGACTTCTGTGGAGGGTTTCTGGGTTCAGGCTCTCAAGGCTTTCAAGAGTTCTGTGAGGCTGTGTAAGCGCTTTTTTGGGGGGGAGGCCCAGGCCTGGAACTTCAGGCCTGACTCTGCAGGCCCTTTTTACACCTCCCCTTCTAAGTAACGTTAAGACACTATGCGTCCGGGGGCACGTGGAGGGAGGAGGTGGGAGTGGGGGCTAGCTCCCCCGCACACACGGCTACTAAATAAGCATAATTTTCGGCGTTGATGCCTCCTACATTTTGTTCTGCTCTCGCTCCTCCTTTTCCGGGGAGTCTTCAAGTAATGCTGACCAAGTTTGCTGGCTTTAAACAGGCTGGTGCGACATATTGGCGTAGGAGGTCCGATTTGAACAGCAGAAATCTTGGGGAGCTGCCGGGAACTCAATTTCAAAACCGCCACTTGGGGATCGGAGACTACCCAGCTTGGGGAAGGGGTTGGAGGGGGGACGTGTACTGTAAAGGTACGACCATGAGCACCAACTACTGTATGGCAGCGTTTTCATTCCTTCGAACGGTGAAGAATCAAGGTCCCCCGGGACATGCCCAGAGAATCTACTCGCGATGCCCGCAAGGGAACCCGTACTTCTATGCATCAGCCACCACAATGCTAGGAGCCGCACTGCTACATGCTATTCGCTCATACCATCACGTTAACAAGCCCTTCCTGCGAAGATTTACAAAGCTGGACACATCACAGAATGCTACGTCTACGGGCGACTTGAGCGTTTCAAATACAGATGAAATGTCTCAGAAACCTATACATCAAGTGCCGGAGACTACTGGACTGCCTACCATATAGACTTCATGGAGGTCTGGCCATGGGATTCTGCGAAAAAAGAGCCATATGAAGCGATCAACTCTTTATGAGCCACTCAGGCGCTCAAGGCCAAGCGCCGCCCATCGACATCGAAGGAAACCTGAATAACGGCAAACAGAACCGGATATGCAAATCTCCAATTTCGGGGCATTACTCAGCTAATCAACTACGAAATGACGATATCACTGTATTGTAGTATTCTAGTATTCCATTACTACATTGTGATGCTCTGAAAACGTGATGTTGTTTCTTACTTTCTGAAAGTCATACAGTATGGTGGTTTCGGATCTGTTGGAGCTGGTCTTGAGTGAGGTTTGCTCGAGCGCTGTGCAGTATTGGGCAGTAGACAGCTGCCGAGGCTCCGGACATCCTTCCGCATGAACAGCTCGGAGCCCGTGGCACGCTGAGTCCTCGAGTAAGAATTTTAGAACACGTTAGGAGGACAGGTACAGGCAGAGGAGGAGAGAGCGAGAGTTTCACAGAATGAGTGAGCAGGCGAGTGTGCATGGGAGTGAGGGTGCAGCACCCGCGGTAGGGAGGCATGGGGGGACAGGAATCCTGGAAGGGTCTAGCAAATTGTTGGGCCGGGTCACCTGTGTCGAACTCGAGCTTTTGCCCAAGACACAGCACTTCGTTTCTGGAGAGAAGCTTCACTCAACCTGTGACTGTTGTCACAGTCATTTCTAGATTTCAGCCTAAGGCACCCAATTCCTCCACAGGCACGTCGCCCTTCTCAGATTGCTGCAAAATCGGCTTTCTTATCCGAAAGGACAGACGCCCTTAGCAGCCACTAGGAAAGCTCGGAGCCGGACCACCAGGACGGATCCTGATCGGTGTTTGCTCGATTCTCGGGTGCCCGAAAACTATGGTGTGGCCACCATGCCCGGAAGAGAACAAATCCTTTATTGAGGCGTGCAAACTTCAAATTCTGAACTATGTAGCTTCCCGACGTACTTCAACACTTCGCGGATTTTTAGGACTTCGAGCTCCGCTCCCCTTCTTTTTTGGAGGTTTTACATGGGTGGCTGAGACCTCTGAGAACGCAGGGCTTCAGTTGTAAGGGCTCCAACGGTCCGAACGGTTGCAAATCCGAAACTCTGCCACGTCAGATTAGAACCCTGCCACGCTATGCACGTGCACGGCACGCTGGTCCTGCTGAACCTGCATGCTCATGCCCTCCAGATTTTTATCGTCTTCTGCCCAAGCCTCAGATTCACCAAAGGCTTTCGTTTAAAGTTTGAACCGAGCCGTAGCAGGGTTGTGTTGTGCGCTAGTTGACTTCTTGGAAAACTTTAAGTTTAAGCGGACCAATGGCCTTTCGCACTGGCAGCACTATGTTTCGTGCTTCATGCTTCATGCTGAGCGCTTGGTTCTTGATTTCTTGTTTCACATCTACAGTGACAGCTCCGCATCCTAAAAACCCGCAGGACGGCCCATGTTATGTTCACATGTTTCAGGTCCCTGAAAGGGGGCAAATAGCTAAGCGTGCACCTGCGCGCAGATTCTTTTCAAGTCCCTGCTATGAGATCGATCCTGAGCCCTCGGTTCTCCAATTCAAGACATCACTTCCCCGTCTCCACTTCAGATCAGAACTTCAAGCCCCGCACGGGCTTGATCTACAACAAAAGTCTAAGGAGTGTGCTGGCAAAGCCCCGACGGCAGACTCAAGGGTGCAGTCAACAAGCTCCGGCCTAGGCGTCGCTTCGGGGGAAAGGAACAGTCTGTAGGTGAGACAATGTTTTGGGAAGCAAAAGAGGGTTGTTGCCGCAACAAAATCTTTGATAGCCATCTGCCTCGTTGATGATGCATATGCCTTCTGCCATACTTTTCATGTGCTTCTTCAGGGGGCCATGTAGCTCTCCTGCAAAACAAAACATAGCTCTTGAGTCAGCTGCGCGTCAGCTGGCGGGCCATCAGCAGTCACCTTGGAAGGAGGGCTTGCTCTTGGGCCCTCTTGAATCAGTGAGATTTTCTACGGACTAAGAGAGAAGTACTGGGGCAGATGCGGGAACGCCGGTAAGCTGCGTGTACTGCTTGAAGTAGCCCTCACCAGCCACCAGCTTGACGGGTTTGTGCAGACGACTCAGACAAACCAAAAGTCGCCTTCGCAAGAGCACCACGTCAGATGCTTCTGGCTCTGGCGGGTGGCACGATCAAAGCTGTATGACATGCTGTCACGGAGAACCATGTGATTCAGCCCACCTCGATCATTTCTCGAGTGTATGGGTATTTCACATACCTGGGAAACAAGAATGGGCAGGGTTTGAACCTGGGGAGCCCAACGCTTTGCAACCACTTCAGTTGCTTGACGACCCCATGGGTTTTCAGTACTGAAGGCACTTCATCATGGCCGTGGCCTGTATACTAAAAGACCAACTCACTGCAACTTCAACTCAATGCCACTCCCTGTGCAACTTGCGCAGGCATGCCGGACTCATGACAGGCTGGCAAGGTCGGCATGTTCAGTAGGTCTTCCTGGGACAGGGGCTCGCGATCGCAGCCCTGCTCCTTGAACATCTTCTGATAGTGGTCCTGAGCAGCGGCCAGGAGTCACATAAGTATACTGTATAATCCTAATGAAATAAGCTGCAGAATGTGCCGCCGTAGACCCAAACAGTGAGACCATGTGAGCCCAGACAGTGCCCAGACATGGCAAGAGTGACGACGGCTTCGAAATCGCGGGGTCAGACATCCCCAAAGCGGTTTCACATTCCACGAGCCCAGACGTCCAACAGCGATGACAGCGCGCCCACACCTGCGCCGAGGCGAGAGCGCGACGATTTTCGTCCAACTTCCGAGCAGGCTTCGAGAAAAACCGCTCGGGCGCCGAGAGGCAACCTCTTCCGAGCCCTCTTACTCTGCATAACACGGTTTGGGAATTGGAGGTCCGGGATGGTGCAGGTACATTCTTCAACGGGCAGAAGGGCTCCACGGAAGCACAACCTTGAAGACATCAACCCAGCAAGTTGGCTGCGCGTAGATTCTCGCGGAATTCGCGTAGAATGGTGTGGACTTCTCCCACGCGTTGAGTCACCAGCTGAGACATGCGACTCCTTGTATGTACAAAAGGAGGCCGATTTCTGCATTCATTGGTGCAGAGACATGCTCGTGCTTTGCAAGCAGTGTAATTAAGGGTCTTTGGCTTCCCCATGACAGAATTCGAGGCCTCAGCTCCTGCATGTGGAAATGGAGCTGTGTTGACGGAAGCTCCCTGAAAACAAACTTCAGTGAACTCCGAACCTTGCAGCATCCTGAAAGCCAAAAGGGAGCTCCGAAAGCTGCGCTGCCCTGAGGTCCCAGCCCAGTCTGCAATGCCTCCGCGCACGATCAAAGGCAGCTGATTCCCTCTTTGGGGGGGGGGGGGGGTTGAATGTGCTTCAAGGGGGACCGACATCCAACCTTATAATGCGTAGATTTCTGCACTTCAGTCGACTCCCGCAGCGAGGTGATCTGAGAAGCCGGCATTGCTCCAAGAAGTAGTCCACCGGATGCCTTGTTGGGCACGTATATTGCAGCTATCCTTCGTGACTTCGTGACATAAAGACACCTCTGGACCTCACCGGGACTAAGAAACTTCCACCTGAAAGCTTCCAGGGGCTTCACGGACCCAACTGAGCGAGCGCACGCGGCATGGTACATGCGGTACTTGTACTCTGGGTCATTCCTGCCCAATGTATCATTTGATGCAAATTGGTGCAAGCCAGCAAGCCTCGGTCGTGGAATGCAGCTGATGGGAATCTTCTTTGGGTGTGATCTGCTGTTGGGGTTGATGTTGACGACGGTCGCCCAGTCCTTGTGAGCTCGGACAGCCGTGGATTGATAGACTCCTGGGCAGCGTGGGGGTGGTGAGTGGCGACCGCCATTGGCCTACTCTTAAGCCTCCAAAGGTCCTGTGTGCCTGAGCACAACACACGGCTTTGCATGGTGGCACTTGCTGACAAGACTCCATGATGATGCTAGCAGACATGGAGTACTTCACCTGGCGCGCACACTCGGCTTGCACAACGGCTACCAGTCAAGTACAGCCCGAACTCCCCCAAATATCATGCGCTCAATCCTTATAGTTCGTCACGTTCAGCACGTATGTTGCGGCGACTGAGCTGGACACCAGCTCGGCTCCTAACCATCAACCGGATGCCTGAAACACCTCCCTGTACCAGCATCCTCTGTGGGAGCTGGAATATGCTCGGGAAGGTACCTGAGGGATCTCGGGGATCTCAGCATGCAAACGAATTTGCTAGGGGAGTGATGCTTGCGCAGAAGCATTTGTCAGCTGACTGTTACCGCTATATCCTTGTACATATATACTGTATGTTCATGGTAAATCTGGTCAATCTTTGTGCGGACGTTCCCCCTAAAAATCCAGTATGTCGAATCGACTCTGAGTGTTCATACTGCGGAGACAGCCGTACTAAAATGGCAACCATGGCAGCTGGAAGTGCTGTCTGCGCACGTGTCCCAGTAGAGTCTATATAGGGCCTACGCAGATTCTAGAAAAGTCAGAGAGCGACTTACTGAAAGCCGCATCAAGGAAGTGAGCTGTGTCACTCCCATGAGGGATAACGTAAAAACATTTCCGCATCACATCTGGATGATCGACATGGGAACTGTGGACCGGGAGCTGTCAAGTGTGTTCTCCGTCTGCAGCATCGCCTGCTCCAAAACTTGCGAGACTTCCTTGAAGCCGCTGCGCCTTGCCAAATCTTCTGGTGTGAGACCGCGGCGGGTCTTCACGTTGCGCCGGGCACCCAGAAGCAACAGCGCTTTGACGACTGCGGGCTTGTTCTGGGAGACCGCCACATGCAGTGGATAGCCTGAAGACGACACACACCGTTTCTAACAAAAGTCGCTCGCCAGGGCGGATACAAAAAAGCACGCTGAACTCATGATAACGTTGGAGACTTTTAGTGTTGTGCCCCCCCCCCCCCCCAGAACAGTCGAAGTTGGTTTTCGCCGGCCCTGTTTACACGGCCCACGGGTTTTCTATGATTTCGTGGGGAGGAGTTTCGCGTGAAGTTTTCTTACGGCGGCCGGACGATTTGACTGCATTCAGGATCCCAACGCCCACCCCAAACAGTCAGGGCCCTGAAGAGCCCAGCCCATTTGACTTGTTTGTTAAGGGGGCCCCCACAACACAGGGTCCAAGATGAAGTCTCGGCCGAGGTTCGGGTGCGACCCCAGGCATGCTGAGCTTCGTTGATGTGCATGAAACCATTGGCCTGCAAGAAGGCCTTCACCTGCATCTTGAGCCTGAAGTCCCGGGTGCCTGGGTGCCAGGTCCTGAACCGCTGCAGAGTGCCTTCAAGACGCTCCGGGCTGCCTTCGCTGGTTCCCCAACTTCCGGTCTGAGTGGAGGAAAAAGACTGCTCCCTGTACATCTCCGGATCGGAAGGGGATCCTTCAGGGGACAAGCCAAACCCTACTTAGCTAATGTAGTAGATACCCGTGGACCCGTGCCAGGGGCGTGCAAAGTGTGCAGGCAGATATTTCACACACACACACACACATATCTTGCATATCTTCGCCAGAAGTGCGATTTCCGCATTTTAGGCCATGTTCCAACTGCCTCGTAGATCCTTTGCAGCCGCTGGGGCGAGTCCATGCTGCAGCCTGGAACGGCTTGGAAAGAGAAGCCCTACACACCTTGCGCTTTCAGCTTGACGGAAGCAACCTGCAAAAACCTGAGCCCTGCAGATCCAATAGGAAAGTTTTCCTACCATGCGAAAGTTTCACAGCAAGATTCTGCAACCCCTATGGTGTGGGGTTGCCCGAATACGAAGAAGCTTCGGCACCGGGGCCTTTGGCCAGAATGCCCCGAACCCGTTGAGCCCTTACCATGCCTGATGCTTAAATGCCTTAAAGGGCTCCTCAGCCCCCCAAAAGAACCTGAAACTTCTAGCTTCCGGTTCTCAAGAATTCTGGACATGGGCGTTCCTGACTAACACCTTGCGCAAGGAGGGCGGCCCCAAAACCACAAGGCCTGAAGCACGGGCCCCCGAGACACACACACACACACACACACACACACACACACACACACACACACACACACACACCCACACGAGCTCGCAGCCAGCAAATGCACGTGTAAGCAGCTAAGCAGCAATCCCGACACAACTCTTCAGACCCTGCACACCTTGCCTCTCACAGACCTGCGAAGTCATGGAAGAGGACAGGGGATTTAACGGAAGCCTTCAGAAGCTCACGGCTGCTCCAAGCGGTGCTAAGGTCTCGGTATCTCTCGGTGAAATTCGGTGGGAGTAGTTTGGTGCACTTGTTTGGCGACTTGGGCTGACGTATGGTGATTCGGTGTTAGTAACGGGCTCAGGCTTCAGAGACTGTTTGAGATGATCAGTGCGCATGATGCAGTGCAAAATGGGTAAAGGCCACGAGGCTATGTGTCATTTGGGCAGCTACTGAAAGTTCTTTCAGGGTTTGCGGCTGCTTGTTGAGCTGCTGGTTCAGGGAACAATCACGGGCAGCAAAACATAATGACGACAAATAGCTGTTAATGCAAGAACTGTTTCTAGCACTTTGCTCGTGCAGAGGTGGATGCTTGGCAGAATGCTAAAATGCTTGCTTGCCTTTCTTGTCATGGCATGTATGCTGCCCCGCACGCGCCCGTCCCGCAAGCGAGTCTTCTGCCTGTCGGATGTTTTTGAGTCCACGGCACACATGTGGGCACTTCCCAAGACATCCAAAGGGGATTGTTGCGTTGAGAAGTCCCATGCGAGTCGAAGCACCGCTGTGGGAGCTCGAGTCTTATTTGCCTGCAACAAATTGCGCAGCCCAACTCCACAACAGGAGTGTGAGCTGCGACCTTCTACGCACAGCACTCGAAGATGCAATGATATGTAAAAGCACGCCGGAGCGGCATGCGCAGGCAGAACTAATGTTGCACTTGACAGATGGCACCGTCTTGCTAAGCAAGAAGGACAGCCGCTAACTTAAATTTGTGTGTTCGAATTAACCGGCCTGCACCTTTGCACGAGGCCCACTGCTCGTTATCCGTACACACCCGGTTGCGGGTTTGAAAGGCGACCGTTCACCCGACAGGGACCTTACACGAATTCGACTATGCCGAATCGACTCTGAGACTCTGAGTGTTCAGAACCATGCTGACAAGTCGTTTAATGTATGGGCCCGGATCAAGCGGGCTTTTTCTTTATTGACGGATGTCGCTGATTTGTAGGTGTGGTGGTGGGCCTCAAACATCGAGACCCCTTCCTGCCGCAACTTGACTTGCTTGGGATCAGCAATCAGCACCCTCGCCCAGCAACGTCAGTCATGGCACAGCTCATTCGAAAGTGTGCGTCGCATCAAGACCAGCCGCCCCATCCCTGCCCGAAACTAGGTGTCTTTGCATAGGCCAGTCGCAGCATGTCCAATGTCCTGTCAAAAACGAAACGCAAACCAAAAGCCTGGCCAACGACGAGCTGAGACGCGTCGGATCATATTCGGCTGATTGCCAAGGGCCGTAGAGTTGTGCAGCTACATGCGCCACGAAAACGGCTCGCAACGAGACAGACACATCGGTTCGTCGCTTCGCCTTCGTGTAGATGCATCAGAAATGGAGGCCTCAATTTCTTTTTGTTTCTACACTGGTTCTACATATTTTGGGGGGGAGTGTCTTGGCCGACTATCACACCCAGTGGATATGGCCACTGCCTCCCACTTCGGGGCCTTTCAAGCAACAAGTTGAAGGACAGTTAAAGAGAAGCTCAGCTAACTTGCTACTAGCAGCTAGCAAACTGAAACCAACTGATCTGGTGAACGGCCGCACTGGATGCACGAGACGTCGAACAAATACTTAATTACAACAGCCGCATTGCTGCAAAGTCCCGTGGATCACATTTGGATCACTGATGGGACTGGGACCGGGAGCTTCCAAGCGTGCTCTCTGTCTGAAGCGTCGCCTGCTCCAAAACTTGCAAGACTTCTTCGAAGCCGCTGCGCCTTGCCAAATCCTCCGGAGTGAGACCGCGGCGGGTCTTCACGTTGCGCCGGGCACCCAGAAGCAACAGCGCTTTGACCAGTGCCGGCTTGTTCTGGGAGACTGCCACATGCAGTGGATAGCCTGAAGACGACACAAATCGCTTCTAACAAACGTCGCTCGCCAGGGCGGATACGAAAAAGCACGCTGAACTCATGATAAGTCTCGGCCGAGGTTCGGGTGCGACCCCAGGCATGCTGAGCTTCGTTGATGTGCATGAAACCATTGGCCTGCAAGAAGGCCTTCACCTGCATCTTGAGCCTGAAGTCCCGCGTCGAGTTGCGGTTCGTCCGCGGGTCGGAGTTGCTGCTTGCGGTGGTCCAACTTCCGGTCTGAGTGGAGGAAAAAGACTGCTCCCTGTACATTTCTGCATCGGAAGGGAATCCTAGCAGGGACACACCCGCACAAAAAAACAGAGCCAGTCTGCAAATTACACCCTGAATCAAACGCAGCAAAGAACAGCTGAACCCCGCGACCAGAACTTCATATGTGCCACATCATACATTGCTTGCCATTTCTTCCAGCATGCCCTCTTCCTCCCCCCCCCCCTGCAGGGGCCTTTTGCAAGCGGTTGAAAGGTGTCCTTGTCCTCCACTTCTGGCTTCTCGTTAGCAGACTGGGGCCTTCAACTCAGGGTTACTCCAAAGGCCTTAAGGGCCGTCTTAAGGGCCGATGTTCAACAGCCCATGGTATGTGTAGATACATCACATCCTAAAAAGAAGAGGGAGAGGCATAACCATGGAGAGGGAAAGAAATGTATGAACTTCAAGGGTGCGTGCCTCTGGGTTGCGAAGAACTGTTGGAACAGCATGCTGGCTGGGTAGCGCGTGGGACAAGGGTGTCGCGGCACGTCTAGAAGTTCAGGAAACTGATTCAGCTGCGGCATGCAAGAAACTTGACATTACAAGCCTGACATTGCACGTCATGACGACACGGGCAAAGAATAGCCCTGGCGTGCTTTTCAACCGTTGTGGCTGCTGCTGTGGGGGAACCAGGCATCTCTGTGGATGTCCGGAGTCAGCCGACCCCCGAAATGCAGAAGATCTTGTAAGATCTTGAATTAATGCTCTGGGTGGGGGGGGGGGGGGGGGGGGGAATAAGCGCAACTTTGTCGGTGCAGCAAGAATAGCATGCTACACGATCAGCGAGCTAGTAAACTTTAAACACGGTACTAGCTGTAAGCAATCTTTGCTCAGCAAACAGCCACAATGAGGGCGCAAGAGCATGGACAGCCTCCGGTACCCAGTTTCATCTGAGCCCATGATTACAGTACACATGCCTTGGAAGCCGTCCTTGCTGGGTGGTCTCTGATTCATGGCGAGCATTGCCAAGATGGTAGTTGCGAAGTGCATGGTAAATGGTAAGCTGTCAACAGCAAGACTCAGAAGAGACCTCTCACGGTGTCTAAATTCGCGAACCGAACCAATGATTCGACCGCGTGGCCACAGGGCCCTTGTCATCCGGGTCCCTGTGCTAGGCAAATGGCCATTCTAAGGGCCATGCAAAAACTTGAAACGGATTGGACGTTGAAAAGGGAATCTGCAGACCTAACTGTCTCCTGCCAAAATGGAAGAAGGCAGCAATTAGTATAGGTCTAGGAGGGTACAATGTCAGTGCATTGCCCCCAACCAATCATCATCTGCCGACCTCCTCGGCGGTCACCTGTCCTCCTGTCAAGGGCACAAAAACCGACTAGCAGACTGCAAACATCTGCAACCTTTCACGAAGCTCATACGCATCGACTCTTCAACGCTCTGTATGCCCCTTTTCTAGACTGATCTGCACGCGAACATTGTGTTTCTTTCTTTCTTGCTAGGGACTGCTGGTGGTTTGCCTCTCTCTCCTCCTCCTGCTTCTTCTTCTTCTCTGCCTCTTTGTTTCTTTCTTAGGGCATGGGGGCGAACCCCCGGACATCTTTGCCAGCCCCTGTTGTCAGGGCTTCTCGGAAAGGAATGGAGCTGAGTAGGACCAGCTGGAACAGTCTTTCTCGCTCGCTCGCTCGCTCGCGCTCTCGCTCTCTCTCTGTTTCTCTTTCGCGTGCTCAGTGAACCAGTCAGACTGAAAGCACTGGACATCCATGCAATCCTTCTACGAGACGCTGTTAAAGATTCAGAGAAACCACCAATGGAAGGGGCGCTCCAATGCTCCGGTCCTTGCATCCTTGCTCTCCGAGCTTCATCCTTGCTGAAGGCCTGCAAGACCTCTCGGAATCCACCTCTGCCATTTGCCAGAGACAAAAAGAAGCAACAAATGGAGAGACTGGAACAGACTATGACTTAAGAGTGTACTATTTGCCTACACAAGCCCGAACCATACCATGAACCTGTAAACCCCCCAGTCCTGCACTCATGAAGGAGCCATTCAATGAACACTTCAATTTTATAAAGCCCTCATCATCTCTCATAGCTGTCACTCTTCCCAGCCAGGGCACCCTCTTGTTGGTGAAGATTTTCTGCCAAGCGCCACGGAGTGAGGCCCTGAACGTTCCGCACATCCCTGCCTGGGGTCTTCTCCGGAAGCTTGCCGAACAAAGGCTTGCAATGCTCGCTTCTCATGTTGCTTGGTGATGATAGATTCTTGGCGCGTCAGATCATTCACTTCCCTAGTCTTATATATATATATATATACATATTTGAATAAATAAATAAGTAAAATAAATAAATAAATAAATATATATGTATATATATATATACATAAACACACTTTTTTCTTCGAATGATCTTGACGGTCGTTGCCAAATCCCAGCGGCGGCTTCCGAGGAAGAGCAGGGCTTCGACGACCCGGGGTCGATTTTGGCTCACGGCTTCAAGCAAGGGATGGCCTCAAAGGCCGAGAGTTTAGGGTTTCTGCAGCACCATCTCCAAAGAGCGAATATCGGGCGCCAACGTGAAACACAAGTCTGCACCGCAAGCCCAGGACACCAAAACCCCAGCACCCCAAAAAGCCCAGAACCCCACAACCCAAACCGCAAACCGCAAAGCCCCAAAACACCAACCCCAACCCAAACAAGACCACGAACCCGAACCCCCGAGGCCGAAACCGCAAAACCCTCCCAGGCCTGCCGATGCAAAAGGTGAGCAACTCTGAGGGCCATGCCAACATTTCAGGCTAGCCTCAGTGAAGCCTCACTCAAGCTAAGAAACCTCGGGGAATGACTAATCACATCACACGCGCGCTCGCGCAAAGGCCTCCGGCATCAAATACAGCCAGCTGGAAGGAAGCCGGCTCCACTCGACCACTACATGCATCTCCCCGCTCCAAAGCGGTCGAAAGGCAGTGGGCCACTCCAACTCAATCTCGACATGAAAGTGCAAGAAAAGGCGGACATGCACAACTTTGAGCTCCGTTGCTACGAGATCTTTCAGCCGACCCAAGAGCGTGCCAGCCCCAGGACAAGGCCACTCAGATTCGTGCTCCACCCAGCCGCGCACCCTGTGATGATATGCCAAGGTACAGCAGCGGCCACCAATGCAGGCAAACACAGGCTTTGACCGTGCAGCAACCCCTAGAAGACATCTCCTACTCCACGACTGGCACTGCTCGTCCACCTGCAGAACGTTGGTCCCCGCCGCGGATCTCTCCACTGCCCAGTGCGTGAGCCAACCCTCTGCCAGGCCTCGCCAGGCAACTCGGTCTTGCGCAACCTCCTGCATGTCTAAGCCTTGAGCCGCCAACCATCGGGCATGCCGGCGCCAGGAGGAGTTGTCAGGGCCAGTTCGTGCTCGTCGCCCCCCTTCTCGCTGACAAGCCATGAAGGAATCTTCGCAAGCTACAACCATGCGCAGAAGAGGAGCATGCTGATGCCGGAGAGCATGACCAAGCCACGCCCAACCTTGTGAGAGGACATACGCGTCGAGCAGACATCCATACCAGGCCCTGCACCAGCACTTAGCAATATGTCTCACCTCCGTCAGCATTCGAACATCATACCACTCTTGATGGCAAGTCAAGCCTAGGATCCAAATCATCATCGTGACCCCATGCACCCTCACTTGGCGGAGAAGGTCAGCAGAAGGGCTCACACAGCCTATCAACCAGCGCACTGTTGACATGACCAAAGCGTGGTGCAGCGCAAGCTTCTGAGGGATGCTGGAGGCAGCAGACACCAGCAGCGGCCGATTCTGCATGAAGGCAGCTGAAGCGCGCGACAGCAAAGAAGACACCAGCGGCTCATCCGTTCCCGATAGGGACAACACTGCACCAAGAAACTTAACGTGGTCCACCTGCGGCAGGCCGCGCAGCCCCACTGGCAGGCCGCGCACGGTCGACAAGGAGAGCAGCGCGCATTTGTGAATGTCAATGCTCAGGCCGGCGCAACGGAGAGCATCGAGCAGTTGTGGCAGCAACGCAGCAGCTTGGGAGAGCGAACGGAAAAAGCAGAGCGCATCATCCACGAACCAGACAGCCCACAGCTTGAGATCATGCTTGCCAAACGGCGGCACATGGCCTGCAGCAACCCACTGCTCCTGCAAGTCGTGCATGATCTGGCAGACAATATGCGAAAACAGTGACGGGCTATGAGTGGCCCCCTGAGCAGTGCCCCTGACAACAGTCTGTCGCCATGTCGCACCCAGCGCAGCAAAGGTCAAGCGGTTCTTGGTGAGCAAGCTCCAGATGAAGCGTGATGATTTGTGGGTCGTTTCATGCTTGAACCTCGCCAAGAAGCGTGCCACCATCGCCAAGTCCAACGAATCATAAGCACCAGAAAGATCCAGTTTTATGACAACTTCGCTCGATTGGAAAACTGAAATCTTGGACAAGCAGGCCTTGACCGTGCCTATACAGTCACTGACAGACACACCGCGCCGGCCCCCAAACAGGCAAGGCGGCGGCGGCCAATACTGCAAGAATCGAGCCATACACACTCTCCCCAGCAGCTTGGCGACCACGTCGCCCAAGACGATGGGCCGGGTCTCCCTGACCGTAGTGACCACTTTCTTCTTAGGCATGAGAACTGCAAGCCCCTCAAACAAGTCACCCTGCTCAAAGCAGTCGGGGTCGTCGAGGATGTCCTGCAGCACAGATCGAACCACATGGAGGCCTGCGTCACACCCGCAGGCCGCCTTTAAGAAGTCGGTGGATACACCACTCATTCCCGTCGTGGTCCCAGACTTCATCTTGAAAAGATGCTCACAGACCTCTTGACCACTCAAATCGGCTTCATTCTCGACTTGATCTGCATGGGCTACCCACGGGAGTGTTTGAAACACGCTGGAATGGTCGCACTCAACAGAAGCTGCAACCCCGAGCTTGGCATGGTAGTGGGCCTGCAAAGCCCGCACAGCCTCGTCCCTGCCACCCTGCTCGCGCACCAACGGGGCAAAGACTGCGGGCTTCTTGGCGCCCCGCAAGATGGCCCGTCTCGCACCCCAATCACCTTGAGCCGCCTTGTCTAGCATCTGTCGCCTCCACTGAGAACGATCCTGAGCGCGAGTCTGGAAGATGCGCAGACTGAGATGCTTGCGGACACATGGGTCCACCGTCATCCTCCTTGCCTGAATGAGCTGCTTAACGGCATCCGAGTCCCGGTATGATGGCGGCCGTAAGGGAACGGTGCAGGCGGCAGAAACTTCCTGCAAACACTGCAACAGGCCAGGTCCAGAGAGTGGGCCGGGGCCTCCACGCTGCATGACCTGCTCTTGGAATACGGCCTCCATGGCTTCCCCCGTCTTGCACACCTGCCGCTTGCCAACCATGTTGGGACGGCGCCGTTGGTGCCGTTTGCAGCTGCAGCCGGGAAGCTGCGGCACCAGCGCCTCCCATTGTACTGGAATATGATCACTCCCTAGAACAGTTTGCAAATCATCACGGTAGGCCTCAAAAGCATGGCTCAATCCACTGCAATCCTGTACCTCTTGAAGCGCCCAACTAGAAGCCAAGCACCAGTTGACAGCAATGTGATCAAGGCGTCTCGTTCCCCCAATCCTCGTAGGCGCAGAGTCGTGAGAATACACTGTCAATGACAGTCGCTCCAGGCAGCAGGCCAGCATAACAGCCCGGGAAGATGCATCCCCAACCAATGGGTAATTGAGATCCCCAAGCAATAGCATGGGACATGCAGAGGTCGTGTACGGAGCCAGACACTCTTCAAAGGATTGTAGCGCACACACGAAGTCAGCCTCAGGCTTGGCGCAATGAGGAAAGTGGGCAACAATGTAGAGCTCAAAGCGAGGGCATCCCGGTCTCAAAACCTCAAGCTGCATGTGAGAGTGGCCCAACACCAGTTTTCGGTATTTGGACTCAGCCTCCAGCACCAAACCCACTCGTCGGAAAACCCCAGGCAACTGAGCATGCCAGCAAACTGAAAAACCATCGTCAAGCAATGTCTCGCAGAACTGGGCATCACCACACTGCAAACAGGTCAGTTCCTGCAACGCAAGAACATCATAACTCAAATCGCATGCATCAAGTGATTGCATAATCTCTTGGAGATGTTTGCCTTGCACATTCCACGTTGCCATGGACAGCAGCCGCACGTGATCTTCACCGGGTTGATGTCCATCGCCCTGTATGTCCAAATTCACGCCCAAAATGGGCAGCATGCAGTCGCCATCCTGCGAAGGTCAGTGAAAGTGAGCCACCCATGCCGCCACAACATCGTCAGGCTGCTGCCCTGTGGCCTCAGCAATGGCTCGCAGATCCACCCAAACCACCCTCTCAAGCCACCGTGCGTAGGAGTGGGTTGGGCATTGGTCCAACGGGTTCTCGGCTGGGATGGATCCCATGACCCTCTTCTCCTTGATGTATGCCCTGAGACCATTCCAACTGGCGACCTCCATGGCATCATGTCCCAGACTCAACTTCTGGCTCAGGAAGTTGGAAGTCCTGGCAACGCACCTGCCCAGAATCCTTTGCAGAGGAGGCTTGTCAATGAGGACCCACGTAGGCTTGTCACACCCGCGGGCCTGCCATACATGCTGCTTGAGCTTGGTGAGGACCTGCTGCTGCTCATACCGCTTGTCATGGGAGAGGCTGCTGGGAAAGGCCAATTGGAGCCTAGCAGATCTGGGCCGCTTGCCGTAGAGCTTGATGGCTGCCACCTGGCATCGCACTCCAGCTGCATCAATTTGCTTGTTGACGTTTTCCTGAATGTAGGAGAGAACTTCGCCTTCACACCACCCTCCCACAACCAAGTCAAATGTTGGAAGCACAGAGCCAGGGATGGCCCCAGACCCACCAGGCGAGGATGCACCGGGAGAGGATGCCCGGGGACTCTGCAGCTCACGCACCGCTCCTTGAAGCTCTGCAACCTTGGAAGCCAAACCCTCATCTGCCGGCCTAGGCTTCTGAAGTTCAACCACAGCCGCCCTCAAGTCTGAAACCTCCCTGGAGTGTCGATCTTCCAACTCAGCAACTCGGTGGGTCGTCTGACTCAGCTCCTCCCGCATGGATGTGAGAGCTTCTTCTTGACGAGCTGATTGAGTGAGAAGAGTGCGAATGTCAGCTGTGATAGGGCCTAGAGAGGCAGCAAGTGTCTGTTGAAGCACAGCCTGGAATTCTGACATGGGAACCAGGGCATCCTCAACCCGTGGTTTCTTGGTTGGACTGGAGTCGCGTGGCACCGAGACAGCTACTTCATGGGCAGGCGTCATCTGCAAACCTGAGGAATTCTCCGTAGATGCAGCCATAGCGGGGCCCCTGGGATCTACTACACCTGGAGTTTGGACTTCGGGCCCGAAGCTTGTAGCCATTTTAGAGTTTAGGGTTTAGGGTGTAGGGTTTAGGAGAGAGTCGTGGGCACTGACGCTGATCAGTGATAGGGCTACGAATTCTCATCGTCTACCTGTCTACCGCATTGCCCGCTCGATCTGCATGTCTGCGTTGAGGTCAATGCGTTCAGCTGCGATTCTGCGAAACATGAACTGCAAGCAGGGAGCGTAGTGTTGGCTCGACTTCATCCACATGAAAGAAGCCATTCGCTTTCAGGAAGCTGCCAGCGACCCTCTTGCATTGCCGCTCGCTCATGAAGGCAGAGAGGCCAAGATCAAGATGCTCCTCCTGTTCCTCCCCGTCTTGGTCAGAAGCCAGGCTCTCTGTGCTCATAAGAAGGCACGTCTCCAGTGATGCCTGGCTCCCTGCAGGGGCGGATGGAGCACTGAAAGATACTCAGCCGGCCCCAGAGGCGTCTGGAACTAGAGGACTAGGCCCTCAAGTTTGAAAGTTGCGGTCCCCCCTAGCTTGGAGGAGCCGCAATCCAAGGAGAGCCAGCAAGAGAGAGCTTTGACCAGGCCGGGCCTTGGCAGGATCCAGAACACGGCTCCGGCACGGCCTCAAACACCGCCTTAAGCGAGTCGAGGAAATCAAGAAGACCATGGGCACAAAGATCAAAGCACTAGCCAAGCCAGGGAGGCTAGGCGGCAATCCGATGAGCATTTTGGGGGATTCAGCAGATCATGTCCTAGAGCATCCCTGCATTTTGACATTGGAATCTAGGTTCTTCAGGGAATCATGGCAAGAAGGAGGGAACACCCAAAATGAATGGAATCAAGAGCTCTCACCCTATCCTATATAATCCTGCCCCCTGCTCAACCTACCCAGACCCCCATGCTTCATCGCAACTCTACCCCCCACCCAAACCCTCATGCGAGTACCAATCTTAGCCAGTTCCTGTGAGTTGCATCACAGCGAGACAAGCAAACCTGTCTGCGGTCTGGTCACCGGAGCTGGCTGTGAATCGAAGCTCTCCGTCTTGAGAGTTTGCTGGATGTCCGCTTCCGGGGCTTTCGGAACTTTCGAAGCCTCATGCCGCTTCCCACCCACACAATACGTGGAGACAATTGAGGAGAAAAGCTGTCCAGATGTTACAGTAAAAAATGATTCGATATTATTGTTCCTATTATTAAATTGTTCCTATGATTATTGTTACTATTATTAGTATAATTATTACTATTTTTGTTATGATTATGATATGATGATGATGATTTCTTATTATTATGACTGTTGTTGTTAGCGTATACGTCCGACTTGGCCAAGCCGCGCTAACAGGCGCCCTCGGGCTGAGGAGGGGATTGCTTGGCAGCACTCTCTTCGGGAAGAGCTTCGCGGCTGGCAGCGCAACCTGAACAAAACACATCAACAAAAACACCGCACCATGGAGAAGGAGATGTGATTCAAAAGCCAAACAGCCCCACCTGGTGATGCAAGGCGGCTTCTGTTGGGCTGACGCTGCTCCAATCCGCCTATGGCATCGTGAAGATTGAATAGATTGAAGGGCTCGACAACCTGTTGGTCTGCTGTGTTGTCCCGCCACACGTGCCTCCACCTCATTCTGTAACATATCTTCCTCGCACCCCTCAGGCAAAGCACGATTGCTCCAAGCTGGACAAGAACAAGCCACACACACACAAAAACAAAAAATGCGATGCCTGCAGGCAAGATGCTATCGAATGGCTTGGCGGGAAAGGCCGAAGCGGCAGAATGGCTGGTTCGCTCTCAGGCTCGCTTGCGTCCTGGAAAACTTGCTTGCAATCCTGGTGCCGAGGCTGCTCAGACCCTGCCTGTGCATCCACTGCCAACTGTGGAATCTCCTTGTTTGCAGAGGAAATCCAAGCAGTGCAATACGTGCGCAAAAACTCCTTGCACGCCAAGATGCTTCAAAGCAGGGCTCAACGACGTCCTTCACTAAGGGTACTGAAAGCAGGGAACACCATGAGTCATGTTTGGGTCCAGTTTCTCCCGCATGCTTCAAGCATCTGAACTCACCCGGCGAGGGCCCAGCCTCGGGATGATATCGCAGATCTCCCAGTGTGCACAGTTCCAGGCTTTCCGGCTTTGCTGCTCCGGGCCACGGGAAACGCGTGACCTGAGAGGAGTTAGAGTGACTCCAGTACAACCAGAGGCGCTACGAGCCAAAATGCAAAGGCGATATGCCCTGAAGCCCATGCAACATGAGAGGGCACGTGGAATCAGGAGGGCTCTGCGACTTTGACTGAATCTAGCTGTAGGATGTCAGCGAGCAAAAAAACACACAAAACAAACATGTTCTTGTTCAAGGAACTGCTGCCGCAAACCCTGAACCTGATCCTGAGACGATCGAGATGCTCATGGACTGATCAGAATTCAAACGCCTTGCAGACGAAGTGCGTCGGGCTTTCCCTGCACGTCTGAGTCAGAGCAAGAGGAAGTGGCCTTACCAAACACAGCTGGCATCAGCTGGGGACATCTCCAACTTAACCCTCCGGTAAGTGAGTTCACGCACCCGCCGGCACAAAAGGTTTCCAAAAACTGCTGCTTGTCAAGAACTGACGGGGCACTGCCGACGGCGGTGCTTCGGTTTCCTTCGAGCCAGCTGCTGTTACACGGAGCTCAGTGAAAAAACTCATAGGATCATACGTATGGCATTGGGGCATTCCATGCATGCCGCGGATATGTCGTAACGGATGTATGTCGACTTCGAGCCACTAAGGTTGTGATCTCAACCCTCCTCACATCTCCTATCCGTGACAAGAACAACTCTCTGAGAACTGACTCTGGTGTTTTCACCCCACTGTCCGCATCCCAGTCAGGGGAGCAGTGATTGCTGCATTCCTTGGCCGCATCATAAGCTCTACGTGTCTCAGCAGCTTGAGGAAGTGCTCATGTCTCGACCGTCTTTGGCCTTGTCACTGGCTTGCTGCCGGGATGCTTTCACACTTCCGCTGAAATCCTGGGAATCTGCTCAGTCCCTTTATGATAGGGTTGTTCTGACTTAGAATGCCAGCCTTGAACTTGAACCCTTGTCTGCTGAGGTCAGGCAACCGAAACAGCTGCAACAGCAATCGCAGTTCTAGAAAACAGGCGCCTGCAGGGTTCTTCTAAACTAGCCGGTGCTGCGGAATCTTATTGTAAGGACTGTAAGGGCTCCTCTTATTCATTGAAAGCAGTAGCCAAAGCGCGGCCACGTGGACTCTCTCAGCATCCTGGGCACATGAGACGCACAAATTCTTGAACTCCTGGATACATATATATATATATATATATATATATTTATTATAACTCTCGCTCTATCTATAAAAATAGATGTATATATTTTGATCTTCATATTTTCGCCCCCTTACGAAGTGTTGCAGTAGCCGAGGCCGTGTCCCAGCGGAGCTCGTCCACCACGACGAAGCGAGACCAATCAGCTTGCGCCTCAAAGCAAACCTCTCAGGGTTGAGGATGTGCAGGGTTTATTAGGGGACTCCAAGATGTTTTATGGGGTTTACAGGGGACTCCAAACATTCTCTGAACAGCGCTCCGGCCCCCTGAGCTAAGCAAGTCTCCCTACCCTAAAACCAGGGAGAAAAACATCCTTCTGCCTCCGGCTCGGTGAGCATGTCTCCGGCTTTCCTGCCAACAGTGCAAAGGTCAGAAGACGTCCAACTTAAGGCCGCCCCTTACGAAAGCATTTTTAGGGCTACGAGTAGTTTGGGCCACCCACGGCTCTTGCTCGGCCTCAAGGCTCTTCTGGGCTGTAGCAGAACCATGCCGCTATCGCCACATTGGAAACATTCGGTCGGGAGCTTCCAGAATCCAGACGCCATCCCACGAGTTGTCTCCGGGACAGCGGGGCAAGAGGTGAAGCTTGAACCCCCGGCTGGCGTTGATGATGATGTTGCTTTCTATTGTTGCTGTTGCTGTTGTTGCTGGCGTTGTTGTGTTTGGGAATTGTTGCTGTCGCTGCTGTTGCTGCTGTCGTTGCTGCTGTCGTTGCTGCTGTTGCTGCTGCTGTTACTGCTGTTGTCGCCGTTGTCGCTGTCGTGGTCGTTGCTGTTGCAGTTGTTGCAGACCCTGCAGGGCTTGGCACGTCCTGCAACAGTTTGCATAGTTTTTGGCCTTGCTGCGCCGTGTTCGCAGCTGTTCAGCAAATGAGTGCAGGACTGCTGCCGCACACTAATCGCACCCTGGGTAACCCGAGCGGTGAGCACGAGCGCAGAATGCTGAGCACGAATTCAAAGGTGTGGGAGACTCTCGGAAAGCCTATAGCTGCCAGACCACGCCTGCACTCGCGGAACAAATCCAAGAAAAACCGTAGAGTGTTCACCAGTTGCAATGAATGCCGGCCACCAACACGTAGTAACTACGCTGCAGTTGCAAGCTGCAAGGTGGCAGATGCGGCAGTGACAGGCCCATGCGCCATGCACCAAGGCCCTCGAAAGCCTTCGAAACTTGGAAGAGAGTTCAAGCATCCTCCTTGTTTACGGTCTGGAGAGGCTCTTGCTCGACAAACCCGCTCCAAAATTTAAATGTGCCCGCCCTCCCCAACTCATGCCCGCTATGACTCTGCAATACTCAATACTCTGCTTGATAAACGCTTCAGATTGAATCGTGTTGGAGGAGGGAAACGAACTGGAACTGGCTGGACCAAGTCCGGAGGCACAGTCCTTTACAAAACCATGCGGCGGCAACGCGTGCTGCCTTCCGATTGCTTCTCGGACTCAGATGTCGAGTCCGTAGTCGTGGAAACACTACATTCCTGCGCCGTCACAAACGTCACGTTGAAGTCGTCGAAGACCGACAGGACTTCCGAGTAGCCACCTGTCTGTCAAAAAGACATCTGCCAGACCGTTGAGCTTCAACTGAGGGTCAGTCAACCCAGGAGCCCCATCAAATCCCCCCCCTATGAGTCTAGGGCACCCCATCTGCGCTCGTAGCGCCGCGCAGACTCCTCGGCCGTCAAGCCGCGGCTGAGGGCTTTTCTCGAAGCCCCCAGCTCGAGGAGTGCCCGGACGGTTGCTGGCTGGTTCTGCCGCACCGCGGTGTGCAAAGGGTAGCCTCAGCATTCCATTATAGAAGCATTCGCATGAAGCTGTGTGCATCTCTCTACTCCCCGTCTGGCGCGCTCGCCAAGCCCGAACGAATAAGGAGCTACCAGTACTTCACACACTACGCATGTTGCCTCCAAACATGTGCAGCTGAAGCACTCTTGCGGCCCCAGGACGACTTCACATCATTGACGTGAAGGTAGTCGTGCTGTTGAAGGAAAGAGGCTGCCAAGGCCGTGGACTTCGTTGCCTTTCGAGGCTTAGACCTGGTGGACGGCAGGCGCTCCAGCTCCCGAGTTTCGGGAGTTTCCTGCAGTTCCGGGGTGCCCTCAGAGCTTCCGGTCGTTGTGGATACGGAACCGCAGGAGGCTGGCGTCGTCAGGGGGGAGATGCTGCAAGCAAGACCTCAGCTGTCTTCTCCCTGCTATCAAACCATGAAACCCACCGATGCCACCTGCCGCCACCTTTACTCATCACCGAAGCAACTTGACATCCGCTCCTGTGCTGGCTGGAAGACCTCTGGGCTCGGCATTTCGGAGAGGGCCCGGCTTCCTTCACGGGATCTCGCCATTGAAGAACAACTCGAACAAGCAACGCTTTACCGCTTTACTTAGCTTCTGATTGCGAGTGACAGGCCCAGCGCGAAGTCAGATCTGACCATGTTCCATTGAAGCTAGCCATACTCTTGCTCTACCCGAATGTAGAACATGTGCATATGCATTTCAATCATGTGGTCTACGGTGACCTGTAGCACGACGCCCTCCACAAAGCCACGGACCCTCCTGGCCTGGTCACTTGTTGCTCAGCGAAGGACATGGCAAATCAAAAAGTAGGAAAGCAAACGCCAACCTACAACCTACAGCCACACCCTGACCTGCGAGCCACTACCAAAAGCAGCTTCCACTCTCATGCTCGCACAGGGGGGGGGGGGGGGGGGGGGGGGGGTGGGGTTCGGACCCAAATTCAAGGGGGGCCCGTGGAGGTCTCGACGCTCCAAGATTCCTTGACAGCCTTAACACGGAGCTTAGCGTAGCGGACCACAAGGACGCCCACAACTTCGGTCAATCCTCCCGAATGGCACAGCACATGTTCGTAGCCCGTCAGACAAGCTTCTTCGAATTGGCAAGGGCAGATAGCAGACAACAAACGAGGGCAGCTTTTCGAAGCTTGAGCCGGCAACATGGAATCGACCCCTAACTTGGATCAACCTTCGAGATGCCATTTCAAAACTGCGCAGGCGAGACGTCATAAACATACGCGGGCTTGTCCAGCTCCTTGTCCTCAGGAGACAGGTCCAGATCCCATGGTTCATCATTGTCATGTCAGAGGCAGCGGATCCAATCCGAACTGGGTGCGTGACCGCCTTGTTTGTCGGGAGCTGCTTCATCAAGCCCATGTCTGCGGCACAAAGCTGAAGCTTTCTGGAATTTTCTGGACACAGGTTGGGCTAGCTGCAAAGTGCTGTGTGTCGCACAACATCAAAGCCACTTCTCACAACTGCTGAAATGAGAGAAGGCGCCGTCAACGTGACTCATCTACCAACACGTCTCCGGCTATTTTGGGCTCCCCGCCACACGCTGAGCTCTAGAATGGATCTTAACAAGGAAGGTGTCTCATTCCAGCCTTGCATCCTGTAGTACTCCTTCGGATGATCCTCACAAGCCATCGGCACACGTTATGTTCGAAGACAAGAACGTACTTTTGTCTTGCTTTTCGTATTCGCCGATACAGCTCCGCTGGAAGTGGTAGATCATAGTAGGTCTGCGATTTATGACATCCTAGCTGAATCCCACCCGCAGAAGGCTACAAGCCTTCTCTGTAGATCGCAACCAGGGCTCTCGCCTGCAAGAACTTCTGCCCCAGGATCCATCCGTGAGACCTGGCTCTCTAGCAGTTCTACCGGCTGATTCATGGTTGGGAGTTGTGCCCCTCAAAGTAAGATGGCCATCGTAGGTGGTTTGCAGAGCTGCCAGTGCCAGGATATGGGGAAGTAGTCGCCGAGCAGCTGCTAAGCGTATGCATGCTTGAAAGTGTCTTGAAATGTGCTTCCAGTTTTTGGACTCATTCGGGCTTTTGATGGACTGCCGTTGTAGCGTTTAGTTGCAAGCTTGGCACATCACCAGCGCCTTTTACGTGACTCAGGGTACGGCATGCACTGCAAAAGTTGGCGCTTCGGGGTCGCTACAGGTCGATACCCAGCTCACTCCCACAGGGACAATAGGTTTGGGGTGTCAGAGTGTGTCAGATGGCATCTGTACCTTATCGGGCAACATGGCAGTGGCTCCCAATGCCCGTTGAGAAGGTCGTGAAGTTGGCTGCGTTCATGCCTCAGTCGTCACTTTGTGTGGAGAGTTGGCCTGTGCAGTAGCCATGGAAGTGATCAGCGCTTTCTCTCTTTTCATCTCTTAAGCTCCAGGGCATGAATCTCCAGTTTGCTGCGGCTGACTTGTTCATGCCGTGCACAATATATACATGCTTGTCAGGGTCCGCTCGCGCCATGTGATGCAAACCATGTGAGCAATGCCCGCATCGAGCCAGAACATTTTGCAACCCATAAGGCTTCCGCGCCCCCCCACAAGTTGGCGACTCTCTTTGAGAAGTCCATCCGACATACCAGCGAGGACTCCCAATCCACCGCAGCACTGCCTGACCCAAAGTACCTATTGGCACGGTATAGCAAGTCAACAGCTGGCTTCTAAAGCACCAGGTCGGTGATCAGGAGTCTGCCCAAGGGCAGCATCTCGTCTCAAGCTCCCTGGCTTGAGGCGCGAGCCGCTGCCGATGGCACGCTCGTAAAGCCACACACAGGAGGTGTGGCCATTTTATGCACTTGGTGCAGACGGGAAAACTGCGCAAATCCGAGCTGCATCTCAAAAGCGCGTTGCCTATCAATTTGGAGCGCAGATTCAACAAGCTTCCTCTCTCGGGTGCAGGCTGTGGTGTGGCCAGGGACATCTTGCATCTAAATCCGAAATCTCACAGTCTTTGAGAAGCTGCCCGGCTCGTCGCTACAAAGACTCCATTTGTGCCGCTGACCCTGCAGGCCGGCAAGCACACTAAAAACCTCTCTCAAGAGTTGGCCACTGAGGCCTGGGATATGGATTCCCTCCTCGCATGCCAATCAATCCATCTTGTGCTCCCTTCAAACAACATCATCACAAAATGAGTGTTCTATGGCACGGGACAAACAACTACAAGCCAAGAGGGCTTGCTGCTGCAGCGTATCCACTTTTGCCCAGGCTGCTCCAAATCCCTGCTGGTCCCTGGCGGCCCCTTCCGATCCAAGGTTGCTTTGCTTGCTTCGCTTGCTTTGCTTCGTGGGCGCCATTTGGCTTCCTTCCGGGCCGATTCCAAGATGCTACTAACCAAACTCATCATTCTCAACATCGTGAATGTTATATCGATGTGTCTTTCTGTGAAAAGGCGGTGGGCTTGCTGCAAGACCAGATGCAAAAGGGAACATCGTCCCGCGACTCTGTGATGGTTCCACGAACTTAGTATAGAAAGACGGCAAGGTTCGTCGAGGACCGGCATGGCCCTGTGCATTTCGAGCAGGGTGCTTGTCTCATCTCTGCTGAGGGTTCCCACAATTGGCTTTGCCCTGACATTCTTGTTTGAGATGACAACATGATTCTTGGGATTCTTTATTCGTATGACCATGCCTTTTTGTGGTGCGTGCTGTCGCTTTCTGCCATTCTATCACTACCGATCGTTTCAACCCAAGCTTCCCATTGTGCTGAGCGGCTCGTGGGTATAGAAGTACTTCCCAACCACAAAGTGCTCTGGGCTTGGAAAAGCAGTTGGACTTCAAAGTCCACCGCAAGCTCCGTCTCTTCAGCGAAGGCCTGAGCTTGGGGTTTGACTTGTAGGGTGCGCCCCGAAACCTCACGGCCTTACGGCTCAACCTAACCCTGGCTCTCATGCTCAAGTAAACCCATGCAAAGCCCCGAGGCAAAGGAATGTTGCCAAACACAAATCGGACAATGAGGGCAACGCGGCGCCTCGACGTCAACATCATAGTCGGACCAAATAGCTAAGGCTCTTAAGGGAGGGTTCAGAAAATCAGCTGACTGGCTATAAGTATAAGGTTTAGCAAAGTAAGCATACTAATCCAGCGCGAACAGCGATCATAACCAAGAAATGTCCCAAACCTGCAACCAAAAGAAAGCTTAATCGGGCTTAAGACAGCTGCCCCAAACACACCTACATGCCAGGTTGCCGGTTCGTTGGGCCTACGGTGCCGCGCAGCAGAACCAGCCTGCCCCCGACTTAGCACTTGGGGGCTGCGGGTGTAAACTCATATGATGGGGTCCTGGGATCTGAGCTGCCCTCAAGGAAAGCAAACCAAACCGGGAGCCTCCACTCTGTGGCGGGGCCTCCTCCAAGAGGACCGGCTTCTCCTCCAATGAATCTCCGGCTCGGTGAGGGGTTTCGATCAGGATTCATGGATGTGTCCACCAAGAAAATTCAAAGCCGAGGCGCACTCTGGTTCCGACCTCAAAGGCTGGACGGTGTGCCCCATTTGTTCAAGCCCCTCGGTCCTCTTCCTTCTCTTCCTTGACCGAGGGCACTGCCTCGGCGGATACCTTCGCTGCAGACTCCTCCTGACACGACAAGGACGAGACACGACATCAAGCATGAATGTAACTGGACGCACGAAAACGAACGCATCCACAACAGCCCAAATGCAGAGAAGCACGCGCATGACACGTTTTCGCGACCCGCGCTGTTCAAAGTGCCCTGCTTGAGTTGGGTCAGACGGGTTTAGGTGGGGAATCCTCCACGTCGACATTGGCAATTGGCGTCGTCACGCTGGTGGCTGCAACCTGTTCCTGTAGCGGAATTGCTTGGTGGATTGAGGCGCTTGCCTGAAGGAGACTGCATGCATCTGCTACGCGCACCCAGGGCTGAGTTTCGCACTCTATACTTTTCGGTGAGACAGGATAAGGAAGACCCTGAGAGGACCACTGACAAAAAAATCCTGCGCTCCGACCTGCTCATTGGATTTCTTGGCGGCGCCCGGTGTCGGTGGCTTCGTAGCACCTGCTTTTTCAGTGGCGCTCTGTTATAATTAGACTCCACCCGAAATTGGTTATAAGGAATAGGTGATCAGTTCAGATCTCCATTTGCCGCTAAGGCGCCCTTTCTGGTAATCCCGGATTCTTTTAGCGCCATCCACTTGGCGATCCTTTGCCGCCGACATCTCCATGGAAGGCAGGTCGAGTTCTGTAATATCCCTAACATGAGAAGCTACCCTGGAGCATCTAGATTTCCATTCCCATGTCCTGGCTTGATTCTCTTGTGCCAGAGGGAAGTACATCGGGATGTCCTCTGGCTTGCGGGTACCTCACGTAGGAGTGGCGTGTCTTGGCATGCTGACATGCTGGGCTGTGGCTCTGAATCTGAAACAGTGCAATGGAGGAACCTGGTAATCATGCAAGACTACAGCGTCTGCTACTGTGCCGGGCGCGCTGTTTGAGGGACTCGTCTAAAGGATTATTGACTCGTATCATAAAGGGCGCTTTCTGCTTTTCCTCTAGGCAAAAGGGGGAAGGGAAGTGGGTAATCTAGAAGTGCTGCGCTTAGGAACACAAATGGGGAACTCAACTATCAACCCTAAACCCTAAACCCTAAACCCTAAACCCTAAACCCTAAACCCTAAACCCTAAACCCTAAACCCTAAACCCTAAACCCTAAACGAAAAGGCGCCTCCCAGGGATGGTGGAAACATGCTCTTCGGTCCAACAAGTCTGAGCTGTGCCTGGGCCACACAACCCAGTTCTCAGTAAAATGACTTTCAAATTCAGCTGAAAACTATTGGGGTTGTTGTGCTGATTTTGCGTCTGCAATGTTCGGGATCTATGCCCCCTCAGAAAGGGACAACAGGTTCATGCGTCATGTAGAGACTCAGAATGTCCATTACAAAGCAAAGCAAATCGGGCCTGCACATCCTCATCGGAAGCGCTTCCAAGGACTCTAAGCCGAGCAGTTTGTCTGCCAGGGCCCCAACAGACACCAGGCCACGAAGGCGTCTCATGTTCGTGCAAAGATGTTAGAGAAATACCGCAGGTTGTCACAATGCATTGTCGGAAGATGCCAATGCTCTCCACACCAGCTTACGTGGCATGAAAGCTAGGATGGGATCTAGGGGTCATGGGCAACGCATAGTTGGCACCCGCACCTCTTGGACATCAAGGTTGTCGCAAACATGGTCACAAAGCGGATAATCCATGGAGCGTTCACGATCATAATGAGGATGTCATGATCACCTGCAGATAGTGCTGCTTGCATGGAAAACCAACAATCCAGCAACTTCCACTCTTCTACCCCAACTTCTCCCCACCCACCTCTCGCAAGGGAATGTTCAACCGTTTCCCCCAAAACCACCTCAACACTATGCAAATATAGATGTCTTGTCCTTTGGAAGGGAACTGCCACGACCACGTGATATTCAAAACCAAGCGACAATACATTGTCATAATCTGCTTGCCGTTGTCTTGAGCGAACTTGCGAATCTCGTAGACCCGGATTGGAAGCGTCTCTCTCCCCAAATGAATGGCATCGATCCTCAGCGCGAAACATGAAAAAATCAAGCTCAGGACATGCCAATCTCCACCATGCAGCAACTTTGAAATCAAGCAATTATGACGCCCAAGGGTCACTTTAATCGAGTACAGCATCTTCTGTTTCGCATAACACTTGTCATCCAAGCGCTTCATCATCCATTCAAGGCCCGCTCTCACCAACATCAGATCGTTGTCCATGGTGTGGCATGCCGGGCGCTGGCTTGCGAACTCCTGTGCCTAAAATCAACAGGGGGGGCATAAGATCAGGGTTCTTGTGGTCGCAAGCTTGCCTTGGCGTTAAAAAAAAAAAAACGCGGAGGAAAGTCTGCCATTTTCGGGGCCGGGCCTTGAAGTACCCGGGGGATACAAAGATCACCAGGTGCCCATCCTGCAAAACCAGATACCACTGATACAACTATGGTGAACGTCATCCGTGACAGAGCACTGGGTGCCAAGTGACAGGTTGTATGTGATGTGGGCTGGGCTGGTGAAAGCACCAGGTACAAGCTGTGTGCATCGTTGACCCAGCGCCATATGGGCAATTGCTGTAGCCCCAGCTTCCCCGCATTCCACGCATGTCCCTGCTATGATTCAGGTCCTCGGTCTCGGCGAAGCCAGGCACCATGACAGGAGCGTATGGTGACCTCTCAGCCAGGACTTCGAACAGGAATTATCAGTCTGCCAGTGGGGCACCAACACCCTCTCATCTAGAATCCTGGCATCTGGGGCTGTCCTATAATGACATGTAGTGGGGTCCTTTGGACCTGTATGATAGAACTGGAAAACCTGACAGCAGACTTCAAAAGGGACACTGAACTTCTGGAACCCGGAAGGCCTCACCGAATCGACCCAGGCGTGGAAGTCATCGACGTCTAAGTCAATGATGCCCTGCGTGAGACAGGTTTGCTGCGTGTTTTTTTCTTGGTTCTCCCGTGGTTTAGGGATGCTTTTTTTATTTTATATATAATGGGTTAGGGATGTTGAGGGGTTTTGGAGGGTTATACCTCTGCGGTTGAACATGGACATGAATTGCCCCATGGCCAGTCTCTCAGTTCACCCGAGTTTCATATATCAGTCCCTTGCAGGGAAAGGTCACAAGAGTGCTTTCCGAAATTTTTCGTCCTAGCATGAAATAACCATGAAGTGAGCCACCATGGCGAAACCACATACAGACTGCAGAGCTGCCCAGTGCCTTTCGCAAGGCTAGGATGTCCTCTGCCACCCACCACTTCAGGAAGTCTGCCAGCCCCTTGGCAGCCTGCGGTTTTCAACGACTCTATGCCACTCTATGCAATTCGGTACTACTTCGAAATGAGCGCGCGCGCGCGCGCGCGCGCCCGCGCAAGAATCACATGTCAAAGCCGCCTGCTTCTTCTTCGCTCGCGCTCTCTCCCTCTCTCGCTCTCTGTTCTTGCTTGTTTACCTTAATCGTCTTCTCAGCGTGCTCTTTCTTCTTTGTTCTGTCTTTTTCCCTATTTCATGGGGCAAACGCATCAGGACGGAGGATGAGCAGGACGCCCGGAAAACTCGACGCAAGCCATGGCACCCGCAAGCCAAGACGAAGTTCGACGAAGGTCAGGCGATCTCTTTTCCCTCCAGGGGGTTCGGCCACGCCGGCCTGCTGTTGTGTTCCCGAGTCTCGCGTGGCACAAGGCCTAGCTGTGCTGGGCCTCAAGGGGCTCCAACACGAGCTGGCCCAGCCAGAAAGAAACAGAGTGACCTCAACTCAACGTATCCCGTTTCCGGCCGCAGCCCGTCAGGGATTCCCAAGTCGCCGTGCAGTTGTGTCGCGGCTCGGCTCGCGAGTACATTGCACAGTGTGGCCACCCGTCCTTGGCGGTGTCCATGCCGCTCTCAGGGTCCACCGTGGTGTTGCAGAAGCCGTTCTCTGCGTGGGTTCGAAGCCCAAACCCATCCCTAGGTCTCTGGGCACTGCGATCTTTGTTTGACCACCGTCTTGCGCCTGACCACATCGAAGGGCACGTTTGAGGGTCGAAAGGCTTAGAGGGTTGAGTGGTTTGGGCACACCATGTAGGGACTGTCTCTCATGAGCACACTCTGTTGAGGACCGGGGGGAGTTCAGTCATCAACTTTGGGAAGCTTGGGTCCGGAAAAGTGTGGCAGAACAGAAGTCCTTATGTTGACGATGCTCACCGACCTTGTCATTCGTCACAACGCCGCAATGCCCTGTGAATGTTTAAGATGAGAACGCGAGATCAACGCCGCTCAAGACTGGCCAAATGTTGCCGTGCAGCACCGCCAGAGATGCCAGTGGAGGTTGCGGATGTAGGAAATCAAAATTTAGGATAACCTGAGGTGTGGGGAATGTGCACGGGCATACATGACTTTTGTGTGAAGATGCCCCGGTTCACAAAGACCTGTGTGTTGAGCTGCGGTTTACATAGAACTTTGTGTTGAGCTGCGTCTGTTGACATAGACCTTGGCTGAGATGCCTCGGTCTGTTCTGCGCCGCCCTTCCGGCGGGCACTCGCTTCCGCCCCCTCGCATGTGTTGTTGCCCGCTGCGCAAAACCTGTCTGGTCGGCTATGGCTCGAAGGCGCCCGAGGCCGAAGGACCCCCTGTGCGAAGCGAGCCCGAGTGCTCCGCTCTCTCTCTCGCTCTCTTGCTCTCGCTCGCTCGCTATCTCCCTCTCTCTCTCTCTCGCTCGCGCTCCCTCCCTGCCTCCCTCCCTCCACTGCATGCCCAAACCCTTTGCTAAGCTTCCTGCAAAACGAACATCCACTGGACTTCACGGCAGAATTCCGGAGCAGGCTTTTCTGCGGCCTCGTTCACCTTGTGGCCATAGAAGCGAAGGAATCGGCACACCCGGATGTCCCCCACGACCTGCTGGGCTTCGGCTTCGCTAGCTGCACGAAATCGGGGGCTCTATATGCTTCTCTTAAAAGGGGAAGGTTCGGTTGCCAACTACGCCCTCAACGCCGAAAGAGGCCCAATGCACAAGAAGAGAGCTTGTGGCTATGGCACAAGACACACAGCTACAAAGTTGGAGTGTAAGGTTTTTCCCTCTAGGGTTTAGGGTTAAACACCCCTCAACCCCAACATCAGTCCCAGCGTCATCCCTTGGCTGCTCGGGCATGGCGGCAATCTCAGCCTGAGTGCAAACCAAGCAGGCAGCATCTCTCCTGGCCCACAGGGGCATGTTCAAAAATCATAAGTCGCTGATTTGGGGTGAGGAGGTGGTGGCGTGGGGGAAAACTAGCTTTGCATGTGTGTGTACATATATATAGGACGCGAATTCAATCGAATACATAAAACACCCCAGAGTAGGGCTGGCAAAACCTGCGCTCACGGAGGTAGGTGCTCAATCGTTGCACGTGACGGACTTGTCGAACACAATCCAGGCCCCCATGTCAGCAATCACCGCGCATGCTGCCCCACCATTGCAAACCCATGACTCCCAACGTATGCTCGACTCATTTGTTTTTTCATGGTTTCATTGGATACAGAACCAGCAGTAAATGGTTCGAAGTTCGAGGGGGCATGCCGGTATGCTCGGCAATGCTGCACCCAACACACAAAAACGCCATCAATTCGTGTCTCGGCCAGATCCCTGGAGACAAGGAGTAAACAAAGTTTATTGCAAGCAGAGTGGCGGCGCAAATCTTCCTGATTTCCTCCACCTGCACATCCAGTCATGATCCCCCCCCCCCCAAACCCTAAACTCTAACCCCCTAAACCCTAAACACCCTCTGTAAACACCAGGCCCCAGCCTGCCGTAGCTCTTCATCAGAGGGCCAAGAGCAGTCCTTGCACAACCGCGGGATTTCACAACTTTCCTCCTACGGTCATCTCGTGTGAATTCACCTGCATGGTGACGCCTACAGATGCGAAGGGTGGGGCCCCTAACTTCAGAAAAGACCTGAAAAGACCACGCACATTCCCATGAACAGCTCGGCACTTCGTGCCCCCGCTCACCGTCCAAGCTGTGGGGTCATTGCCAAGCTTCCGCGCCGTCAAGTTTGTATGCCATTGCAAAAGGCAGGACTCGGAGGAGGACTTTGCTGAATGCCTTTGGCAATCTCAGCAACCAAATGCTGCGGTGGGCCAAATGTGCCCGTCATGCCAGCTGCTACTGTACCTACGATTTCACACTCGGGTCGCCGGACATTCGAAACCTAAGTAACCTGAGCATCGTGATGAGTGTTGGAGGGTGTTTCATACAAAGTTTTGTTAACAGCCCACCTGGCTACTCACACATGAAGCGTACTCACACATGAGGCATACTGCTCGAGCTCGATGCCAATGGCATCTATCAGAAGCGGGCGTCGCCAATCCTCGAAACATATAGAGGCTGGCAAGCACAACTGGCTGATCAGTAGTATTCGCGGCAGAAGACTCTGAGGCGAGGTCCCCATCACACCACACACCATTCTGCACAGAAGCAGGGGGAATCTCTGCAATTTACTAATATCCACGAGTGCTCCAAACCACGATGTGCCAAGGCACAATTTAGCAAGTCCACATGGGCGGGAAACAACATGGAATGAAGCCACAAGCATGCTTCCACCAGAAATCCCGAAAGTATCTCCTCGCCCTCCCCAGGGTGTCTGGCCATCTGCGTCATCTTGTGCAGCCGATCGACTGCCCAATCGCCCAGCAAGCCCAACCTCAAAAAAGAACAACCTACCATCATGATGGACGGTGGGTTCAAGTTGGTTGTCCAGCAGTCTTCCTCTGCATGAATAGATAGCCGTTCTCGAGCCCAACAGGCAACGGGAGCATGGAAAATGCATTCGTGCCGGCAGCATCGCTCAGAAAACAGTGTGCGATATCACAATTGCAACCGACGAGGCAAAGAGGCGGGCAGCTGGTTTAAATCATCCTTCCTCTTCATACACAGGTACAAATAGTCACCGATGTAGCACTTTGCTGCTCAGGGCCCTGCGACTTCAGGATCACAGTGACGCCCTGTGTTTGCAAGGCTACTGGGTTTCAAAGGTTTCCAAAAGCCCAATCCCCTTAAGTGTGGGTTGTTGTAAACACACCGACTCTGCGACTCTGTGACTATGTGCTAAGACGACTTGGTCCCCCCAGACTTCAGCGGCTTCCACGCTTGGGCTTGCACACACACACACACACACACACACACACACACACACACACACACACACACACACACACACACACACACACACACACACACACACACACACACACACACACACACACACACACACACGCGCGCGAATAATCGTAAATTGGTTCTTTAAATATGGCTGACTATAAAAACCATACATATATATATATATATACATGTGTATATATATATGTTTATTTAACTTACTTGTTTATAATATACTTATTTATTATTTATGTATTGATTTATTTGCATATTTTTCATGATTAGCCATGATGGCTCCACGCGCAACGAGAAGCAACACCACGAGGGGTCCCATGTATCAGCTTCCGCCCGGACTTGCTTACGCTTGCCTACGCGCTATAGCTGAACAGACATGTTGTAAGAAGCTTCCGCACGCTTGACCTCAACACCGGCCCTAGGGCGTAGAGAACAGCACGTGTCGAAACAACTCTCAGTTGAGTAACACCTTGCTCTCAGATGCTGGCCAGCACCTGAACTTCTTCACCGTTCAGTTCAAACATAACAAACACAACCACCGTAACCATCCGAATCGAGTGCTTGGTAGTCGCCTCAAGCTTCCGGCCGCCCGTGAGATGCACGGTGTGTTTGGTGAGCCTGGCACCACTGTAATTTGCGCTGAAGGTGGATCTGCTGGGCAGGCGTGCGTGCGTGCGGGCGTGCGTGCGTGCCTCTGTCTGTCTCTGTGTGTGTGTGTGTGCAACCCTGTATCGAAGGGCAATATCCAAATTTTGACTGCAATGGTGAGAGCACGCATGTGGAAAAGCGAATCTGGAGTCATGCCAGCCCGGAGTGTCCTGTCAAGGTTTGAGAGCTGGCATCTGAAGAGTATGACTTTTAAATAACCTGGCAGAGAACCTCCGACGAAAACTCCAGTAACTGTTTTGAAGCGCGGACCTTAGACAATGTGCGAACTGAGGATCTGATCGGTCTGTATGCAAGTGCGATTGCCACGTTCGATGGGGTGAGTATGTTTATGTTTCGTTGGTGGCCGTTCCGCTGCTACTAAGGTGGGGGTCCGAGTCTGTTTCGTTCCGGCTTGATGTTTGAGTCCGCTGTTATACCAGAGATTCACCACTGATTAACCCTCGTGGTTTGAACAAAAGAGTGTGTACGTGTGTGTGTGTGTGTGTACGCGCGCGTCTTGCCTAGTGGCCTTGTGCGTTGCAAGGGATCCTGCAGTCGAGGATCACGCGGCCTCCATCCACTGTTTCAACTTCAAGCCTTCACCAGTCACTATGCGTGTAGCTTGTGCTGTATAAACGTATTGCATGTACACCCAGACCGGGAGAGAGACAGGGCGAGGGGGAGAGGGAGAGGGGCCTAGTGCGAGAGAGAGAGAGAGAGAGAGGGAACTGGCAGTGTGCTCTGATGTGTCTTGCTCTGCGCGACTTTTGGTATTTGGTGAGAGAGTCCGGCACATCTGCCCTTGAAACACGCCGGACGTCCTCTTCACCGTGTCCTGGATGTATTCCAGCCTCACAGCTCGCAGATCTAAGGACCTGCTATCGCCCTATCTAAAGACGGTGACAGGCCCATTGAACCACAGCAGAATCAAGGCATTTAAGGCTGTGTCTTTCCGTACATGACCATCAGGAATGTCACGTCGCCGATGCCAAACCGACTGTTCTGGACGACGCTGACCTGCGGCACAAAAAAAGACACGTCTCAAGCCACACTGCCAATCACTGTGGATTTCCAGAAATCCTAAAGCTCTCCTTTCGTTGATTCGCTGACTCCGCGCGAAGCGTGCAAGCACCCCTCTGCCGGGCCTTGCTGCGGTCTTGGCTGGCATGGACTGACCAGTACTCCCAGGGATCCCCGAAGTCCGCCAAGTCGTACATCGGCCTCAGCACGGCGACGCTAGCGATTCAGGGCTTTAAAGGAAAAAAACAATAGTGTTGAGTCGGCATGTATATGGAGGCTTCCGAGTGCCCGTAGAAGGCAGGGAACGAAGGTACATGTGCCTCACACCAATCAGACACTGGATCGGTTTTTTGTCCGCCGGCTACTGCTTCCGCTGCGCCAAGTCCTGTGGGCAGGTACGGCAGAACTGCTGAAGCACAAGAGATCAGAGAGACTTCCGCAGCTGACTGCATCATGTAGAAGCATGCCAAAACGTAGTGCCAAATGATGGAGCAGCTGGAATTTGTCGAACGTTAAAGAAGGTTTGCACTCGTTGCTGCATGATCCCCATCTGAGACCTGCAATCCCGTAAACAATGCCCTGTCCTGCCAGCGATACTTCCGTGTGTCTTGCGCCTGCCCCTGCCGAAGTTTGCTCGGATTCGCAAACATCTCAACAAAGGCCTCGGCGACCTCGTGCACGGAAAGTTGGGCACTGTTCAACTCGACTTCGGCACTCCCTATGCAATGATGTTACGCCAGCTGACTGTAAGAATCTTCTTCAGGTTTTCAAAGGAGACAAATTGCGCTGCGGGGCCTGCACTTGTAGAGCTTGTTCTATGAAAGAGAAACGAGCTCAACAAAGCAATGATGATCAGCCATGTGTAGCTGTATGACGTCGAAGACTTCCTATTTCCTAGCGGGTGAAGCTTTGAAAGGAAATGAGACTGCTGGGAGGTTGAGTGTATCAGAGGGACTCACGGAAATCCGACGCTGGGCCTCAGGTCCTGGGGGCCCCTTCCAATCAAAGGTCTACATGCAAAAGACTCTACGAAGCTTCCTGGAGTTTGACGTGCGTCGGAGTGTAAGCAGCTTCTGCTACTGCAGCTGCTTGAGGCGTACTCGGCAGAATCCGAACGCGTCTGACGCATACAACTCACTCCCGAATCCATTAGAGAACAACAAAATCAGCACTTCCATGCAGCTGCTCTTTTCGAGGTTTGGTCAATGTTTCGCATGTTTGCCGACCGAGCTGGAACAGGCCGAGGCTACAGTACTCAAATTCTCAGAGCTTTCACTGCCACCGGGTTTAGGGTTTCGGGCGTTTAGGGCATCAGTATGTATCAATGTATCAGTCGCCCCGGAATCTGCGCCTGGACCTCAACGTTGCTGCAGAAGTCCGAGGGGAAGCCCCGGGCGCTGGGCGCCTCAACATGGGCAATGCTGAAAGCTTGGGAACTTTTCGGCTTGGCAGCCTGGCGCATTCGCCAGGTGCGTGAAGCTACGGCGGGATCTTGGACCAAATCTCGAATCAGCCACGCTCTCCTCAAGGATTATTACGGCGAAGGAGTTAATTATGTACACTGATGATAGAGCCTGGCTGCAAACTTTCACGTACTCCCTCTTCCATTCGCGACTCTTACATTTCTGCCCTTGACGTGGCTGTCTGGACATCGAATGCCGCTGCAGCCTCCGCATGCGCTACGGTCCCCGTTGTCTCTGGACACCTATATAGTTGCAAACAAGAAAGGCGAAAACCCAGCTGCAGCTCCCCAGCCTAAGGGCCCACAAGCCTGAGTTCAGAGAGCAAAGTGCACCATTCTCGGGCACAAGTCCATGGCCTGGCCAGTGAGCTCCTTGGGGCTCAGCATCTTGCTCAGTCTTCGGAGCAAGCCTTGCATGGTGCAAGCAGCAGTGCACCAGAAGATCGACAGACAAAGCATAGCGGAGAAGAGAGAGGGAGGCAGAGAGGGAGAGAGGGAGAGAGTGAGACGGGGAGACAGACGGAAAGGAACCAACCGTGAAACCATGAGAATCAAAGCGTGGGACAACATGGAGAGACATGGCCCAGCCCCGTTCAAAAGTGCTGGGCTCTTATTGCAGACCGGGCACTTTCATTTTTGATGCCTGACCTGAACATAAGGGCGGTCATGCTACTCACCTGGCACAGGGAGGAGGTGAACAAGCTAACAAGCATGATGCGGTGCGCATTTCTCGTCGGGCAAGGAATGGATTTGAAGGCGCCTGGCCGTCCCGCTCATACTGTGCCAGGTGAGGTCGCCAGCCTTCAAAGCCTCACATCTGGCAACTTCACCAAGTTTTATGTTTTAAACTTCGGGAGGTACTCTGGGAAATCTCTGGGACATGCTACGGCATGACGACATGAACTGTTTTTTGTCCCTTCAAAGTCCAATGGTGCACTGTTCAGCGAGCATCTGCCTAGACACCAAACGCCGGGCTCTCATTTCACCTTGGAGAGGACGTCATTCTGCCCGTTAGCACCGCCGCAAACCATGCCACCCCAATAGCTGCCGTCGGCGACGGTCTTCTCATAGGCTGCCCAGGCCTCGGCATTGACCGTTCCATCGGTTGTGATGGGCTCGCCATACTGCGTAACTGAAGGAGGATACTTGAACCATCCGCCGGTCTGCGTGTACTCCGTGTCAACGTACTGCCAGTATGTCATTGCAGGGAGACCAGCGTTGGCAAAAAAAGCCAGCCCTTCGGACACGGAAGGTAAATAAAACTCCGACAGCCATAAAGGGGACGACGCCATGAGATCTCTGGACTCTTCCTTGGCCATGGCGATGAAGGCCTTTGGGAGGATGGTTGTGTTGTGGGACAGGCACCCCAGACCTGGGTACCAGTGGATGCTCAGGATGAGCTGGCACTTCTCCCCCCATTCTCGGAGCTGCTGCTGCGCCTTGCTTGAAATCGGAATGCAGGACAGCAGCTTCATGAGGCAGGATGCCCGGGCAAGGGAGCCGAAGCCATCTTGAAGCGCAAGGGGTGTGCGGATGGGCGGCTCGCTTTGCCCCAGCTCCTCCAGTACCCCGGCATACAGGTCGAACAGATTGCGGCGGTTGGTGAAGTATTGGCGAAGGCTCGGCAAGCCGCCCAATACTGGCTCGTTTAGCAACTCCACAGCCACCACGTTCCAGTGCTGCTCCCACTTCCGACAGAGGTAGCGAATGTGCTGGCAGTAGGGCTCGAAGATTGCTTCTCGGTCGCTCGTTGAGGCACTTTGGTAAAAGCGCGCTGCATAGTTATGCACCTGGGTGATCCACGTGAGGGTGCCTGCTTGCCAGGCCGAGTCGTTGTTGTTGAGCCGAACACTCAGATTGCCCACATTCATAGCAGCTGGATTGCCAAGGCCGGTGCCAATGGCATAGGCTGCCCAAGGATTGTTACCCTCGGTCTGCACGCCCCGAATGCAGCAACAGCATGCCAACCAGCTGGGGAACACGAGCGTCATTGGATTCTCTGGGTTGACGATGTAAGATGGCGAGCCGAAGCAGCAGCAGTGGCCGCTTGCACTGTCGCTCTTGATATTGCTTTGCATGTAATCCCCTATCCACCAGGGGAAGCCATCGCCACCGTTGGTCGTTGAAAATGCATCCATGTGCACCTCCAAGAAGACGTAGACCCCTTGCTCGGCGAATGCTTCGATGGTCGCGTCAAGGTTGGCGGCCCAAGTCGGGTCCACCGACCCCGCTTTGTTGGGCATCGCGCCCTCCAACATACAGCCCAAGCGGACGCATGCCTTCACTGATCTAGGGGACCCATCAGCTGCTGGTGGGGGTGTGTAGCTCATGCTCCGTGCACCATCTGACATCTGCTTGGCATTGGCGCTCACTACCTCGCGTGGCGGGAAGTAAGGCTGGGTCTTGAAAACGTAATTGCCTCCCATCAGCACTACCTCCTCGCCATCGAGCTTGAAAACCTTCTCGCCTCCGGCGCCCAGGGCAACGACGACACGCTTTGGATCGTCAGCAGCCAGCAGCGGAGAGCTCGCAGCAGCCATGGGCTCAAAGGTATCAGTCTGAAGAGTTGAGAAAGTGTGCCTAATATGCTTTTGGGCTCTCAATGTGTCTGTCCCGTGGTCTCCGCGCCGACTGCGATCAAGGTTGGTGGCAGACGTGGCTGTCTCCCTCCTCTCTTCTTCTGCGCCCCGAGGGCATCTTGAACCACTTTGTGGCTAGTGCCAGCAGACCATTTAGACACTTGTACTATCCCAAAAAACCCTTTGAACCCAGACACAAACCCCCTAAAACCCTCATCCAGGTGGCCTGGTGTGGATTGGCAGATTGCCTGACGCAGCTCCACCTCCAGAGCCGTAGTGAGCTCCTGCCATGGTGTGACAAGGGGTGTCGTTGCAAGGGGTGTCAAGTTGGGATGTTCCCCCTTATGCTAAGAGTCCTGAACTATGCGCCTTACACACTAACAGTCCTTAATAGGGATGATACTGATAATCGTTAAGGACTGTGAGTATAAAGGGGGACCGTCCCAAAGTGTCACTGAGTTCGGGCACTCGGCTTGGCAAGTCTCTGCACAGTGCAGGAACATGTCTGGTTATTCCCAAGCATCCTAGGGGAGCTAATATGGGGGGTTCACGAAAAAAGGGGACCCCTAAAAAAGACCCCGATATAGTAAGATTCCTTTACAATATGGACCCCCAAAAAGGTTTCCCCCCCCCCCCCCCCAAATTCGCAAACCACCATACGACAGCTTCAATTTGACACGCTGCATGCGAATTGGGCTAAGAGGAGACCAGTGCGCAGCTCCTTCTTGGGAAGGCCCCGAAGCTTTGGCATCTCTCCACCACAGAGGCTGATGATGTGCTGCTGAAGAACAACCTCTTCAAGAAAAGCACCCGCACACACCCACTCTGGCACTTTTGGCTGTTTCGGTGTACGTCCCTTGTTGATCTATATGGTCAACCACATCCAACTTCGGAGAGCCTTTTGCGGAACACTTTGACCAAACCTGCACACCCGCGCGTGAAAACAATTGGCATGCCACTTCAGGACATTACCGGCATAAACCTCCTTCCTAAGTTGAAGAGTGGTTGTTTATTCGTGGTTTGAAACGCGGAAGCGTGGAACATCCTTTCCTTTGGCGCTGCAGAGTGTCCTCTAGCGGAGCTGCTTTATCGTTCCATTCTGCCGGGGCTCTGCAGCACCTCTACTAATTCCAGAATCTCAGGCAACAGCTCTGGGTACACCCCTACACATTAACTTTGCCATGCTTAGTCTCCAAATGCTTATACCTCTTGCATACCTCAAGTACAGTAGATGCAGTCCGTGAACAACCACCCGGACCCAAGCTGTTAACAGTTGCTGGATGATGACTCGAGGGGGCTTTTGAACTGCAAAGCAATTAATCAATCTGAGACACATCGGTGTCGGATTGCACATGCTGCAGCGCAGCATCCGCATGCCTTGGTTGAGACAGCAAGAGGCCGACGCGGCACCATCTGACACCTGGTTTGGTTCCTTGTCAAACGACAAACGAAATAGATTTCATTTGTGATGCGGGTGCAGGTACCCAGTGTATGGTGCCCACGGGTCACCCTGACCCATGCGTCCCATCATGCGGCCCCTAGAACCCAGGAAGGCAGAAACGCTTCAAGCCTGAATTCCTTCAGATGAAGGCTTCCTCAAGCCAACCCATGGTCGTGGGAAGTGGGGAGCTCTGTGAATTCACACGGATCTCCTTTAGTAGGTTTACTGTCAGGGTGTTGCAAGATGCTGTTCAAGCCTTCTAGTGCCTATAGTTGCCCTGCGCCCAGCAATCTCCCTGCGGCCAATGCTAGCCGGGCATCATCGTGGCACAAACAGACACCAGACGCACTTGAGGATCGGGATGGTTCTGATACCTCTGCAAGCAAGGAGATGCTGCGACATCCCGTCTTTCATTGCTTCCCATGCAAAGTCAGCAACCCGGGCATCCTGTTATTGTGCTGCCAACAGAGTTCATTGCAACGACAGCGCGGTCAAGTGGCTGACCGAGCCAATGGCGTGCGACAGGGTTTCCCAAGTTGGCCAGGATGGCAAGCGTGTGTGCGCAGCGCCGCTGAAAGGACACCTTGCCTGGACACTCGCTCTTGTCCTCAGATGGTAGGACTCGATGTGCTGCATTCAGCTTTCAATCTACTCTGAGGTTGATATCCCAGTCACGCTTTGGCTGGAGATGGCAGTTCCCAGAGCGTCGGCCATCAGCGTGAGCGACTCGGAAGCTGGATCTTCAAGAGTATCTACACCGAGCAAACCTTGCGTCCGGGCATTGTACCAGCCAGTCACACACAAGATGCCAACGACCGAGCTTGCAATCACAACATGTTAACTGCTAAATGATCAGCGCTTAATTCACATTCGACTCTCACACCAGCGCACGCGGGAAGCTTCAGAAATCATTGCGCTCGATAAAACAAGTGCTCTGCATGCTAGGCTGAGGCACTCTCCGCTGCATAAGTCGCCTGGATCTTGACGTCGACATCCGGGTCACTGAGGGCGTTGATCCACATGCCCCGGTTCACTTGGGCAGCCTCTGCTGTATGTGCAGCAACTATGTCCTATATCGTCAACTCCGTCGGCGAGTCGAACAATAAAAGCAGAAACGCAGGCACAAAGCTGTTTTTTCACATTCATCATCCGAATTCTCACACATTGAGAGACGCAAAGGCCGAGCACAACTGCCAGATCAATCGGCCGTGGCCTCGTCATCACCCGGATGCATGTCCAGCGCTGTCATTGTGCGCGCGGCCGCCAAGCGAACTTCCGGACTGCTGTCCTGCTGGGTGCACAGAGGCGCACATATTCCACGCCTGAAGCACAGCACATCCACAACACCCTGTTCGGAAATCGGGGATACCCCTTTGACGCTTCCGATAATTAGTAAGGATTATTCTATTTTAAGGGTTTATATTCAGGGTACTCCCCTACTTGGGGAAATACCCATTTATCGCAAGGACCCAAGCGAAATCCTCAACCAGGCCCAGCACGAGATCGCACACGCGCTGAGGAGAGACGTCGTCAAGGGCCATTCGCCTTGCACAACATTCCATCGTGCTGTGCTTTGTTGTGCTGACTTGCAGCGGCCATCTGGTGCCTGCCATACCAGTAGTAATATATCCGTTGCGTTGACTGAAGCGCCGTCTACTTTCGATGTTTACATGTGCTTAGTCAAGTTTAATCACATGCAGTAAACATTTGACCAGCACACCCAGACTGTGTAAGAAAGGTTGCGCTAATCAACACTGCATCCCAGGCGCCGTAGCGCTGTCACAGCATCACGGCGCACGCCAGGAGCCTGCAAGGCAGAAAGGGCAATGGCTAGCAGCAGCCAGCCCCAAGCATTCACGCGCAGCGTATCGATGTCATGTACGAGTATCGAGCTGGTCGTGCTTCACCGACCACACCATCATGCCAGCATCCCAAGTAGCCTCGTGAGTTACGCAGCTGGCCACCAGTTCAAAGGCGCCTGTCAGAGTCACTTCCAAGGCCATGTCATGGCTATGCCGAAAGCCCCGAGACATGGCCAAGTACTGCCTCAGCATACTAAATGGAATGGGGGTTTACGATATTAGGGGGTACCTTATTGGGGTCTTACTCTAAGGGGATCCTACTATTTGGGGTCTATATTAAGGGTCCCTCATTATCGCAAACCCCCAAATAGAATGACTCGTACATAGTAGCATCAGACCACGAGACCCGTCTTTCATGCTTTGTCCAACTACAACAATGTTACAAAGGGATGTCTGCTGGCTTTTCTCCGGCTCATGAAGGCACAGCCAAGTCTTGTCACTTAAACTGTCTCCAGTTGAGCTGACGAACCACACCACGTTCACCCATCCATCCATGCTTGCGCTGCCTACAGCGGGACCTGCAGCATGCCAGCCTGGCAGAGAACTTCACGCTTTTGACCGACGGCTAGCTGCAACGGGCTACGCACCCCAGACTTACTTAGAGTCCCTAGATCCCTGCGAAGCCAGCTGAGCCTGCGTTTCGATGGCGCCATTCCATGGACTGCACAATCGGCCGCACCTCGGAATCATAAGTTTGGCGTGTTGCGAGTATCGCGAACTGGGTTGGTTGGGGCGTGCTCCAGGCCAATACTGATGCTAAAGTCCTGCACTTCCAGGTAACCAGGGGACAAGCCCAGTAGTTTGAGAATGCGACGACAACGGCTGCATGGATGACGTGAATCTAGCGTACACCTGATCGGAAGCTGTCGACTTCAAGGGTCTGCTGAGTCTCCAAACAACCCAGCGATGTCAAAGGCGCTGCGTCGATAACAACATCGGGCTCGGTGGCTGCCAACTGCTGCCTTGGCTCACAAGCCAAACACACGTGACATTGTGGGTTTGGTCGCTCACTCGCACAAGGCTGGCAAGGTTCGTTGGTCTGCGTAGGCACATGACAAACCCTGGACGCGGTTGTTTGGGCTCAAGAGAGCAAACCACACAAGACTAAGACTCACCCCCCCACTCTAAGCATTGTGGGTTTAGGGCTCGTCTCCTTCGGCGGTGCAGCCTCGGTTTTAGGGGGCAACCTCTATAAAACCCTACGAGCCCTCTGTAACTTAACACATCTGAAAACCTTCAAGCCTTGCAGGTACTATAGTAGCCCTCATTCCCGAAAGGGTGTACGTCGAGCCGCAGTCTCCGCACGGCATCTTCACGTCGACGCGCCTGCTCCGAGCCCCGAGCCCTAGAGGTCAGCACCTGAGCTCGTCAAGGGGTGACTTTGCAGGACGTCAAACATGGTGTCAGTTAGGGTTCAGACCGAGCTGTCTTGCAACTATATTGTAGGGTTCAAGAATATTGCATGGAAGTTTAGGAGTTCAGGTGACTCATGACCTTGAAGGCCATAATTGTAGGTCTATGGTACATTATCAGAGTTGTCTTGTCCAGATCTGAGTCGTGGTTCGGCGAACCGTATCTAAACCTTAAGCGCTGAAGTAGATTCTGAGCTCCCAAACTAGACTACAGGCAACTACAGGACAGGAACCTTCAACTTGTTAACTCTCAGTGTTGAGGCGGGCGGGGGCCTGGGTCTGGGGTTTGATTTTTTGGCATCTGTGCTTGTGTTTGGCAGCCACATAGCTGGACGAACCGCTCAGACTTAAATCCAAGTTCTGTGCTCTGAGCTTTGACTCAGGAGCCCATTTTGAAATCCCCAAGAAGAGCATCATACTTAAAGCTACGTTTATGGGGCCTTTTGAGGGGACGTTGGCAGCCGGCAGACGTGTTTAGATGTTTATTGACGTCTCAGAATGGACATGTTCTCCTCACCCACCTTTCAGCAACCCCCTGTCCGGATCCTCAAAAAACAGCGCTGTCAAGGCATCGAGTTCGAGGCGAGCGTCGCTGGCCAGAATGGGGGCATCCGAGGGGCTCGGTGGCGGGGAGCTCGGTCTCGGGTCGGCCTCGCTTCCCGTGGGAAGCTGACCCCCCCTTTGATCACCGGTGATAACGAAGGTGATGCCCCCAGGTGCGGCATGCATGTCGGAGGTCCCTGCAGCAATTGAGACCAAGTCAGAAACAATCATAGGATTTCAGGCCGCGTGGGCATCAGCCGAACACAATTGCGTAGTATCCTTGTAGATGACACTTACAGCAACAGTTGGGAATCCCTTCTGTATGTGTAAGTATAGCGGACGTCTGAGACATGAAAAGGATGTGCTGTGCTGCATGCCGCTGGTAACAAGCTAAAACACGCCGAGCCGAAAGGGTGCGTGGGTGATGGCAAATGCTCCCAATGGGTCCAACCACTCGGCTCTTTTGCTCTGTGACACATGCGCTGTCTAAGCCGCACCCAACCCTAAACCCTAAACCCTAAACCCTAAACCCTAGACCCTAGACCCTAAACCCTAAACCCTAAACCAACCCTCCTAAGTTGCAGTACAATTGTAGAGCTCGGAGGTGCCTGAAGTTGACCTCAAGGCCCAAAAAACAAACCTGAGTTTGAGACTTGAACATGTCGAGCACCAAACGGCCTGGAGTGGGCACCTCGAAGGGCAGTTTTGCCACACGTTCACTGACTTTCATTTCATAAACGACTTCAGATTTCAGATTTGTATGACTTGGATATCTTAAGTGGCTTGTCTATACTTGCTTGTCTTGCAGTGATCAGGATCCTGCAGCGCCAAAGGACGTTCCCTCTAAGTTCCGCGGCGAACATGGTCGCTCTTTGCGTGTCTTAACTATTGAGTTGTCGACCGCCGGTGCGTCCCTGAGGACAGCGCTGGGCCCTGATGTACGAACCAGCAGGGCACGCGAGGACCTCAGGACTCCAGAAGTCGAGGGTGTTTTGGGCGGCTTTCTGTTGCTGGCCGCCAATCTGACTTTGGGGAGTATTGTGGTGATTCATTTTCGGATGGCTCTGTGTCTTTGGCAGCACGACTTGGCAGCACGACTTCTGCGACAGCTCCTTCCCAAGAGATTGTTGGTGCCTGGACCTCTTTGTTTAGACCAACCGCAAAGCAGCCCTGAACTTTGAGACAGACCATCTTTCGACTTGTGTCACTGAGCCGACGGCTTGCCAGGTTTTTGCGCCGGGTGAGAAGGTACACCTGGAGATGTGCCAGGTCTTGCCATGCCCCTTCCCTCCCTCCCGATCTGCGCACGAGGCATGTGCACCTTTTCTCACTTTCCAGCTCGCCACAGCTTGCAGCTGGTGCATTTCTCGTGCCAGGACCCGTGGCTCTTCACGCAATCTTGGTGGACTTCATGGATGTGTTGGGGAGGGTGTAGTGGTCAGGGGCCAAGATTCACTTGGAGTTAATGGCTGACACGACTACAACTTTCTCTTCGAGAGCAGGGCCAGGGTCCTCAGATGCATCTCATGTGGTCCCACTCAGCAAGGAGCTTAGAAACCTCACACCAACCTTCTTTCTGTACAACTCGCAGTCTACTCCAAAGCCACTGCGCGAAATCAAAGGAGGCCGGAAAGTGGGTCCGCGCCAGAAGAAAGTTCGCTTGACCGAAGCGGGAGCGCGATTCGTGGAGAGCACGGAAGGCGCACGGAGCGCACATGGGACTTGTAGAGGCGAGACCGCGATTTGGCCGAACGCGATGCGAAAGCTATGGCGATGTTTGGGATGCTGCTCCGACGCCAGCAGGCTCTTTTTCACAGCGCACGAGGATGTCGGGCACGCTGAAACTCAGACGACCCTTTCTTTTTGAGATTTGGAATGAACATCTGGGCAAAAGCGTCTGGGCACACAGTGGAAGCGCCGAGGCGGTCGTCGATTCCGAGGTCTTGCGTGCGTGCGAGGGCACTGCCAGGAGGCTGGGAATTTCCGTTCCCTCCAATGTCAAAGAACCACCCCTCTTCAAAGATCTCAAGCCTAAACTCAGGACCACATCGTCTGCAAAGGCAGCGGTCGGGCGCGTGCATCATCTCAAGCACAGTGCAGGGATGTCTCGAGCAGCATCGTTGCCAACACATGGTTTGGTCTGTTATATTCTGCTATAGATACTGGTTTCCTAGCATGCTTGAAGACCGTTAAAGGAATCAGAGGCAGCATCTGAGAGACGTTCCCCGACCTGGGTATCTAATATGCTTGGCTGGCCCTTAACAGCTCCATCCAAACCCTTCACTACTCCGAAAAGGGCCAGCCTGGTGAACCTCTTCCTGGCTAAGCCAGTGGGTACAGTGGGTACGAGAGACGCATTTCGTTCCCGCAGCTGAAACTGCCGTGGATCCTGGTCGGGCAAGTGTGACACGGTTATGTCCTTTTTTGCCCTTCGCGTTCACGCAAGCTATGGCTTCCGGGATCCTCTGTGACCTTGCCTTCAGTCCGTTAAGAGAGAGCAGAGTTCTGCTCCGCGTGAAGCGCCAGCTCAGATGAACTGCAACCTGAGCTGGCGATGAGCATCTCGCCACACTGAGCCCCATAAAGGTCTGCGTCGCAACAAACTGGTTGCATACCATGAAGCCCTGGCTGCATGCCCAAGGCCATGAGTGCGGGTCCTGTCACCTCAGCTGTTTTGGAATCCTGGCTGTGAACTTGTGGGATCTACACCAACACCATCCTCGGAACTCCTGGTGATGGGGCTTCCCCCGCGATTGCTGCAAGACTGCCATTCTTATGTGAATGCCACTGCTGGAGAGCGGATCCTCTTCTCAAGGACACCACACTTATAAAAACACACGCACACACACACACACAGAGACGCAGAGACACAGAGACACAGAGACAAAGGCAAAGCACGTATGTAAGAATAAGCCCAGACACCGCCGGGTCTCGAAGCAGAATGGCTTTGGAATCTGCTGCGACTTCGGCGCCTCCAGATACTTGCGCCTGGCCGTGGCCATTAGTTGTTATGCCATCACTTGCTGCTCGTGTGTAAGAAGTGTGGGCGAATGAAGGCAGGATGGTGTTGTCATGGCACATACGTTGAGGCATATAAGGCAGATGGTTCGCAAGTGTCTCAGGCCGGCGCTGGCGCAGGCTTTGGCTGACCAGGGAAATTGGCGTACAGCTTCTGCCAAAAAGGTGTCGGGGATAAACGTCTGCTGTGCACGCATGCAAACATCTGCCCACCCCTGCTACTCCAGGATATCATCAGCAGAGAACCCACCCAACACATCACCACACTCTTGTGGCCTGCATCGAATCAGGCGCAACAGTCCGCACATGTTGGGCGTAGTATGACCTGCCAGAGATGTGAGCCGCACGTCGTCCCCTGACACTGTCTGCTGCGCATCTGGCCTAAACTCAGATTGAGCATCATCCCGCGCAGCCTCGGCCGTGCCGGAATGCAGACCCCCGTATGGGCCCGTATGGACTGATTGAAAGACGAGTGGATTCTTCGATGCCATAGCTTCACGTACTTCCTTGGCCCGCGACGGGTGCTGGAGCTTGGTCCGCAGCGGGTGCTGGAGCCTGCGAGTCCTGCAAGTGAGAAGGAATGCGCTGCAAAGACTACGCCCCCCAACGCCTATCTAAAACTAAACATGCATAATATTTCTTCTTTATTTGTATTCTTGCATGATATGTATAAACACATAAATATGCTACCCCCCCCCCCCCCCATTGACCCATGTTTTCTTGTTGTCCTGATGTCCTTGTGTCTGTGTGTGTGGAATGCAGCTATAGCTACCCCTGGCGACCTACCCTTTTTAGGCCTTTTTCAACAAAATAGAACAACGAAGGCCCAAAAGTCGCGTAGTTAATCACCGGGTAATGAAGAGTTATTGGGACACCCACCTCACAGGCCTCGATAAGCCAGCATTGGATTAAATTGTATTTTGAATCTGAAGAGGACAATGCTATTCTAGGTTTTTAGATCTTTGGCCTTTTTCTAGGCAAATTGTGAGTTCAACGGGCAAATAATGTTTTGTTGAGCAACACAAATATTATGTTTGTAAACTTGTGTTTGTACTAGGCAAAGTATTAAGCGAATGTCCACTGAAAAACCTCATGTTTACATATTCATGAAACATGTTTTATTCTTGTATGCGAAATTAACTACTAGAGAATTAAGTAAATAGCCCAATCTGACTCAAGTGAATGCGATATAAAATACCATACTCGACTAAATATGAAATAAACACTAGCGACAATAGAAGCGGTTCGACTTACATAACAATGAAAAAGGACTTCTCAAGTACTAAATAAAGACCACTTATATACCTTCCTAGAAAGTAGTCAGTCAAGGCCATCGCACAAGAATACTCCTTTTTACAGAAATAGTATTTGTACTAAGCAAAGTATTAATCAAATACTATCTGAAAAGTCCACTGAAATATCTTATGTTGACATATTCATGAAATATTGTTTTTTTTTCAAATAATCATTCTATGCGAACTTCTCTACTAGAGAAATTATTCAGTAAATAGCCCAATTTGACTCAAGTGAATACTATTTAAATCACCATACTCAACCAAAATACGAAATAAACACTCACAGCAATAGAAGCGATTCTACTTGCATAACAATGAAATTTCGTTTCTGAAGTATTTATTTAAGACCACTTGTGTACTATGTCCGAAAGGCACAATTGGCATAAGCAAGCTGAAAAATGCACAATCTTCCTAGAAAAGTACTTAGTGAAGGCCATACACAAGCAAATTCGCAAATACAAAACACACTTGAAGATGCGTAGTTATTGCCTCGTAAAGGCGAACCAAAAAACCAAAATTCCAAAACACCCAAAATACCAAAACCAAAAAAGCCAAAAACGACAATCTTCCGGAACTCTTGGAGAAGCCTCGTAGGGATTCCTGAGAGTTCCGGAAAATTGTTTTTTGGTTTTGTTTTGTTTTGTTTTTTGGGTTTGGCATTTTGGGCTTTTTACTGTCCCGTGTATTCGGATGTTAGCTTTATTTTAGTCTACGCCCTAAGAAGTACGCTATATTGCACACCGAGTTTGCTTGCAGTGCAGCTAGGTGACTTGAGACAAGGCGAAAAAGGTAGGTCACTTGGGGGGGGGACATCAGGGCAACAAGAAAACATGGTCAATGCGGCGGGGTACTATAAATATATACACACATATATGTATATGTCTTCGTTTAGATTTTCATATGAGGGCTTCAGGGTCAACAAAACAACTAAACTGCGCAATCCGCATGGCTGTAGTGTACAGTACAAAAACCCATGTACCATCCCATGTCAAGACACACATACAGACCCGAAGCTTTATGGGGAAGCCGTCCCGACGCCCACTTACAAACTCGAAGCCCAACCTCATAAGGTAACCTCACATAACCGAACCATGAACTGCCTTGAAAGGCCTCCGCTCTGGGAGAGTTGCAGTGAACGTGAAAGCAGCTTTCATGCTTGCACGCGGCTGGTCCGTCTTGACATTCTGCAGGGCTCTTTCGAGGTCACCGTTCCCGGCCGCATTGATGAGCACGTTTGAAGCCTGGTGCGCATGGAGGGCTCTGCACATTGCGGATGCCCTCTACGGTATATCTTCATGCAGTTGAGCAAGGTGGACGAGTTAGCTGCGGACGCAAGTGCTACGGAAATCGATTAACCAGGGCCATGTGACCTCAAATCCCTTTGATACCAGGAAGAAGGGTCCCTCAGGTCACCTTAAGTCGTTTGTGCTCCAACAAAAGAAGGTTGTCAATGCAAGCCCCTAGGACCTACTTTTCGTGACTTTATTGTTCTGCGCCTTGGGGCACTAGCCCGCGCCCGAAGTTTGAAAGAAGTGACAACCCGTGGCCTTCGCTCGGATGGCGTCCTTCTTGGCCTGCGGTTCTCACATTGGGGAATACGCAGCATGACTCGCTTAAACTGCTGGAAGCCTTCTGCTTTTCCGCTTCGGTGGGCTCCTTCGTTCCCACCTCCTCCTGATTCGACAGCACAAAAACGAAGCAAGGACTTTCGACTGGTTCCAAGGCGATATCTGCAAGGTGCGGCTTGCAACGACCACGCCAAGATCCACAAAGCAATGCCCCCAAGGCAACCCCTAAGCTGCTGCCTCCGTGACACCCGGGCGCAGCTCCCGTAGCCTTGGCCAGCTGGTCTTTAGATGTGTGTGGGAGTTGGGGTTACATGAAGCCGAAAACACCTGCTTTGTCCTGCCGCCCATTTAGCGTGCTGAGCCTGAAGCTTGCAACCTTTGAGAAGTCGATCTTGACTCATCTCCCTTGAAAATACCCCAAAACGCCCTGAGCCGCCAAGAGGCGCTCGCTCCAGGTTGCCATCCTCACTAGCCTGCAGGAAAACATCCCGGCTCTGCTTGCGGATTGCATTCAGCTCATCGTCCTGCTCAATTGTCAGAATTTGTCATAGACATAACGCAGCAGGTGCATGGCCGGTTAGGGGATGGAATCTTGCGCCGGGTGCCACTTTGCCCTGCACTTCCCAACTGCATCCTCGAAGATCTGGCATCCGGGATCAAGATCCTCTGCCTCTGCTGCTGAAGTTTCGTGCGGTGGCTGCACGCAGATTCACGGTGGATGCACGCTGGGGCAGGATTGTTTGGACGAAGGCTCCAGAGCTATCGGGGCTTCGGACCTAGAGCCATCGGGCATGAGTCTGCTGGGAATACAACACTTTGCGCATCCCGTGGTGCCGTCAACCACGTAAGACAAAGCATACCAAGCACTGGAAAGTGCCTGCATGACGACTCGGTACATCTCGGTACTACTTACTACTTATACTATACATGTTGGGAGGATGGCTCGCAACTGGCTCGGGCTGGCGCTGGCACGGGCTGGCGCTGGCCCGGGAAATCCGCGTACAGCTTCTGCCAAACGGATGTCGGGGATAGACGACTGCACTCTGCTACTCCAGGATAAATATCATGCATCGGCACAGAATCCACCCCGCCACACAGCACCATACTCTCGTGGCCTGCATCGACTCAGGCGCAACAGTCCGCACATGTTGGGAGTAGTATGACCTGTCACGGCTGCGAGTTGCACGCCCTCCGACACAACGCCAAGATTTCGAATCATGGGTCGATGAACTTTGATTTTTGGTGTGGACCATCCGGCCTAAACTCAGATTGAGCTTCGTCACGGGCAGCCTCGGCTTCACCGACATGCAAAGACCCTCAGCTCTGCCGCGTTACCGACATGCAAAGTCCCCTGCCGTTTGACCGACTATCATAGACTATATTTGCTGTCACAGCTTCACATGCAGCTGCTAGAGACGCTCAACTAGATCACTGAGCCTTCATGATCCTTCATTTGCGGCTTTGTACCCTTCTAGTTCTAGCGCGGGGCTGAGCAACTGAACCCCAGCTTCATACACTTATCCATTTGTGCGTGTTATCCTCGTACAGGGGCCACGCGCATCTTCTCTGCATTATTCTGTATCGCTCCGACTTCATCGGTTGATCTGTTCCATCGTCAACCACATGTGGCTCGGGCCGGCACTGGCGCGGGCTTCGGCTGGCCAGGGAAATTGGCGTACAGCTTCTGCCGAACGGGTGTCGGGGATTGACATTTGCACTACACACCCCCATTTGCATTGCACACCCACGCAACTTCAGGACATCAGCACAGAGCCCACCCCACCACACCCATGGCCTGCATCGAGTCAGGTGCAACAGTCCGCACATGTTGGGCGTAGTATGACCTGTCGTGGCTACGAATCCCACCTCCTCTGACACAAAGCCCCAGAATTCGACCCGCTCAGCTGTGCCATTCCGAATGATGGGTCAATGCACTTGAATCTTTGTTTGCAGTGGACGATCTTGCCTGAACTCAGGTTGAGCATCGTCGCGCGCAGCCTCGGCTGTGCCGGAATACTGCTGGAATGCAGACTCCCCCATGGACTGACTCAGAAACTATTGGGTTTCACATGCTTGTTGTGAACTGCTTGTGTTGGCTCTTGTGCAGCTTGTGTTTCCTGGGTGTTCTAGGGGGGGTGCTGCTGCCAGGACCTACAAGCTGCTGTTCGAGACGCGCAATTAGATCACTGAGGTCAAACGCAGGAAAACCCAACCCTTTATACTGCCCACCAGACCGACTAAACCGTCTCGACCCCAAAACTTGGTATGCTCCTCGATTTGCTGGTGTCATCCTTGCGCAGGGGCCTTCCTGATCTTCTCCGCACTACTCGTGCTTTGTTCAAAATTCATAAGATCTCGCGCGTCCTGTGGCGCCATCATGCTCATAAGTAGCAAGCACTGGACAGCACCAGTGTAGGGACGCATAGCTAGTGTTCAAGTTAGTGCCCACCTTGTACATTGTACATTGTACATGTGTGGGAGCAACTGGAAGGCAAACAGTCTGCAAAAGGCCCGGGCCTGCTGTGGGCCATCTCGCCTAAACTCAGCATCATCACGCGCAGCCTCGGCTTTGCTGGAATGCAAGACTCCCGTATGGACTGCTTGAGACACGAGTAGATTCTTCGATGCCATTGTCTCACGTACTTCCTTGGTCCGCCACGGGTGCTGGAGCTTGAGCCTGCGAGTCCTGCAAGTGAGAAGACATGCGCAGCAAGACCACATCCCCAAACTTTCGAAACTTGTCTAAAATTGTACATTGACGTCTCTCGTTGATATGTGTTACACATATTACATGTAAAAAAAACGATATAAACGCAAAATACATACTTAACTAAATGAATAAATACACTCTATATATACATACATCAATGTATATATATATATGTATTGAATTAATTAATTTATATTCATTTATCTGTGTATTCCTTTTTCTTGATAGGAGGGCTTCAGGGTGAACAAGGCAACTAAGCTGCGCAATTCGTATGGCTGTAGTGTACAGTACATGTGCCCATGTACCATCCAATGTGAATTTACGCAGGCAGTTTTGGGGAGGCAGGGGGTGGGGGCCTACCCTCAAAATTCGAAGCCAAACCTAAGTAACTGCCTTGAAAGGCCTCGGCTATGGGAGCGGCTGCGGTGAGACGTGAAATATCCTGAAATCCTCGTGCCCCTGCACGCTGCGGGTCCGTCTTGACAAGCTGCAGGGCTCTCTCCAGGTCACCGTTCTCGGCCGCATTGATGAGCACGTTTGAAGCCTGGTGCGAATCGAGGGCTCCGTACGCGGAGGGGATGCGTTGCGGACGGCCTCTGCTGTATATCTTCATGCAGTTGAGCAAGGCGGACGAAATCTATACATCTGTGGAGAGTTTAGGCTTCGGAGGATTTGGGCTTGGCAGAACATACCGTGCTGCCTCCCGATGAACCAGGGCAAACCCTGTGAGACCCGGAAGAAGGTCCCTCAAGTCGCTTGTGCCCCAACACAAAAAGGTTGCAAACATAAACTCCCGCAGGCTCCAAAGGAGCTAGCTATCGCGACTTTATGGCTCTGCCCAAAAAGTTTGAAAGAAGTGACAACTCGTGGCCTTCGCTCGGATGGCGTCCTTCTTGGCCTGCGGTGCATCTTTGAATATCTTCGATTTCTGAAGCTGCGTTGTTAACTACCTTGTTCTCACATGGGGGGAATAAACAGCATGACTCGCTTAGACTGCTGGAAGCCTTCTCCTTTTCCGCTTCGGTGAGCTCTTTCGATGCCGCCTCCTGATTCGAGAGGAAAAGGAAGGAAGCAAGGACTTTCGACTGGTTCCAATGGGATCTGCAGACATGCAAGGTGCGAGGGTTGCAAAATGCCCTCAAGGCAACCCCTAAGCTGCTGCCTCCGTGACACCCGGGCGCAGCTCCCGTAGCCTTGGCCAGCTGGTCTTTAGGTTTGTGTGGGGAGTTGGGGCTACAATGGGCGACATAAAGCTGAAAACACCTGCTTTGTCCTGCCGCCCATTTAGCGTGCTGAGCCTGAAGCTTGCAAGCTTTGAGAAGTCGATCTTGACTCATCTCCCTTGAAAACACCCTGAAACACCCTGAGCCGCCAAGAGGCGCTCGCTCCAGGTTGCCATCCTCACTAGCCTGCAGGAAAGCATCCCGGCTCTGCTTGCGGATTGCGTTCAGCTCATCGTCCTGCTCAATTGTCAGAAGGTTGTCATGGACGTAAGGTGGCAGGCACTGCATGCCCGGTTCAGGGACGGAAGCTTGCGCCGGGTGCCACTTTGCCCTGCACTCCCCCACTGCATCCTCGAAGATCTGGCATCCGGGATCCTCTGCCTCTGCTGCTGAAGTTTGCTCGCGGAGCTTTTCACAGATTCGTGAAAGGGCTTCACGCGGATTCACGATGGTGCACGCTGGGGCAGGATTGTTTGGACGAAGGCTCCGGAGCAATCGGGGCTTCGGACCTAGAGCCATCGGGCATGAGTCTGCAGGCCACGAACATAGAAACAGTCTTCAAAGGGGATCCCGATTAGCTCAGGGGATGCGAGGCAGGATAGGCAGGATAGGCAGGATACGTCAGGCCCAAAGCCCTTCCTCTCGAAACCGGGTTTCTGGAGCGTGACAATGCCATGTCCCTCCCTGTCAAGCCTGGGGCTCGGCAGGCGCAGCTTCTGCCTTCGGCAGCTCTGCCTGCATTGGTAGCTTTCGGCGCATAGGCTTCAGGTTTATAGGTTCTTTTGGGCACTCGGCCGATTAACTGCGCACCACGAAGCGCATATAGACTGGTATAGAGCGTACAAGGAACTATGCACAGACATCTCGCCAGACACAGGGAGGCCTCCGCCCGGAGATGGTTGCAGAGGAAGTTGGTGGGGTCCTTGGGCTGCTCCTTGAGGAGAGCCTGGACATCCATGGGAGCCGTGGCAAGGACTTGAACTGCCCCTCTTCAGCGGTTTTAGTCTTTCTCCTCAGAAATGTCGGAAAGCCCCCCACCCCCCCCCCCCCTTGGCCTTGACAGCATCAGACAACCGCTCCTGGGTGGAGATAAAGCAGAAGTGGGAGGGTATGCATCACGGCCAGAAGTGTTTCATGTGTGGGCAAGCATCTATGGTGCAGTCAGTGTCAGTGTGTGTGTGTGTGTGCGCATTATTTTGTGCTTTTGCTGCTGTAATCTCACATTCAGGCAGGCTTCTTCGATGTTGTGCTTCAGCAGGTAGTCCCTGGCCTGAGCTTTCAAGGCCTGCAGGGCAAACACGGAGATTCCCCAAAAAAGGCGCGCCAGCTTTTGGCTTTGATCGCTTGCTTCTGTTCCAATCGTAGTCCCCCGACCCACACGCACCTTTGCACGTTCCTCACGGTTCGCTCTGCCGTCTTCCGTCTTCGCCTGGGCACCATCTTCCCAAAGTGTGTTCAGGCTCCATCTCGTCAAAAGGACTACTACATGAAGCAAATCTGCCGTACACTGGGAATCTGCAACACATCAGGCCGGGCCTGGACGTTGATGCGGATACGCGTACCCGGGAGGGCGGGATCCATGCTTGTGACGGAAACTTCCTGAAGCTGTGCAACATGTAACAATTGCTTGACAAGAGAATAGCATAGGTGCGACAGTTAATTCAGCACTGACGTACTTCGTAGCGCCACAGTTGCCCAGTATACATCCTACCATTCCTAGCACTACTCATGTTGTCATGCCTCGTTCACAAGCTTTATGAATTCAGCTCACGTTCTGGGCTTTCTGAGCAGCCTGCAAAACAGCATTCGTCTGAAAGGTGTCTGAAAACTGCCAGGAGACATGGCTGGATTTCGTATCCGGGTCAACCGCCACAAGGCATGTGCCCACCTCAGGTAAGACTCCAACTCCTGCTTATACTCGATGCACGACTGCCGACTGGCAGCAAATTCGGGCAAGCTACGTGTTGATATATGTCCACTTTCGCATTTCGCCGGCGGTCAATTTGTGGAAAGTGGTAGCATCGGTGAGGTTCGTACCTGATGCAGGACTTGCGATGGGCGCGCAGTGCTACTGCAGCACATTTCTTAAAGCTAGGCATCAGGGCCATGGCCCTTGTAGCAACCAACATCCCCACATTCCCTGCGATCCAGGTCGTAAACACCCCAGTTTCAACTCCTGGCGAAAGGATGCTGTCTTCGTGGTGGGTAGATGACACGACAGCCTATCAATTTTTCGAAGTTTCCCACATTCCATCTGCTCAAAGATGCCTGTAACCCTTAACCCTAAACCGCTGCCCCTGCCTTCCCTGCTTCAGGACGTCACCGACCCGAACGCCAATGAAACCTGAGTTGAGGCTTGAGAGGAATTCAGGGCACTGTGGCTCAGTTTAGGGGATCTAGGCTGTAGAATTTTAGAGGTGAGGCCATCCGCAGGGCGTCGGTGTTCAGGACTTGTACGTTTAGCATTGCGCGTCTTTGGCTTCCAGCTGCTCAGACGTAAACCCTCCGACAGATGGATCGCAGCCTGGAGACAATTGTTTGGAAGGCTGAAGCCATCCACCTGGGTGCTGGAAGGGGGAAAATCAGAATCTGAGGCCCCACGAAATTGCCCTCCAAGCCCTGGGCCACGACTCTACAATAACCCCAACAAGGTCCAGGGAGCGACATGACCCTGACTCAAACCCCTTCATAAAGCCCCGGAAGCCTTACTCCCGAAAGGGAATGCCGAAGCTGGGGGGGATGCAAGACCCCGGCCTTTTTGTCCGGCTCTCAGAATCCGCATCGACCCCACCTTTTCTTCTTCAACCGCAGATGCCTTTGCCTGCTCTTCGCAGTTGGCCCTAAAGAGATCCCCGGTGTTGTTCTTAATAGTCGCCACGAAGCGATGAAACTCTGAAGCCTGTGTACACTTTATCCTGAGATTTCCGGAAGCCACGTCCAATCAAAAGAACACTTCTGGGCCAAGATGCACTCTCAACTGTCAACTCCATCCCCGGCGGGACCTTCAGGGGCACCATGAGCAGACCATGGGTCAAGTGAGCACAGGTTTGGAACCATTCACTGAATCATTCACCGCTTTTCCTGGTCTTGTATGGGCTGTCTTGAGGGGGACTTCCAATCTCCAAGCATGCCAAGCCTGCAAAAAAAAACCTCTAGCATCCAATTTCAACTGAAGATCCAAAAAGCTGGACACGCCCGAAGATCAAGGCTCCCTGTACACCCAAAGTACACCCCACTTTCTGGCCCCCCAAGAGACAAGCCTGGGGTTCAGATCACCGGAGACTCGGCGCAGCCCACAGCTTTGTTTGGGCCAAGCTCACAGCGTTCACAACATGATCGATGTGGGGTCAACAAACTCAATCTCACAAGCATGCATCTACAAATTGGACATGAACGTTGGGGCGTGTTCCTTGGTGAAAGACTGTGAAAGACTCAACCCCCAATCTCGAAAGTCGCGGGGGTTTCTATTTCGAAAGGGGCCTGCGAAGAAGAAAGGAAGACCACTGGAAGATCCCAAACCTTGTGCGACCAAATGTGGCCTTGTTGGCGGCATGCTCCGAGCACGTCCGGGCCTTCAGCCATGCGACAAACACTCATGGGCTGCTGTGCCCGTCCCACCCTACAACTTGCTGGGTCAAATGCAGAAAATGAAAGATCCGGCACATGCCTTCAGGGGAGAAGCCAAGGTGGCTCGAGTTGCTCAGACCCGTGCATTTTCCACGGCAAAGGCGCCGTTTCCCAAGATGGCCACATTGTTGCCTTGCCCGGCTTCGCAACTTCAGGGGTAATCAGGGTCCTGCCTGCTGTGACGTCAAACATATGACTTGGTCGAACCCGTCTTACTGGTGACGCCACCCGGCCACAGCCACAAAGCTGACGCCCAAGAAAGATGGCGGAGTGCACGTAGCATCAGGCAGATCTTAGAATCTACCACACCACGGTTCACCTTGGAGTGGTGTTGTTTGTTGCCATAGGTCAGCCGTGGCACGCATTCGATGATACTCGTCATGCACCATGCAGTGCCAGCTCAAACTTGTGCGTGCAGGTAGCAGGCACTGACAGCAACACAGGTAAAGGTACAGCGAGTATAGTGTTAGGATGTGTTAGGTGAAGCTGGACTGGAACAACCGGGAGAATACTAAACAAAAGGCTGCATGCCATCTACGAGAAGGCTCACATCCCTGGAACCTTCACGTCTCGAGGGTTTGGTGAACATGCTCTTAAGTGGGTCCACCACGTCCCCTGCCGCCAAAGCATGCCGTGTAGCAAGCAAGGACTTCTTGAACGGCTCCAGCTCGGCAAAGTAAGCACTTTGGAATCCAGGTATAACGATGAGGGGTTGTGCCTTTTGTGTGCCCGCATCTGTCTGAAGCTGGAGATTCCACAGGGAGGCAAGCGTGATACTCGCAGAACCGCTTCACGACCAAGTGTTGCTTCCGAGATTAACGCGGACGTGACCTCCTTGTTTCTCATAAACGTCACACTTCAGACACAGCAAGCACCAGAGACGTGAAAAGTTCAGCTCTGCCTTTCAGCTCTTCATAGGGGCAGTCGTCGTTCATGCCATACGCAACGTGGCCTCGCCACAAACATGAAGCTTTCGGCTGTCACGGTGGATTGCACGAAGATTCAACGGTCAATGTATCTCAAGGTACCACGTTTCACCTAGCTTGGCAGATGTCAGGGGACTGTAGATTGCTAGCCCATGCTGCCCCACACAGCCCTGCGCCTTCGAACTCGTCTTCCCCTGGGTACTCAATGATTCGATTCCTGCAATCCAATGCACACGGCTCAGCATGCCGGAGTTGCTGAGATCGAACGAGGTTTTTTTGTGTCTGTCCTGGTCATGCAGCCCGGGTAGTTGTACAGGATCGACACGTTCACCTGACAAAACCAGAACTCTCCACTCACCCACACACACACATTCTCGCACAATTCACCAACATCATGCTTGCCGTGACTAGTCAGTTCGTGTGGGTGCCCTGTACGCTCAGCACTCCTCGAACTTGACAACTTAAACCCCTACAGCGTGACAGCGTCATGAGAGCTGCTTCGAACAGCCTGATCCACTCCAAGATGACCCTCAACCCCAAGTGCCAGACCCAGAATGGCTGAACAATGCTGTATTCCATTTATCCTTCGTCCCGCAAATCTGTCACTTGGTGTTGATGTGCACAGGAGGCCTCGGTCGAGTCGCCACCCTCCACAGGCGCCACTGTAAGGCGGTAGTGACGATCGTGGTGATCCCTTGGAGCATGCCAAGGGAGAAAGAGAAAGTGCGACAAAAGAGCTCTGCTGACCGTGCCGTGCCGCCCTTTTCTTCTCCCAACGTGTCCAAACCGGAGTCCGTTCCAGGGTGACAGGCAGACAAGGTCCAGACTTCTCGCCCATGACATCAAGTTTGGCGACATTGGTCTTGAACCGAAAGTTCGGAAGAACCTTATGAGCGAGACATCATGAGGAAGTCACAGCCGCCTCTGTCATGGAAGGTGGGAAAGGGGAGACGCATGCCCTCTTTGGCCGTGCACATATATGTTTGCACTCTCAGAACTCCCGTGAAATGAGTGAAACGGGCACCCTGCTCCATAAGCCTCGGCTGCATGTTGGAAGTGCGCTAAGACCTGCCCAGAGTGTCAGGCGGTCTGAGAAGAGTTAGGTCAGGTTTAGTCCGTTTCGTCGCCCTCCCTGGTCCCTCAGCGGAGCCTCCTTCTTCTTGGGCCAAATCTCCCAACCCTTCGGGTAAGGACCTCACTTTGCTTTGACTCACTCCCGTTGAAGAAGGGGTCATGTGAGTCATGTGCAAAGGCTTCCCCCCCCCCCCCCCCGCCCACACACACCAGGAGCCGAACACTTCTCGGTCACGAGGTCCTTCGAAACCGCAGGACAATTTGCAACAATTGGCACCAAGACTGCTGTGAGAACTGAATAGAACGGATGATGCAATGATACCACATTACACACACTTCGGGGGCAGCTGCTTGCCTACCACGCTGCCCTCAGCTCAACAAGTACTCTGTCTTTCTCGGTAGTGTCTCCTGACCCCACCAGATGTGAAACGACCTCATCAAGAACAGACACACAAGCGGCACAGGTACGGAATGCCTTGTGAGCTGCTTGGCGAGCTGGGGTCGCAGCCCGAACTCAGTCTGCAGTTTGGAGTGAGTGTTTGCCGCTGTGATCCAGCAGTATCCTCCAACCTGGCATGCAGCACCATGGCTGGGTGAAAGCTTCAGCACAACTCACGCAGACATGTGTGGTAGCTTGGGGAGTGGGGCCTTGTCATTTCGGTCGAAGACCACATAGTTGTCGTTGCCAGCCTTGTCATCTGAACTCTCCAGCACGCCGAAGCATGGAAACCTATACACAACCTTCCCAGCTTTGACCCGCCACATCGCGAGCATTGCGCATGCAAAGCAAGAGACTTTTATCTGCTGTTAAGCAGTACACAGTTGCCAGACACCCTGGCTTGTTGGTTCTGTATTCTGCCACTGTTCTCGCCTCCTGCCTTAGTCGCTTTCCCACTTGTCGGGCGCCGGGTTGCACTGACATACATGGCGCCTTGGTATAGAGCATGGCGGTTTTCAGGCCGTTGTAGCCGGCACCTGGCAGCCAATTGCATTTTGCCGCAGAACGTTTTTAACGGTTGCCAGTCAGCACAGCAAGGATCGGTCAAAGGGGAGAAGTGAGGGCCCGAAGATCACACATAAGGATGACCGTGAAAACCCTGTATGCGAGAGTTCGACCAGAGGTAGTGAATGTGAGGTCATCACAAATGGTGAGACGATGCATTCAGGTCATGTTCACCGCAACCAAAACCCTTTTTAATTTTGTCTTTACCCGTATGCGACACCATGCAACCTGGGCTGGTCAGGCAAAACAAGAACAGCAATCGGAAGCCACCTATGACGCCAGTTGGATGCGGCCACTCATGTCTGGAGGGCCTTGGGGTCAGGTGCACCCAATGCACGAGACTCAACGCAAGCTTGAGTAAGAGTGAGCCATAGTGAGCTCCTAACACCATAGAAGCTGAGTAGCACCGTACACCGTAACCCGTGATGCCCTCAGATTCAGAACCTACCGGGGTATCCTGAGAGAGTCGTGAGATCTGGGATCCCAGCCGAAAGGACTTGATGCCCTTCACGATGACCTTAAGATCGGCCACCCAAAGGTTGAGCGAAGCGAAAGTGTAGCGGTGGAGTGTAGGGCTCTGGGGTTCGGATGGACCTTCGCGCATGTCTATTATGTGCATGTACAACTCCAAGTCTTTCCGAAACCTCATCCCCCTCATCCCCCTCCTACCCCCCCCCCCCCCCCCCCGCGCCCCTTCTTGCATATGGCCAATGGCACGAATCATTCGAAAATCCAACCAGGTAACCTAGCTGTTTTCTCAACCCCTTCAGCCCCAGGCCGACGTGGCGACCTCCTCCGACAGCATCTGCTTCCGTGTGCTGCAGCCTGGGGCACGCGATGGTCTTTTCTTTTGTGGTTGGCCACAGCACAAGAGTCAGGCTCTCGTGCTAGGGGTTGAAAAGGACTTTATATTCGATGAAGTTGTCAAGGGGAACTTCCAGGGTGAATTCCAAGGAGCTTGAAGCCATTGGCAGGTGAGGCATTCTGACATGCTTCCATGGAAAAAACCAGCGTTAGGCCCTGTTGGGGCGGGCGGATGTGATAATAGTAGCAGGGCTTGGGCTTCAGGTGCCTATGGAAGTGCGGCCTTCACATGTCCTCTGCCCATCAACAAAGCAGCTTTGAATACCGGAAGCCAAGATCTTAACCAGAATTCTGAGTTCGACTTTGGCCATGCTGGGCTGCTGGCCTTGCTTCACCAGGAAGAGGATGCCTCAGATCTGACTGCAGAAACCTCTTGAGTTGGGGGGCCGTTGAGAAGCTGCTCTTAATTACACTTAGCCGCTGATCTGCTGCAACCTATGCCATCTCGCAGGGCAGAGGTTACAAGAATTGGCGGCATGACGCCTCGCATCGCCTCGCTGCTCAATGACTTTGATCTTTTAGACGCCTGGTCTGGTCTATCCGCGTGCTTCTGTACATCCTCCACGCTTCTGTGACAACTTGTCATCCAAACAGGCAATCGACCAGGCTCTAGACGACTCTGTGCCAGCCGTCTCCAGTGAGGAGTCTACTGCGCTGGATGCAGAATGTGCGAACTGCGAATTGAGAGGTTCGAAGCCAATTCTTCCTACGAGCTTCAGCCGCATGGTTCCTTTTCCAGCAAAATAACTTCATGGTGCACAAACACTGCTAAACACCTCAGCTGATTTTTGGGAGCTCAGTCGTTCTTCGCAATCTGCGACTCCTGCAAATGCAAGCATGTCTTGGCTTCCCTGGAAGTGCCGTGAAGAGACAGTTTCTGCATCGCCGTCAAGCCGCCACGAGTCTTTCAAAAAATAAACACAAAACTCGAACAACCCTCAATGCAACCAAGCCGCCGAGCTTGTTCTGACATATCGAATTTTTACACATACATATATAATTACATATATATATATGGATATATATATATATATAGTTATTTATACTTTTTTATAGTGGAGAGAGAGAGAGAGAGAAAGGGAGAGAGCGAGAAAGAGAGCGAGAGACAAAGAGACAGAGAGACAGAGAAACAGAGAGACAGAGATCGCAACTTTGAGAGTCCCCTTGTTGCTGGCCTGCTCCCGAGTCCGCCTTGCTGCCCGTGAGAGGCACCCAGCAGCTAGGAGAATGCTCAGAATGGGCAGCCTCGGCTTCTAGCATCGGTCACGTGCGGACACGCCGGACACCAAGGCAAGAATGAGCCCTCAGGCCGAAACACACTTTTCACAGATACCTTATAAACAATTGCAGATGTAAGCTCATATATATATATGTATATGTATCTTTATTTATAGTTGTTTATTTACATTATGTTCTTACTAAGAATTCAACTGCATGCAGAGGCCCCTAACCTAAAAGAGGGCATCCCAAAACCTCAGTGCACTTGAGAATGCTCAGTGCGGACATGGCCGCGAGCCCAGAGCCATTCTCAACCATTTAGGCAGGAGAGTAGGCGGAACCTGGCTGTGGAAGAGAGTTGCTTGCGCAAGGTGGTTGAAATGTTCATGGAGCTTCGCACGACTCTTGGCAGCTCATGCCGGGAATGGTGCCAGGATGGCGTACCTCTTCATCCGTCCACTTGTCGAAGCCAGTCATTGGCACACGCCTCACTTTGCCGTTGGATTGCAGGTGGGCCACCTGACAGTCCAATCTGAAGTCTGGGGCGCAGTGGCCCTTTAATCTTTATACTTCCTCAATTTCTTAAGCCGCAACACTTCACATGAACAACCGACAGCTTGGCAGTTCAAACCCCAGACCCCAGGGCAGCTTGAAGGTTGCCTGTCCCTGGCATTCCGCCGGCACAGGCGCGGAGCAGCCTGCGTTGGCGAGGCGTTGCACGTCCTTGGACCACTTCTTGAGGGGAAAAAAAGTGGTCAGGCATCGTGTAGAACTACTAGGCTGTAACCGGGGGAACCCCCAAGAGGAACTTGTTTGGATATCCACAGGATCTCTGGATATTGCAATAGACCCCCAAAAAAATCCAAGAAATGGCATAGTTGCTGAGGTTGCTTCTGCTGTAATCACGCAAAATGAAGCTTGGGAGGCTCAATGGGGTTTATAGTCTGACGAGAAGGGGTTGAAGCTCCTAGGTCCCATGCAATGGGCATGTGCTTGGAAAACCACAAAAACATTGATGGGGGCAGCCGGCGCAGCAATTCTGCTCAATATGATTCGTATGAATATCTCTTTCTGGAGATCGACGCGGTTTAGGGTTTAGGGTTGAATTAAAGGGTTTAGGGTTTAGGGTTATAGGGTCTATAGGGTTGATAGGGTTTATACGGTTTATAGGTTTAGGGTTTATAGGGTTTATAGGGTTTATATCGGGTTTATAGGGTTTATAGGTTTTTATAGGGTTTATATAGGGTTTATATAGGGTTTATAGGGTTTAGGGTTTCGGGTGAAAGTGCTTAGGGTTTATAAGTTGTAAGTCAGTCTTGAAAGTGATAAGGGAGTATAGGGTTAAAAACTGTTTTGGTGTCAGTTTTGAGCCCAGCAGACCATATGCTACACAGCTACCGACAGGGGCAAGTGGAATCCAAAAAAAGCCGTGAAAACCCCCAAAAAACCCAGAAAAAACCCAAAAAAAGGCAGACTCCAAAAACACAGGGCAAACCCAAAAAAAAGCGTAAAGCGTAGCAACTCCGTAAAAACCCGTGCGATCCCCAAAAAAAGGCGTGCAAAACCCGTAACCGAAATCCAAAAAAACCCGAAAAAACTCCAAAAAATGCCGTGCACCCGACGCCGAAAAATCTTATTCTGAGCTCAAGTTTTGTGTCTCACCGCTCTTTGGGAGATGAACCCGCCCGCCACGGCTTTGAATTCCGCCCTCAGTGAACTTTACACGTCGGACATGTGGCTTCCGTCAGAGCAGGCATCCAGAGTTGCACAGCTCGGTCTTCATTTTCTCAGGCCTTCGTCACCCTAACAAGAATACTTTGGATGCAAAACTTGCCGTGCCACGGTTTGCATTGTTCCCAAAGCACCATATGGTGTTTCATGCACTCCAGGGCTTGCTTTTTGCATCAATACAGTTTCAATCCTGTCTGTGAGGACAGGACGAGGATTTTGTAGGGCGAATCAGCCGTGCAACGAGGAGGGCGGAACTCGTGCTGTGATATCAGCCTCGCTTCGGCGGTATTTGGTACGTTGCCACGCCGTTTGGAGGCATGAGCTGTATTAGGCGACGGCAAGAGATGGAAAGAGTCTGAACGTTTGCATTTACACCTAGGTGTGTGAATTCCTAGATTTTTCCAGAATCTCTAGGTTTTTACCAATGGTTTGGCTTTTGGTGAAATATCTGGGTTTTTAGGCTTACTCTGAGAAATTCTCGACCCAGGGCTCCCCTGGAATAATTGGGCAGATTCCCAACGTGAAAGGAATCGGAAGATTCACTTACTTCCCTCCCCGCTCACAACATTTCCAAGGAGCTGTCTTGATAGGACAATACCGGTTCCCGTAGGCACGGTAGTATCCTTGGCACACGAATCAAGCGGAGCTAAATCCTTCAGTTTGAGTGGGCACAATCACCTGGACTTGCTTGCATTCGGCTTCTTGCCGCCTTGCCTCGACTCAATGCCGCGTCAGCGGCAACCAATTTTTCTCGGCATCGAATGCGGACCTCGCACATTTCAGTACCGCCTGCAGCTGTTGAAGCTGCTGCGTTTATATCGGCGTTCGCTGCCCTGAACTGGGGCAGTCTGCTCCACAGATGTTTGTGCAAGGTCTGAGAACCCTTAAAAGGGAAGCTTGGGGTTACAGTTTCAGTTCAATGGAGCTGTCGGGGCGACAAGCCTTTTCCATACTGGCGGCGCTGTCGCCTACAGGCATTCGTGAAACCATGCCACGTCCTTGCTGCGACGCGGTACACCGGTCTGCCCACATCTGAGCATGTATGCGAGTAGAAATTCCATTGAACCGGGCTCCCATGCGCCCCAACACTTCCTGCAACATGCTGCGCTAATTACAGGTTCTCTTCAAACATCTCTGGCGGGCTCTCCAGGAAAGAGTCTAGGCTCTCGATGCGCGCGCGGGCGGCTCGCGACAGTGCGGAGGTCCAACTGTCGAGGTTGCGCTCGTCCTCGCACGCAGATGTTTTTTGTGGTGGCGACAGACTAACTAAGGGGGGCAGTCAAGGGCAGACATCTGTGGCCGCAAAGCTAACATTACCTGCAGGACAGTAGGACTACGTAGAGGTCATGCCGGGTAAGAGTGGTGCACACAATGACACGTGCCCACAAGTGCGCACAAACTATCATTACTGTATATACTCCTTGAAGAAACATCTAAGCCCAGCCCGTCAGCTCGGAGCCGCGGCCCGGGAAGCCCTGAGTCCTCTGCATCGAAGTAGAAGAGCTGCCGCTGTCGCCCGGCTGCAGGGTTCGAGTCCAACACAAAGCCGCAGGGAAACTCCGCCTTGTGCTTGAGAGAATCGCCCGGCGCCTCTCTGGAAGTGAAAGAAATACAGCTGGCAGAATTCAGAATTGGAATCTCGCCTTTCTTCACCTTCTGCTCCTCGTCCGCATAGTAGCTTAAGCGATCTGGGTACAACACACACCACCTACGTTCAAACTTGAAGTCGGCTGCAGGACCCCTCTTCTTCAACCATCCTTGCAGTAGGATGTTTGACTTCATCTTCGCACGCAGCATGGGCTGCAGAATGGAGTTGCGCTCTGAAGCCTTGTGAGGCCAGTTCTGCGGCAACGTGATGGTCTGCCGTGCGATAACACTCCGGGAGGACTCGCTGGCACTGGCCTCGGCCTCTCTACGGGTCAGGAAGATGACGTAGGCATTGGCGCCCACAGGGTGTTGTGAGGTCAGTCTCTCCACGCAGGAGTCATCGAAGTAGAAGAAGGGCCCGGACGATGGGCAGCCGACACGGCAGGTGGCCGTGTAGTGCCCTGATCCATAACCTCCCAAGTGGTTGGCGACACAGGTCACCCGGTAGGTGGCTCCCTGCTTCTGCTCTGATAGGCAAAGTGTGGAGAGGTCAAAGACTTCGGGAGCTGTCAGGTGAGAGTCGATCTTGCGAAACCGGAAGGTGTGGCTGTCAAACTCGAAACGCTTCAAGTGCACAACCAGCACCGGCGGAAGCTTCCAGAGGTCGATCTTCTTTGTGGCATCGACCTTTTCTTTGCACTTGGGGCAGAACCACTGCTCGTCGCCACTGAGAGTCTCACACTCGAGATACTTCTCGATGGCCTGCTGTACTGTCGTCATCTGCCAAGTTACCTGACACAAGTTTCGGGGGCTTGTACGGGCTCATGGGTCGTCTTCGTTTGCGCCCAGTTGGGCGGCTACAACCTTCGAAGCTTTCTGCAGCTTCTTTTCCCGCATAAGTCCCCAAATCTTCCAGAGCTCTCCGAGCGGCCGGCAGTGACAAGTACAGGAACGCCTCGAATCGGCGAGAGCTGTGCCCACAAAGGTTGCAGCTGACAGAAGAGCGAAGCTGGCCTTGCAGTAGGTCGACCTTAAAGATGAAGCGCCGACCGGCTTTGGCTTTCAATGTGCTACTAGACCGGGGTAGCTCTTCGGTGGACCTTCTTACAAGCACAAGATTCGGCAGGTGACTTTGTGAACAAAAAATCTGCGGACCAAAGTGGCCAGGAAAGACTTCCCCCGCTCCAGGTGGCGCATCCAGGAGAGAGCTGCGGCAAACTCTTCTCCTTCAGACGAGCCAAGGCCAACACTCTCGGGACCACACCGCTCTTTGCACACAGACACACAAAGAAAAACACCGGTTGGTAGAGGCCTCCTGCAGAGGCTTGACGCTCGTCTTCCTCACCAGAAGAATTACTCTCGATGTGCAACTGCTTGCAGCTGCGTCTTCAATGGGCTTGTTGAGAAAGCTTGGGAAGTTTGTGGCGGGCACGATTGATTGTTGACACACCCATGTCCAAGGCATGCAATCTCCTGCAAGAGGTTTGATGGGGTGATTCCGGCATGTACAGCGAAGATGCATCAATTGAATGAAGCAATGCACAGCTTGTATGGTGGACGATGTCACAAGGTCATACAAAGCAGGGCAAGCACCCGATGGCACTCTTCGTTGGACAGATGACTAAACTATGTGTCCCGTCCTCCTGCTGCTATGAAAACTGCATGACGAAGACAACGAAGACTTATGCAGACGACTTTGTTTAGGGGAATTGCTATGGGCGTGTCGTTTCATCATGCAGGGGACATGATCGCATGGAAGGAAGGACAGCGTAGAAGTGGTGTAAAGATGTGCCAAATAAGATGTGCCAAGGCATGCATTGCCACATGCTCTAATTTCGAATTGCTGAAGGGTGGACATGTGCATACCGGTACGTAGGCCTGTTGCTGTTTTGGCTGTGCATGGCCATGCAAACGCACATCACAAAGACTGGGGGCGACCCAAGCTGCAACACATTTGTTTGAACCAAGCTTTCCAGACTAGACGGGAACTATCAAACACGCTGTTCAAATTCCTGAAAGCATTCTTGTGAGCCTCTTCCTCGGCCGTCGTTTGAGGCTTCGGGCGCTTCCGCACGCGATTGAGGTCTTCATGCAGCGTGTCCAGGAAGAAAGCAAGGAACTCCTGGGGTCAGCTCTGCCACTGTGCCTGCTATCCAGCTATGCTTCGACCCAAGCCTCGAATTCTTCAGCACAATAACTAGGACCAGCCAAGACCTGCAGCAATCTACGGACCGAGCCCTCCAAACCCCACGAGTACAGGAGATCCAGGACTCCTGGACGTCCTGCTGCTGGTACTCCTCAAAGAGGTGGGGCGCGAGCTTCGTCAGCGTCTGGTGCAGGGCTCGCGGGTTGATCGCCGGCCTTGAAGCACAGGTTGAAATCAAGACAGTCGACATCAGTCGGGAGATCTTCGGTTTCGGCAAAAGGCCAAAGGCAACGCCAAGGCCTTGCAAACCCAAACTTCCGAACGCTCCGATTTCAACGTCGGCGATCTAGCCTCCACCATCTCTTGCCTGGTTCCCGGATATATAAGCCACAACACGAGGCCGAGTTTATCAACACACAAGGCTCTCAAAGCTGGCTGTCAACAACAGCGAATACCTCCCCCCCCCCCACACAGACATACAGAAACGACACACACAGACACACACATGCACACAAAAAGACAGACAGAGAGAGACAGGGACGGGGACCGGGACGGGGACGGGGACAGGGACACACACACAGACAGAGACACAAACACAGACACAGGAACGAACGAACGAACGACGAACGAACGAGAGACTCAGCTAGACTCTGAGAGGCAGATGGACGCAAGGACGTGCAGAAAGACAGGCGGACGAACGGACGGAAAGACCCAGCGACACACGGACAGGTAGGCAGGCATTCACATCAACTGCAGCTTGAGCGGCGCTGCTGCCAGGTGAGGATGCCACATCGCCGTCTGCAACTCGATGAAAGCGTCCAGGAGTTGGCCCCCGGAGCCCCGGCTGTTGCCTTGGCTGCCGAAACATGCTGAAGAATTCCGAAACCCCGCTGAAAGCCTGAACTCTCCCGAACCGGCCCCCCAAGCCTGGGTTTCCGGATCTGGCGATGCATGTACAGTGGAGACCACTGCTATTACTGAGGGCGTACAAGACACAGGATTCAGAGGCAAAAGGACTGAAACTTGACCTGAATCTGTAGCCCAGTTGCTCCGATTCACCTCATCGCCTGCCTCGCCGGAGAGGATATACCTGGGACGGAGGGCTTCTGCGGCTGGGAAAGACCTGTACGGAACCCTCATCAAGTCTGAAACAAGAAACCCCACGCACCAGCCAACATCAGACCCAACATCCCACACAGTGCAGTTTTCTGTTCGGCCACGGGTGCTGACTCAAAGGCTCGAGGTGGCTAAGGCACTGGAGCCCCGCATTCATGAAGCAGGTATTGCCCAGATTCTTCCTTCGGCGCAGGTCACACAACTGTATACCGAATCCTGACGGTAATACCTATAGCTGCCATAGCTGAAGGCTTTGTAAGACCCAGAAGTCGCCCTTGGAATGGCGGCCAAGTTTCAAGCCAAGGAGTCCCTGCGAGGGAGGGCGAGACTGCTGTCGTTTGCCGAAGAAGAACTCCAACATTGGGTAACCTCCGTGAGCGTAGGAGGCAGATCGTCACATGCCACCCAAACTCGAATGTAACCGGCTGGGATAACAAACGCAGCTTTGCAGTGGCAAGTCTTGCACTATGTACATGCCCGGTCCAGCCCAAGTAAAATCCTAACGAAACCGCCCCATGCGACAGCTACAGCTACAGGCTTGGTATCTGGAATTGAGTCTAGAAGGAGGTTGGTGTTGTTCGGGCTTCCCTTGGTGCACTTGCGGGCGATTAGGAACACTTCGACTGGGAGTAGTCCTGACAATCATCTCGGAAGCATTTCTCACCCATGGCCTCCGGAACCACTGAATACAGCTTCTTGAGTTGGAGTTGAGCCGATGTTGTTGCAACTATCTGCCTATACTCTTGCCCGGGGACACACAAGCCCGCCGCAGCCAGCCAGGATCAGCCAAGAAGAGCAGGTCGACTCAGCGCCAGCCAGCGCAGACAGCTCCATGCGATTCGTGGCATGTCCAAGTAACTGCTGTTGACGATGCTGTCAGCTTGGAGCGCTGATCCCAAACCCAATGTGGATTGATGGCCTGTTGTGGTAACTAGTGACTAGTGACAAGCTAAGCACTTGTTCCCTGCAGTCTGCAATGTGGGGGTTACTGTGATGACTGTTCAGCTAGGCGGGTGGCAAATAAAAGAGCCTAGGTAATTTAAGGCTGTCCAGGGCATCCGAATGGGAATTCTTGTGCTGCATTGCCGCTTTAAATTGTGGCTCTATTTCGGGTGCCACTCCCAAACACTAAAAAGTGCTGTGGCGAAAGGGCGGGTGTCAGCGAACCTGATCACATGAGCCTTTCATGGGCTGCCACTACCGGGACCACCAAGACTTGAAGACCCCAAGTGGGATGGGAGAACAATGCGCGAACAGGAGTGCACAAACGAGCGGTGGGCCTCATCGTCTGGAGTGTGCCCAACAACAATCCGACTAACATTCGCCACTTTCCGAACGGCTCGAAGCACCTGGAGGCAAGGTGGCCCCACAAGTGCCCACAAGCAAACTTCAACATGGTCTGCAAGATCATGCCATATGTTGCAGCACGTTGCAATACCGGAAAAAACACCTGAGAAATGCTAAGGCTTGACTAAGGGCCCAACAGACTCGACCTCGCTGCAGCCTCGTGGGTCGTCCGCGTGAAAGCCACGATACGTTGTGGCCTCCATCAACATTCCGGGACCAGGCACTAAAGGGTGGGACATCGTGGGACAATATCGTTGCTGGCGTTTCAGGGTGACCCGGTCAGGTGGGTCTGTCGCAGCTGTCGTAGCTTGTTCGAGGATGCCCTGCCTGCTGCAGGAGCTCTAGACCAGCACCTTCGCTATCGCTACGCGGACAAATTTGCAAGTTGTTTTCGCTCAGAAAATCGGCAACAACCGCACTGTGCCACGAACATCCTCTGTCTGTGCATCAAACCGCCTTGCACAAGGAGTAGGCGCCTCCATCTTGTAAGAGTTGGCCAAGGTCACTGTGCAAATGTCCTCCATCGCCAAAAGCTTAGCAATGTTTCGGGTCGAGAGAGGAAAGACAGGTTTGCATGCCCGCACGGGTCTTCCAGGCAACTGTGGAAGTAAGCTTTCGGCTCCGGATACCCGGGCACTGTGCCACCAGCAGCTGCAACCGATCTAGCCTTGAAACCCTATCACCAAGCCCAGATTGTCTGCTGTTAAATGCCTATGTTGAGTTGGTTCTGCTCCTTACCCCGAAACCCCTGAAGCCATGCCTGGAGCAAGGGGAACGAGCTCTGACACGTCCCGGACAGGCATCAGGCCACCATGGACAAACAAGGTACCTGCAGTAATATCGCAGGAGTGAGGAGCTTCGTTGGGAGGCGTGGGATCTTGGGCGGCTTCTGGCCTCCAAATTCCTTCTAAGGCCTTAAGTGAGCACTTTCCAGATCGAGTTGGCCTCATGCCGTCTACTGTGAGCAGCACAACCTTTAGGCACATGTCCTTGCTCCGAAGCTTCAGCTCCACATTCGCAGCGATCTAACGAGATCGCTTTCTCTTCGACCCTAGATGTTTTCCTTATAGATCCGAATATGGGGGTTTACGAAAGTGAGGGACCCCTAACATAGTTCGTCAAATAGTAGGATCCCCTTACGTAATGTCGGAAACCCCCCAATTCGGAATGTTGCTCAGAGGGTTGAAGCTGCCCACCTCAGCCCGTCTAGCGACCGCTGCATGGGGATTGGGCTTCACGTTTAGAGGGCTTCAGGTGGGATTGGGGGTCTATGCGGGTCATTTGGGGGTTACTAAGTCTGGGCGGTTTAGGGTGCAAGCAAGTGCCCTCAAAATCTGCCACAAGTTCTAGTTGAGTCCTCAAAGCGGGTCGCTGCATTAATGCCATGATACATCACCTTGCTTTTAAACTGTTCTTTTTTCTAAGAACATCAAGGTCAAAAATCTTTTGAAGTTCACTTTGAAGCACTCACACCTTATAAATCCCTAAACCGGAAACCCTAAAGCCTAAAGCCTAAACCGTGTCGTTCAAGCCTGCCACGACCGCCAGCGCGGGGCGCTCGAGGAGCCACTCAGCTAAGCCAGAGCTGTGGAGACCTGTCCAAGCACCCTGCAACCCTGTAACAGCAAGCAACAGCCATAAGTAGGTTCGTTGCTCCGATTTGGCCATTTTCGCACATTCTCATTTACCACTTTGCCACCTGATACAAACCCCACATTACCACACATTTTACCACAAATAATTTTCCAATGAACGAAAAATGAAATAGGTTGTCAATTTATAAAATGAATAACCTAAATCATTTATAATCTAACTGTCTTCCATATCTTCTTCAATTTCTTAATCTTGATATACTCATCCAATTCCTCTTCATTCATCTTGCTCATCTTTTCTTCTTCTTTCCTCTTACATTCCAGATTATCATTATGCTTTTGCGTTTTACTATGCCTTGACCAATTACATTTTCTAACTTGGCATTCGCATACATCACAGGCAAGTTCAATTTGATTATATGTTTTGTTGTATTCGTTTTTCCTTGCACGGATTTCTTCACGATGTTCAGCATAATATGTTCTCCATCTTTCACGTTCTCGTTCTCGGTTGTTTTCTCGTCTAATTCTATCCTTTTCCTTTGTTCTTGCAATTCTTACCTCTGGTGTGCATTCGGGACATTGTGGGCATCCACGCTTTACAATAACAAGCATCTCCATAGGATACTCTTTATGACAATACCGACAGTTGCGAAAACTCATAATCTCATAATATATTCTTGACTTGTCTTTAAGTCCAGACGCTTTACCACAAATCATCTATTTACCACCTCGCCACCTCAAACGAATACCCCTATACCAAAACCACCAAAGAACTCCCCGATGAATAAATTATGAACGGCATAGGTTGCCCTTTATAATTTGATACATCAAATTATGAACCTACTTGTGGGGTGCGTGTAGAAAATTCCACTAACGAACAGCGAGCACACACCTCCGTGACACACACCACTGTGAGCACACACCACCGTGAGCACACACTACCGTGACACACACCACCGTGAGCACACACCACCGTGACACACACCACCGTGACACACACCACCGTGAGCACACACCTCCGTGACACACACCATTTCAAACCATCGCCCACCTTGGAAATAGCCATTACAGAAACCCGAAATACACATTACAAAAAGCCGAAATATACATTACAGAGAGCCGAAATGAGCCAGTCCATTTGCCAGAATGAATGCTCAAAAATCGCATCGGGTATGCTCAAAAATCGCATCGGGTATGCTCAAAAATCGCATCGGGTATGCTCAAAAATCGCATCGGGTATGCTCAAAAATCGCATCGGGTATGCTCAAAAATCGCATCGGGTATGCTCCAAAATCGCATCGGGTATGCTCCAAAATCGCATCGGGTATGCTCAAAAATCGCTTAGGGTATGCTCAAAAATCGCTTAGGGTATGCTCAAAAATCGCATCGGGTATGCTCCTTGCATTTCCTAAATGCAGACCCCGCATTTCCTAAATTCTTCCTCTGAATTTACTAAATTCGGCCTTTGAATTTACTAAATTCTGCCTCTGAATTTACTAAATTCTGCCTTTGAATTTACTAAATTCTGCCTCTGAATTTCCCACACGCGCTGTCCTGCTCATACTTTTAGCAACTCGTGCCGTAAATAAGACCGCCTATTTTCATTATCTAATATTTTTGACCTAATTTTTGGTCTATTTTAGTGATTGTTTGTTTATTTTTCAACCAATGACTTGAACGTTCTTTTTCGCTTATCCCTTTTTTGCGCATAACCTTAACCTCATCATTAACTCGTAGTTCTGGATACATACGAGTTCGTCTAGCATTTAAATTTATATGTAATTTAACGGCGAATTCATTTTTAGGTTTGCGCGCCTCAATCGGCGTAAATCCGGTTACTGAACTCACCATTTTATTATTATATGTTAATAATATCTCTAAATTATAATCTATCCACTGTATATTCTCCTTACCCTTTTTTTCGTCGGCATCAACGCGTTTAAATAACATATCTTTGTATGTTCTGATAAAACGCTCGGCAAACGCTGGGTGCCCTCTCGTTCTGTGCATTTCTATTTTCTCTTGTTCTAAATACTCTACAATTGTCTTACTATATAAACTACCTTCTTCGTCTGAGTAAAAAAATTTAGGTTTATTGCCCATTTTTTGTAGTCCTTCCATTATTCCTGCCAGAACATCTGGCGGTTCTTTACTTTTAATAGGTATGACAGTAGCATACTTACTAAAAATATCAATTAATACTAAACCAATTCTAAATTTTTGATTTTCCAAATCATTTTTACTTATAAAAAATAAATCCAATTGGTACTCCCAATGTGAGTGAGGTGCTACAAATGAATTTTCGCCTCTGGGTTTTCGCTTCTCCTCAATGTTTTTCTTAAAAAACTCTTCCACATCATCCTTTGTAATACTGGCATCCTTCCTTTTAGCATCTTGTAGAGTAGTTGCCCTACTCCCGAAACCGGAGCGGTCAAAATAAATATCTGAAATAATTTTTTGCTTATTAGAACTCATTATAATATATATATATATTATATATTAGTTTAATGAGCACTACAATTACAATACCGACACCAAGCAACACAATTATCCACACTGTGGCATAACTCATTATCCACACGCTGGGCAGTAAAGTTAGAACATAATTTACCCTTTTTTGTGTTAAATTCAAATTTCACACCGCATTTTTGACAATTACCCTTCATCCGTTTTAAACACCACACCGTATCAATATACATATGCTCGTTTATTTCCCTATCTTTTTGCCTATCCTGTTGCTTGTATCCTTCCACTTTATTTTCAAAATAATCCATTATCATTTTCTTGTCCATTTCCTTTTCAAAGGCATCACTCTCAAAAAACAACACCTTATTAAAATCATCACAGCGTGTGATAGAGCACCACAACCATTCTCTACTAACTAATGGCGATTGCCACTCGTGTATTGTTATTGTATCTTTTATTGTAGCGCCCTGTGCCGAATGGCAGGTGATACAGTAGTTGTATCTAAAATGCTTCTCTATGGTTTCTCTATCCACGGTGCATTGTTCTAAACTCTTTATGTTTTCCAGTAGATAGTTGCCTTTATTAACGCCTTTGATTTTATACCTAAAATTCACATTTAACCTTTTACTTCCTATTTTCTTATATAACCTGCACACTAACACTTCGCCTATTTCATAATCAGTTGTTTTACCTAACCTTTGCCGAACAGTTCTTGAAACATCCGCACACCTCTTGTTGGTATATGCTATGTTGTATGTGGATGCCATTACATCGGCAGTTGTTTTAAAATACTTCCGCACTAACTCCTTCAACGGCAGTTGTTTCACCCACCAGTCGTCAAACATATTATTTATTATGGTTCGGTTCTCCTCGTCTTTTACTCGCTTGCATATTTCTAAGTAGATGTTATACTTAAACATTATATCTAAACATTGATTGGCATATGCCTCTTTGTTTTGGCAGTTGGTTAAATCCTCTATTGGCGGGAGTTGTTTGTCGTCACCGGTTGCTATGATAATTTTGTTTGTGTTCTGCTTGGTAAATAACCTGATTTTATTTAAGATGTAGGCGTTTGCCATATACACTTCATCAAAACAAATAACGTGATACTCACTGTGGTCAAATATCGGCAGTTCTTCACCTTTTTCCATAGGTATGCTAAAAAATTTGTTTAAAGTTATGGCATCGCATTCTTTTTCTTGCGACAGTTGGTTCGTGGGCACTACAAACAGCACATTATAACCTAATTTCTTAAAATATTCGCATATATAACTTTTACCACTACCTGCGAAACGAGCGCGTATCATTACTGGGTTGTGTTCCACGATTTGCTTACAGATGGTTTCGGTGTCCCATTCATCCTTTATATGTGTTTTTTCATTTACCTGTTTCGGTATATTAATCAGTTGATTAAACATTATTTTTCGGTTCTCCTCGGGCAACCTGATTACCTTGCCCTGTTCTGCTCTCCATTCGCCGATTACAGTTCCAAATTTGAGTATCTCCTTTGCCTTGTCCAAGTCCGATGTTTTAATGGTCATAGCATCGGCTTTTACACTATACACCTCCACGCCATTAGCAGTTAAAAGACTGTGTGCTTCAAACATTCTATAATTATGGTCTTGCAGGAGCACTTCCTTAATATACCTAAATCCATTGCTTAAAGTCCTCTCGTCTGACACATTTAAGATATAATACTTTGAAACATATTTCCTGCAATCCTCCTGTATATGTATCTGACCATTTACCACAGCAAACCGTTCCAAAACACCGTCGCCAGTCATAAAGAAGTCATCTTCAAAATCCCACTCTGTTATACTGCCCTTAATTTCATCAGTTAAGGGTGTGTATGTATAATCGTCCTGTGCCTCGTCTATTGCATGAACTCTTCCTCCATACAGTTTTTGATAATACATTGCCTCGTCCAGTGTTTCAAACATCCTGCTCCTTTGTGCCTTGTTGCGCGACTTCTCTAACAGTCCGAAGTTGATATTGGCAATTAACTTTTTTATTTGTTTGTTTTGGTGCTCGTCCTTGCTTATGTTAGTTGCCCACAGGTCATCAACGATTTTTTTGTAATCTACCTTGTGTATGTGCGAAGGCTGTTTGAAATACAGTATTTTTGGTTTAATGCCTCGTGCCATTATTTTCCTAAGATACTTGCCGTAAATGAGGTTATGCTTCTTATTAAAATACATATTTGAACCAGCGTTCTCCACCATAAACAGGGTTAGTGATGGCATTGCGCTTATGTCTTCGTTTTTATACGGCTTCCATATATCAAACTGCCTAAACACAGGTATTTTAACTATGTTGGTAAATGCTTTTGTAAATGCTTTGTTTAGGTCTATTTCGGTCAGTTTCTCGCCCTCGTTTTTGCAAAGCAACCCTGTTGGAACAACCGTTCTACACTCGTCCAGCACCTGCACATCAACCTCGTTATAATGCGACTTATGTGCTTCGTTAAATATCTTCTTGTTCATTGCGAACATTGCCTTACTGGTTCTGTTATGCACCCTCTCACTTGATACAACCAC